ATATCCAAAATTTATTGTAGAGGTAAAATTCTTTAGCTTAAATTTAACACAACAAATGAAAAAGTTTTCACAACAAAAAAAGTGAAAAAAGAAGAAAGGAGAGAATTTAATAAATTAATATTTTTCATTTTTATTGTCATTGAACATTGATCAATAACCAAAAAATTATGCATTTCTAATTAATTAAAACAAAATAAAAATATGCAAATTTATTTTATCATTTATTCAACTAATTTAATATTTGAAAAAGAAAAAAAAGACAAAAATTCCAAATATTAATTTCCTTTTGACGCATTAGAAAAAAAAAGTATGAAATTATGCACTTTTGAAGTATTAATTTATGCAAAAAATTACAGCTAACAAATTTTGATCCTAGAAATTAAATTAAATTAACTTATTAAATAAAATAAGAAAATTAAATATTAATTAAAATTAAAAAAATTAAAATAACAGTAACATTTGGAGTTTTTTGTTTTCTTTTTTTCAATATGATTAATTTTTTCATTTTTGCCTTTCTTATCTTCAATTTTATCTGAAAGTAAAACTTCATAGTTTTGCAATTACACCTCAATTTTTAGCTTAATTTAAGCGCAAAAGTTCAATGACATTTCAATTGCTAGCATAATGTAAGCGCAGAATTTCAATGATATTTTAATTTTTAGCTTAATTTAAGCGCAAAAGTTCAATTTAGCATAATGTTATCACAGAATTTCAATGATATTTCAATTCTTAGCTTAGTTTGAGCGCAGAAGTTCAATAATATTTCAATTTTTAGTATAATTTAAGCGCGGCTGTCCAATGATATTATTTATTCGTCATTACAAAGTAAGGCGCAGAAGTTCAATGATGGAAAAATGAGTGGTACTTTTCATATTCATTTTGAAGAAGGCACTCATTCATTTTTGAAGTGAAACCCAATTCTCATTCACAATTTATTTTTAATTTTCATCGAAAAATTCATTGAATCTATCCATACTACTTTTCTCTCTCCCTCTCTCTCTCCCTCTCTCTCTCTCTCTTTCATTTCATATTAGATAATCCTAAATTCATTTAAATCTCTAAGGGATAATCCATTTAGTTCATTTCGTTATTTCACGATGTACTCAAAAGTACGACCATTTCTTTTCTTTGTTTTTTCTTTTTTATATTTTATTTTATTAAATTTTGGTTCCTTTCTTTAAAAACTATCATTCAATATTATTATCTTCTCAAATCTTTCTCCTAATTCTACACTTTTCAAACTACTTTTATTCAATTTTAAATTAACTCAATACTCAATACTTTATCATTTCAATTTAAATTATCAATCACATTCATTCTGAATTAATTTCAATTCCAATTCCAATTTCAATTTCAAATTCAATGGCTACTGATTTATTACAATTGGTTAGCCTTATGCTTGCCAATGTTTCTGATCTGTACAGTATGCGATATTCTTGTATGTTTATTACAAATCTTTTTTTTTTTTTTTTTGTATTTGAATTAAATTTAAATTAGATTAATAGTAAAAATAATTTCGTTAAATTTAAAATAAAAAAATCAATATTGCTATCTTTTAATATTATTAATATTTTTGTTAATTATTAATAATTGATTTAGTTATAAATACATGCATTAATTTTAAGAAAATTAAATATTTAACTAAATTAAAATTTGAAAAAAAATTTTTTTTCAAATTTTTATACAATATGATTTTATTATTTCAAAACAGGATATAAGTAAATTTTTTTTTAAATATTAATTTTATTATTAAGACTTTTTATTATTTTATTATTATTAAAATTATTAAGACTGGTTGAGAACGGATTAATATTTCCGGAATTATTACATCATAAAATGTCTAGCAGTAATAAAACTGCATGAACGGATTAATATTTCCGGAATTATTATATCGTAAAATATGTAGCAGTAGTAGTAGCAGCAATAGTTGTTATGTGGCGTCATTTTTTCCAATAAATTTGTTATTTATTCGTTTTGAAATAGAAAATGAAATTTCCTTCATTCCGTTTTTGATGTTACAATCAGTGTAAACTAACGGATTTCAAAATGAATAATTTCCGGAAAAAGTATATTTGCTATTAGTATTAGCGGAAAAAAAGAAAAAATTTTATATTTACTTTCTCAATTTTATTCTCATTTTCTTTTTTTTTTTTGTTTTAGAAAAATTTAATTAATAATTTTAATTCTAAGAAAAGAAAAAGGAAATTTGAGTAATAAATAATTTTAAATGAGTAATTAATTTATGATTAATTTCATTTCATTTGAATAAATTATTTATCAATGATTTCATTTTAGTAATTTCAATGATATCATTGTAAATAAATTATTATCAAATGTTCTTAAAAATTTTAATAATTAAATCAAAAAAGGTGTAAAATTCAAATGGAAAAAAAAACGAGAAAAAACAATTTCACTTCGAGGAAGTAATTTTCATAAATATTAAATTTGCATTTATAATTTTGAAACAAATTTTCTCAAAAATGATTTTTATTTTATTGCCAAATCAATCAAAATGATATAATTACATCATAACTACGAATATATTAAAAACTTTTTTAAAATATTTTTTAAATTAATAATGCAATTTTTCATTTTATACTTTTTTTCTTCTCATTTAATTTGAAATTCAATTTGAAATGAAAAATGGTTAATTAGTAATTAGTTATACATATATATGTTTGATTTAATAAATTCGAAAGTGACATTTTCCCATAAAATTTTATCAATTTATCACTGATAAAAACATACAGAAATAGATATCAAATATGATTAATCAATTCATTCATATTATCAATTATCAATTATTTATGGATAACAGGAGAGCAAGAAGATAATCATTATAATTTATAATAATTAATCATAATAATCATTATTATTTCGAAAAATTTTGAATGTTTTTTTTTTTTTTTAAATTATAATTTTAGGTTCATTCGGTTTTTTTTACAAAATTTTTCTTCATTTTTTTTTTTTTTTTTAATTTTTATGAATTAATTAGGAATGAATTTTTATGTGAAATTTTTTTTTTTTTTTATTTTGAATGAGACGAAATTTTTAATATTCGATTTTGTTTTGCATTTAATTTTGCTAATTTTAGAAAATTATCTTTTTTGCTTAAAAATTATATAATCTTTAAATGATAAAAGAAATTGAGCAATTAAATGCTAGATCAAGTAAGGTGAAAGGTGAAAGGTGGGAGGTGAAAGGTGAGAGGTGACTGATTCTTCTGTTAATGATAAAATAGGAAAGACTAAAATTGAAATAATAAATTAAATCAATCATTAGATAATCATTTATCATATTCTATTTTTCAAATTAATCAAATAATTTTGTTCAATAAAAGTTTTCGTTGAGTAATTTAATTTCGAATTTATGAAAGTACCACAACAATACTTTATAGTAATTTATTTATTAACTGTGTAACACAATAAGTTATTTTAAATTAATATTATCACATCTGAAATACTGAATTACTAGTTATTTTTATTTACAGCTATGAAAAAGAAAAAATTCATTACATATCTAATTTAAAAGAAAAAAAAGTTGCGGAGAACATTTCCGCCCAGATAATACTTCTCGAATGTGGCGGAATTGACCTATCAGACATTTAGAGAAAAAATAATTATAATGTAATAATAATAATAATAAAGCTAAGAATTTAAACATTTCATTTAATAACAAAGTAATTTTAATTTTTAATTTTTCTGCTTTATTAATAACTTCAATTTACTTAAGTAATTTTAATAATTTCAATTTGTTTATGAAAATAAGTTAATTAGTATATTTTTAAAGTAAGTTAATGAATATATTATGATGTATGCTTAGTGTAATCTTTTAACTTATACTAAAATATGCTAATTAATTTGTCATTTCACATACGTATGTATTAAATACTACTAAGTAACTAAGTAAGTTAAAACAATTGCAGTTAGTTACTAAGTAAGTAAGTTGTCAACAAGTTAAAGATGCAATTAACTTAAAGTTTTTAATTTGAAAGAGAAAAAAAAAGTATCTTTTTATAAATAAAATCAAATTTTATTCTCTAAAAGATAAAACAATTAAATAAAGTATACAAAAATGAATAATAAATGATGAAAAAATGAGAAATAATAATTTTATTTTACCTTTTTTTGTTACTCAAAAAAACAAAAAAAAAATTTTGTTTTTTTCTAAATTTTAATCTTTGATAAACAAATAAATATATTCGCATATGAATTAAATTCAATTTAATTGTAAATTATTCAACAAATTAATTATTTAAATTAATATTAAATTTTGTTAGTAGTAAAATACTAAATATATTAATAATTTAATTTTGAAAAAAAAAAAAATTTTTTTTTCGTTTTCATTAAAAATATAATTGCATATAAAAAAAAATTCGTTTTACAATTAATTCAAATAGTTTTATTATTATATATTATATACATTTTCAATAGTAGAAAAAAACGTAAACTTTATTTGATAGAAATTTTATAAAATTTAATAAGTTATCACTTTAAAAGAGAATGAATACAACAATATTTTAAATTTACAAAATAGAAATTTAAATTTTTAAAATTTAAATATTTCGTGAAAGTTTGATTAATTTACAAAAAAAAAATAAATACTAAATTATAATTCATTTTTGAAAAATTTTTCAAACTTTCAAGTAATTTAATTGCAATCTAAATAATTTAAAAATGAGAAAAAAAGTTAAAATATATATGAAACAAAAAAAAAAATTGAAATTTAAATTTTATTAAATGTTATTAAGTATTTAAACTTATTTTCACAAAGTTTATTTTTAAAAAATTTATTTTTACAACGTATTTATTTACTTTTACAAAGTATATATTAACTTTAAGGTTTTTCTCGCTTTTTTTCAATTTAAAATTTCAAAATAGTAAATTATTAACTTTTTTTTTGCTCCTTTTTTTAAATTTTTTTTTAAATTTTTTTTTTTAAAAATTTTTTTATATTTGAAATACCACATTACAGCATCACGAATTTTATGCTATAGTTGTATGAGTCCATACCTGGAGCATCAATATATGTACATATCACACCTGTATCGACGACCAATGTCCTTCACACCAAAATGTGATCAATCCAGGTATGTCTCTCTCTCTCTTTTATTTCTTTAAAAAAATTAAATTTCGTTTTTTTTTTTTTTTTTTTTTTTTTGTTAAAATATTTATTAAATATTATTATGAATAAAATGAAATTACATTAGAAATGAAATGAAATATTTTTAAAAAGTAAAAATTTTATCCAATATCTCTTTAATAATGGCAAAAAAAAATTAAATTATTTCCAATTTTTTTTTTTTTGTCGTTAATTTAATTTTTTAAAATTTGTAAAAAAAAAAATGTTTTTGTATAATTTGTTTTGTTTTTGTTTTTTTTTTCCATTGTTTATATAATGCTTTTGCTAAATTTTAAATTATTTTAATAATGTAATAATAAACAAAATTTTTGTTTTTAAAATTTAATTCTTAAACTTTACAAACTTTCATTTAAATATATTATAGAAAAATTAAAAGAAAAAAACTTTTTTTTAGTGTTTTCAAATCTTTTAAAATTGAATTCTCCGTATTTTTCTTTGCTTCCTTTCCTTTTTTTTGTTATTTGTGGAAAATTTTTATTTCTTAAAAAAAGAAAAAAACTTTAAAATTCCTAAGAGAATTTTCATTTTTCTCATCTCACTTTCATCACTTTAAATTTTTGAAATAAATTGAATGATATTATTTTTACATTTACTTACTAAATAGCAAATTGATTATTGCATTGAATAAGTTTTTAAGTAAAATCACATTTTCACATTTATAATTAAAAGCTTTTAAAGCTTATAACAAATAATTAATTAGTAAAAGCACTCTTAAACAGGTGAAATTAGCAAAATGTCAATAAGAATAAATTTTAAAATTACTTACAAATAATAATTCATTGTAAACATTTCATTTTTAAATTATTCATTCTAAAGTTTGCTTAAAAGAAACGAAATGATAATAAAAATTTTGAAGTAAAATATTTTCGAAAATAATATTTTAGAAATTGAAATTTAAAAATTTTCATCCTTTTTTAAGCTTAAAATTTTGAATTAAATATTTTTATTTTTTGTTAATTTTTATTCATTTTTATATGGGAATAAAAAGCAATTGAATAAAGTATCATTAGATTTTTTTAATTTTTTTTTTCGATGGATTTTATTCAAATTAATGATTAATAAAAATTAGATTAGCATAATAATATGGGTAAGATTAAATGGAATTTAAAAATTTTCAATCTTTTGACAGTTTTTTTTTAATTTAATTTATTTTTTTTTTTAAATTTTATTGCTTAAAAAGTAAGAAACAGTAATATTTGACAGTAAATGTAGCGATTAAATGAAATTTAATTAAATTGAAATGACTAATTTTTATCAATTTGAAATATTAGTTTTAATTTTTTTAAAAAATAAGGAAAAAATCTTTCCAACAAAAAAAGCTTATCATCAAATGAATTTATTATCAATTCGTTTGAGATAATTAATTAAAACTAATTACATTAATAGTGAACTACAAATAAATGTATTATTAATTTGCTACTTGAAAAAAAAAATTTCAAAAAAATTAAATTTTTTAATAATTTTTTTTTTTTTGAATTTTAATATTAAATGCAAAAATGTAATGCGATATTCATTTTATATTAGAATTCAAATTAATTATTAAATTTAATGCACAATATTTAACCAAGTTTAGTCATTTCTATTGAATTTCAATCTTGCATTAAGACAGCCTAGTTTAGTCTAGGCTTATTTAGCCTAGTCTAGCCAAGCCTAATCTATTCTAGTCTAATTTGTTAAAAACTTGCGCATCTTTCCTCTCTATTTTTCAATTTTTTTTTTGTTTTTTTTTGATTTCTTTTAATGAAAATCGAAAAAAAAATTAATTATATGAAATTGAATTACTCGATTCTGTCTAAGTTATAATTAAACTAAAATTGAATGAAATAATCAAATCGTAAATGACAAACTTTTTTTTTTTCTTTTCATATATTTTTGAAAAATGCAAAAGAGCGGAAAAAAAAATTTTTTTCAGTTTAGATTACTTAATTACTTTTCAATTGCCTTTACGCTGTCACTTTTCATTACTTCTCAATTACTTTAATGCTCTCTCAGTTTGAAAAGTTAGTAAATGTAGTAAATAAAAATATGATTTTCAAAAAAAAAAGAAAATTTAATTTTTAAAATTTTATAATTATTAATTTTTTTATTTGCGATAGTATTTTTGTTTCAATTAATTATTTCCTAGCAAAAAAATTATATTCAATTTAACAGAAATAAAATTTAAAAATATTTTTAATTCCAAAATACTTAATTAAATGTAATTATTCTTAATTTCAATTGATTAGCATAAATTTGTGAAAAAATTGCTAATTGCATAATTTTGACAAAATTTTGACAGAATAATTCAATTAATTAAATTTGCAAAAAAAAAAAAAATATCAATGTGAAATTTAAATTAATTATAAAAATAATACTTTTATTAGTAAAATTTTAAAAAAAAAAAATATTTAAAAAACTTTAAGAAAACCAACGAGTACTAATATTCAATTATTTTGGTTATAAAATGTAGTAGCCAAAAGTTACTAGTTTCTAGGCCAAGGAAAAAAGTGCAAAACAGGAAATGAGCCTAATAATAAGTAATACGATACTAGCAACACTTAATTTTAGTCTAAATTTTATTTTAATTGATTTTGCTTAAAACTTTTTTTGTCAAAATTACTAGGCTAGGCTTTTATAATATAACCTTACATTCTAGGCATAATTTTTCCTAAAAAGCCTATAATACTAAAAATAAAACGATGAATGTTTCATTCCATTTATAATTTCATCTTTTCAAATAAAACTTATTAATTTAATTTATGATTTATTAACAAGTCAATTTTATGCTATTTTTTTATTTTTATTTTATTATTTATAATTTATTTTATTTATAATATTAATATTTATAATTTATTGCTTATATTTTATTTTATTTGTAATTATAATTTATTTATAATTATTTTATTTTATTTATAATTAGCCTAATTTACCAAAATGTTATCAGTAATGGTTATTTGAAAAATAAAACAGTAAAAATGAAAAAAAAAAAATGATTGATAATTTTATAATGCAAATGTAAATGAGAAAATTACACAAAATTTTAAAAACTTTTTAATTTTTAAATTTTAAAATTATTTTTATGGTAAAAATTATTTTGTGAAAAATTACAATTTATATTTTACTTTCATCTCATTTAACTCTAAGAATTTAACATTGATTGCTGGTAAAAATATGAAACTTTTCAATTTTGCTTCAATTCACTTCAATGAATAATTTATCAAAAAAAAAAAAAAAAATTTGAGCAATAATTTATTTAACTTTAAAATGTTTTTATATAAGCAATCAGCCAAATAAGCGATGCATTATCAAAATGAAATTTATTTCAGTGTAAAATTTCAAACAATTTAACAAAACATTTTTTAAGTCATCCAGAAAAATTAAATTAGTTAGTTCATTTCTGATTTGCTTCTTATGTTTCTTTCTCTTTTTTTTTTTTTTGCTTTTTATATTAAAATGAAAAAAAAAAATTTAAATCTTTTTTCATTTTATTTATAGTAAATTTTAAATTATTATGCGAAAAGAAAAAAAATTGCTTAATAAAAAATTTTTTTAAAAAATTTTTCAATTTTTTTTTTTAATTTATTCAAATAAAAAATGACGTAAAATTGTTATACAAAATATTTGCATTACAAAAAATTAGAATGCATAAAAAAGGTTTGCAAATATAATTTTAAAATTGTTTTTGAAAGACAAATTTTTTTTCAAAAAAAAAACATTCGTAAATTTTCAAATATAAACTAAATTTGCATAAAATTTTCATTTTTCTTTTTTTTTTTTTAATCACAAAATTTTTAGTTGTAAATATGTTTGCGTTGCTGAAAATTTAAAAACGATGATCGATAGTAAAGAGTAATTGGGTTTCATCGTTTTTTTTTTTTTCTCTTTATGACATTTAAATAAGCTAAAAGATCATTTGGAAGATAAATAGTTGACAGGAAAATAAAAAAAAAAAAAAGGAAATGAAAAAGCTAAAATGGATATTTGCATAAAAACAAAAAAGTTTTTTTTTTTTTTTTTTTATGAATTTTAATTTTTTCTTTTGAACAGATTTACTATATATAAGAAAATATAAAAATTTTACTAAATGTTGTAAATTTAATAGTAATTAAATAATATTGCTGTGAATATTTATTACTATTATTATTATTATTACTAATAATTATTATTATCATTATTATTATTATTTTTATTATTACTATTATTATTATTTTTATTATTATTATTGATATACTTTTCATTTATGTAAAATGTTAAAAATTTTAAAACAATAAATGTAATAAACATTTCTTTTCTATGTTTTGGCCAATTTTGTTAAATTATTTTTATAAAAATACAAAGTAAATTTTAAAAAAATTTCAATTATGCATTAAAATATGAATATAAAAATTAAAAAAAACAAAACAAAACAAAAAGAAAATTTTAGAAAGATTAAATTATTTGTTTAATTTGCATTTTAAAAGAACAAAAAAAGAAAAACTTATCTATTGCAATTTATTTAAAATGTTATCTTTATCATATAAAATGCTACCTTTTAATTTTATTTAAAATTTATTGGAAGAAATTTTAATTTATTTGTTATTTATCTTTTTCTTTTCATCATGTCAATAAATTAAATTTCAATAATAAACTTTGCATTTTTATCATCTAAAGATTTGCATGCAATATTTAAATTAAATCTTTAAAATCTTTTTCTTAAAAAAAAAAAAGAAAGAAAAAATCGGTGAGAAAAAAAAAAAGATTTATATAAAATTTATAGTAGTGTGAGTTTATTAAAGAATATTTTCTCATTACAACATTTAATTGAATTTTGAATTGAATTCATTCCATTCAATTTAAATTCTTTTCTTTTTTTTTCTCTCTCTCCCTCTCTCTCTCTTTTGCCTTTTTTTTTTTGAACAATTGTAAATGTATTTTTACTCATTCATTGTTGTCACATTGTCAACATCATTTCTTGGCTTAAATTCACTTCCAAACATTATATCGATACATTCATTATTAAATTATTTTAAATTTATTACAAAAAAAAGTTTTTTTTCCTCCATTATTGCAATAGTTTTGCAAATTTGGCCAAAATGACAGGCCAATATGAGTAGAAAAGAGCCTAATTTGTCCCATTCACATATAACTTTGGGCCAATTACAATTGCATCAGAAAAGAAAAAAAAAAAAAGGAGGAAGAAAATTTTATGAAATATCAAAATTTGCTAATGTAAAATAAAATATTTTAAATTTTAAAATTTCCAAAAAAATAAGAAAAAAAATTTTATAAAATATCAAGATTTGCTATTTTCATTTTGATTATGCTTAAGTTTTTGCTAATATAAAATGATAAAACATTTTAAATTTTAAAATTTCCAAAAAAAAAAGTTTCACGAATTTGCTAAAATTTATTTGTAAACAATTTTATTGAATAATTATCAAACTTGTCAATGATTAAATTTGATTATCTAATAGTAATAATAATAAAAATGTCTTTGGTGACAATATTCGAAATGTTGTTAATGTCAAATGCTGCTTGCATAAATACGGTTGAATAATTTTAATTTTCTTTTTTCTTTTTTTTTTTATAAAAATTTGCAATGAAAGAGAGAATATTTATTTGATAAAAAATAATAATAATAAATCTATTTCATATATTAATCAAATAAATAAAGAAATAAAAGACTTAAAAATTGAAATATTAATTTTAAAAAATTTTTTTCATCATTTCAAAAAAAGAAAAAAGAATGAAAAAACCTTTTTATTACATTTATCCCTCAAAAAATACACTCTTACCACTATTTCTTTTTTAAAAAAATCGATAAATTGGTTTGTGAATTAAAAATTTGATTAATTTTAATTTCATTTTTCAATACTTCTTGTTGTCCATTTCCAGACATTACTTTTTCTCTCACTCGTAATACTGAAAAATTATATTATTTCGTTAAAATTGCACCAAAAAAAGAAAAGAAAAGAGAGAAGGAAAAAAGCTTTCGAGAATTCTCAGAAATAGCTATGAGATATTTGGGAATTCGCGGGATTGCATTGAGAGAGAAATTTAATTATTACTAATGAGAACAATCAATTTTGCTATATATTTCACTGAGTGATTTATTGATGATTTATTTACTTTTTACTTTTAAAAAGAAAAAAAAAAATTATATTATTGCATTTGTATATTATTGTATTAAAAAAAAAATATATTTATTTTTGAAAAATTTAAATTTAAATTTTAATATTTTCAGTTTCGATAGTCGCTTCCTAAATTGGAAAAATTGTTCCGACTTGTGTGTGATATTGAAAATGAATGATCGTCTTGGAGGTAAATTAAAACGAAACAAAATAAACAAACAAAAAACCAAAAACAAAATAAATTCAATCAATTTGAGAAATAATTTCAAAAAAAAAAAAAAAAAGGAAAGGAAAAAATAAGTATAATTAATCATTTCAAAATTTATTGATAAATATGTTCAAAAAATATTGATTGAATGATCTTGATCAAATTTTATTGATGAATTTTTTAAATATGAAATAATGAATGAATAAATTAATTAAATCAGTTATTTGTAAAATTCATAAATTTACAAATCAGTGATGATTAACTTTACAAAAAAAAAATCGAAATTTTTAAAAAAAAAAAGTTCAATTTTTTTTTTAAATGATAAATTGAGTATAATATGGATAAAATATAAATGTATGCAAATCCCAAAGGATTAGCAAAATGTTAAAAGAAAAATTTTTAAGAATATTTTTCAAAAATGTGAAAGAGAAATCGAAATGGAATGCAGTTAATCATACTTCGATAAAAGTAGAAGAAAAATTTTTTAAAAAAAAATAAAAAAATAAAAGCAAATAGCTAAATTTTATAATTTTTAAATTTCAAAATATAAACAAAAAAAAAAAAAAACTTTCAATTTTAAAACAATAACAATGAGAAAAATATTACTGAATTATTTTTCTTTTATTGTCAGCTAGTAATACCGGAAATATTTTATCTTATATTCCGGAAATATTTTAATCATTTTATATCAATTGCTTGAATAAATTTTTTTGATAAACACAAATTAAAATATTTTATTTGTTTTTTGTTATAATAGTTGAATTATTCAAGTTAAATGAAATATTTATTAGCCAAGTTGTTGCTAATAATTAAATATGCTCGAAATAATTATCTTTTCTTTGTTTATCACTGAAATATTATCAGTGATAATTTAGAATAATAAATCTAAAATGAATTTTTAATTAAATTGAAATGATAAAAATTATACAAAATAAAAAAAAAAAAATTAGAAATTTATGAATTATATTTGGCAAATTTTTGCTAAAAAAACTATAAATTTTGTTAAATTTTACCATAATAATTAATAATAAGTAAGATTTCAATAAATTTTATAATAATAAAAATTTTTTAAATAAAATTTTAATTAATTTCAAGGATGATATTTTAAATTTATTACAAAATTTTAAATTTTTTTTTTTGAGGACGACGACGTGAAGGTTACTTACGTGGTTGTATGTCCGATATAATACATTACAATCAGACATTAAGCGCACTTGGCGCAACGAACGCATGCACAGTTGTTAGGTTGCGTGATTTGTTCATTTCTACTGAAAGGTTTACTTCTTTTCTTTTTTGTATAATTTAAAATTATTGTTTTAAATATTATTTAATTGTTTGCATTAAAGTTAAAAAAGAAACGTAATTAATTGAATTAATTTTAATTATAATTTTTTCATTTTTTAAATTTAAATTATAATTTTCTTTTTTCATTTTTATCTCTTTTAAAAATTAGTTTTATCATTTATTAATTAGCAACAAAATAATTTTAAAATGTAACATTAATAGTTTATTTGTGTTTCAGTTAAATTAGATGGAATTATCAAAAAAAAAATTCTTTTTTAATTAGTAAATTATAATATTCTGTTTATTATTAAATTTTTATTGTTAGAAATTTTTTGTTACTTAAATTATTAATCTAATTTAGTTGAACACAAAAAAAAAGCTATTAATTTTACATTTTAAAAATTAATTTATTACTAATTAAGAAATTTTTTGTTGTTTAAAATATTAATCCAATTTAATTGAACACAAATAAATTATTAATTTTAGACTTTAAAAATTAATTTAAAAGAGATAAATTAAAATTATAATAATTCTTGCATTAATCAATCATTCATTAATTAATTTTTAGGTACTTATTCGAAAATTCCGATCAAGCGCAATTGTGCGCATGTCATAGTGATCTTTGCAATTTAGCGCCTTCGATAATTTCCATTCATCGTTTAATCTATCTGATATATGTTTTATTCATATTTTTTTTGTAATTTTTGCTCAAAATTTTAATTTTTATTCATCTTAAGCAAATTATTTTAATAAAAGAAAGAAGCGATAACGAAGGCAAATGATTACAATTAAATGTATTAAAAAAAAATAATTTCATAAATTAAAATTTGAAATTATTAAAATTTTTACATCGAATTATTTGTTATTACTTTTGCTAAAATGTTGAAATTTATCAAAATTTTTGCACAAATTTCATTTATTTGTTTTTAATTTACATTTAATTATGTATTAATTTTGTCATTTTCATTTATCATGTATTAATAATTGATTTATTGATTGATCAATTTATTGATTGATTGATTGATCGGTTTAATGATTTACTGATTGTTTGATTAATAATTTTTGTAATATTTGTTAATGTCATATCATTAATATTTGAAATGAAATGAGACCTCAGCAAGATAATCAACCAATGCAAATTATTAGTAAATTTCAAAGATAAAAAAAAAAAAGAAGAAAACGACACTAAAGATTAAATAAAAAGTAAAAATTAAATTTAATTATGAAATTTTAAAATAAACGATTAAATGTTTAAATCAAATTTGCAATAATTTCTATTCAAATTTATTTTTCAATAATTTCTTTTTCTTCCTTTGATAATCTAAAAATTTAATTAATTGCTTTATTTAATACATTTTTAAATGATTGAAATATATAAAATTTTAAAATTTAAATTGACCATTAAATATCATTCAAATATTTCAATACTTTTATTCGATAGTATTACTCAAATCTTTTCTACGCCTTTTTTTTTTTTACCGAATTTTTAACAAAAATTTTTGAAAATGTAAAAACACGCTAAAACTATTAGCTATTTAATTTAATTAATAAATCCTAAAAGAAAAAAAAAAATAGTTACATATCTTACATTAATTTGTAAATTAAATGTTGCAAAGGCGCAAAATGCATTTACAAGAAATGCGCAAAATGCAATTGATTGATGGCAAAACATTATTTTTTATATCGTAGAAAAAAAAAAAAAAAAAGAAAAAAATGAAAAAAATGAATCAATATTGCGATCGTATACATTTAGCAAATAAATTAAAATTAAATTAATTAAATTCATCTGAAATATTTCATAAAATTTGGAATGAAATTTAAATATAAACAAATACATATTTTTATCAAATTGTTAACAAAAACTATTGCTTTTTTCCTTTTTTTTAAAAAAAAAAATGATTTAAATTAAAATAAGCTAAAATATTTGTTACATTAATTTGTTTTTAAATTTAAATTTGATATATTCAAAAATTATTTGATTTTTTTTTCCAAATAATATTTAAAATAATTTTAGAAATAAAAAATAAAAAAACGATCACAATGACTGATAACTTGTCATATATATCATATCAGCACTCGGAATATATTGCATGGATTGATTTGTATTGTAAGCAAAATTAAATCCAGGCGCAGTTGCTACTGCTAATTGATTATTGTAAGCTGTCGCAAGACTATTCGTCTCCTGAATCGCTGATGACATTGACGTTGACATTGATTGATTCAAAAGCATTTGTGAACATTGTTGACGTTGTTGTCGTTGCTGCTGTTGTTGTTGTTGATGATGTTGTTGTTGTTGTTGTTGTTGATGTTGTTGTTGTTGATGTTTAATATCAAACAAGCCATCATCACTGGATATATCTGAATCTTCTTTTCGTTCACCACATAAACCACTGAAATTTAAATAAATATAAATTTTCATAATATATTTATAAAAATGTATATTTAGGCAAAAAAAAAGAGTTTATATTTATTAAAATGTATATTTAATTAAAATCAAAAATAAAAAGAAAAATGATTTAATCTTTTTTTTTTTTTTTTTTTACTTTACTAATAAAAAGTAGAAAATTAAATGTTTCAATGAAAAATAAAAATGAAAAAGAATAAAATGTTTAACATAAACTTATTACTATTAAATTTAAAAAAAAAAAAAATGAATTTTAGTTCAAAGCATAGTAAAATAATATTTTAAAAAACAAAATTATTTGTAAATGTTGTTTTTTTTTTAATTAAAATGAATTTCAATTTCAATGATTATCAGTGAAGCTCGTAAAATTTGATGGAGATAAGTTAATTATTTAATTTTTACTTGAATAATATTTGCAATCCTAAAAATATTTTCCATTAATTTAAGAAAAAAAAATAATTGAAATTATATAAAATTGAAAAGAAATAATTAATATATTTCTCTTTTTTTATCAGTGCAATTAATCTTAAATAATTTGAAGTGAATTAGCACAGAATAAATTAATTAGTAAAAAAAAATTAACAGTTAATTAGTGCTAATGTGATGACACGATAATGTGACATTTTAGTAAGATAATTATAATTATTCAATCTTACTATGATTGTTTAATAAGAATTTAATCAAAAATTAATTATTTAAATTTTAAAATAAAATTTAAAAAAAAAATCATTGAAATCTGTCAAAATTCCGTTTTTTTTTTTCTTTTTTTTTATCATCTAAATTCCATTTAAATAATTATATTATTTCAATTTTGTTGATTTTTGTAATTTTTGAGATAAAATTTTAAAAAGAAATATTATTTAAATTATCCAAAATTCCATTTTCTTTTTTTGTTATTTAAATTCCATTTAAATATTTATAACATTTAAATTTTGTTAATATTCTTAATTTTAAGATAAAATTTCGAGAAAATACCACTTAATTCAAATTTTAAAATTCCGTTCTTTTTTTTAATCATTTAAATTGCGATTAAATTTTTGTTGAAATGTTTAATAAATTTTTTTTTTTTTAAAAAAAAAATCGACAAAATTATATTTAGTTTACTTTAAATATTATATACCACTGAGGGATCAATTATGATTTATGACAAACAGACAAGTAAGTATCGTTGACATTTTCTTCTTGTCATTTAGCAATTATCAATTGACAGACAGACAGACAATCATCGCTGGAATTAGTGTTCGTGTCAATGTGTCATTGTGTAATAGAATTATTATACTGGTAGTTAATTAATCAAAATTAAAATTTTTTAACAAATATTAAATAATCAATTATTTAATTATAAATTTATGCATTTATTATTATTATTATTATTAAAATTACTTTTAAAATAATTTATCTCATTAATTAATCTTCAAATAATTTATAATTTCACTTTTGTTTAAACAATTTATCTAATATTTTAAGTATTTTCGTTGTTTCATTTTATTTTTTATTTTTTGCAAATTGTTTTGTTGTAAATTAATAATTACAATAATTTTTTTTTAAATGTTTTTAAATTTTTACAATATTTTTTAATTATTTCTCAAATAATTATCTTTGATTATTAAATTTTTAAAAATTTTTTCATTGGTTACATTTTTAGTTTATTGTTTATTTAATTTTTTTCTCTTTTTATAGAAAGTTATTGACTAAATAAATTTATTATTTTCTTTCTTTTTTTTTTTTCGTGCATATTTTGTTGTAAAATAATAATTTGTATTAATTTTTCAAATAATTATCGTTTTTAAAATTTTTTTCATTAATTAAATTTTTATTTTATTGTTTATTTAATTACTTCTTTCTTTCTTTTTCTTTTTCACTGAAAAATTATCATAGAACAAATAAATTATAATTTTTTAAAGTGAAAAACAAAGAAAAATAAATAAACAAAAGAGAAAAAGAAAAGAATCCATTGTGTGTCACATTATTGTTACATCAATAAATTAGTAAATGTTTATAAGATATTCTCTACAAAATGACTATAATATCATTTCATTGTTCACTTCTGTAAATAAACTTTACAAATAACTAAAGTTTCTTTCTCTCTCTCTCTCTCTTTTTTTCTCTTTCCCTTTCCCTCTCTCTCTCTCTCTCTCATTCATTTCATTCGATCCTTTGCTCATTCATTGTTTTCACATAAATTGTGAATAAAGAACACCTGAAAGTTTTGAAATGAATGACATACAAAAACATACACAGACACACACATACACACACACACATATATATATACAGACACATACATAGACAAACAAACACATACAAATACACACATACACAGACATACACATACCCAAACAGACAGATTTATGCAAATATATTCAGATATGAGTTGCTCTCCTCTGTCTTGTCAAGTGTCAAGTGGTCCCGGAATTACAGGTCGTACACAAATAGCTTTTCTGCCCAGAACTGCTAAACCTTGTTTACACAAAATAAACAAATTATTAGAGAAGGTTAGATAGCATTGATCAAATCTACCGTAATCATTAACGAGAGAGAGAGAGAGAGGGAGAGAGAGGGAGAGAGAACGAAAGAAAGAGAGTCAAACATATGATTGTTATGAATGTGTGAATGAATGATTCGATTGTTTTGTTTTGTTTTTCAAATTCTATCAATTTTTATTTCTATTATTTTATTTATATAAAGTTGAAAGTAATTATTATGAATGATTCCATTTTTTTTTCTTTCGTTTTCTTTTTGTTTTTGAAATTTTATTAATTTTTATTTATATATTTATTTATGTATAATTAAAAGTATGTGAATTTATTAATTACATAATTGTATAAATAATAAAACTAATTTACACTGAAGTAACTGAATTAAATTGACTTATTTTATAATATGGATTTTTTTTTTTTTTTTTTTTTTTTGTAAATCATTTAGTTATTTTATCCTAATATTTTAACTTTTTTTTTTTGAAAATCAAATTTTAATTTGAATTAAATTATTTGATGAAAATTAATGCAAGCAATATTTTTAAAATCATTCATTTATTTTATTCTAATATGTTTCAATTTTTTAATCACTAGTTTAATCACTAGTTTAAAGAAAAAATTTTCTTTTTTTTTAATCTTATTTGATTAGCAAATTGATTTTATTTTTTTATACATAATAAATAAATTAATTAATTAAGTTTTTTCATATAGTATATGAATGTTTGATTTTTTTCCTTTTTTTTTTTGCAAATTAGAATAGAAAAAAAAATTAATAAAAATTTGAAAAGATTTAATTAAAATTGAAAAGATACGATAAGCCATCATGTTATTGCTAATTGTAATACATCTTTTAGACATCAAAATTGATGTAATAGTAATCAGAAAGAGAAAGAAAAGAGATGGAAGTGATAGTGGCAGTGATAAGTATCATTTATCATTGTAACGCCTTTAACGAAGATACTTTTACCTGTTTGTTACAACTAATTCAGATGTTCAATAAATTGAGCATCGTTTTGCATAAAGGAAACAAAGAGATGAAATATCTCTCTGTAAAGAGTAACTTGTCAACAACTGACACGCATTTGTCCATATCATTCAAACTTGACAAGAGCGCTTGTTCGCTGAGTAATGAAAGATTGTGACAAGGATTGATGTTGATAACATTGATGATAGTAATAATAATGATAGATGATGATAAAAGTGATTATAAGTCACTGTCAAAAATATGGTGATAATGCTATAATAATTGCAGGGGTTATAGTTTGCAGTGGTTGAAGTTTTGAAAAAAAAAAAAAAGTTGTATGATAATTCAGTGATAATAATAACAGACAAGGAATGATTTTGATAATATTGATGATAAGAATGATGATAAAAATGATTGTAAATCATTGTGAAAAATGTGCTGATAATACTATAATAATTGTATTAGGTATGATGAATGAAGTTTTAAAAAACAATTTAAATGATAATTAAATGATAACAATAGCAAACAGCAAAATTGATAACAAAAATTATTAATTAAAAAGCAAAATGATTTTGATTTCATAATATGAACTGATTTTAATAAAAAGAGGAAAATTTTTTCGTTTAAATCCATATGATGCAAAAAGTAATTTCTAAAATTCTTGCCATCATTTGAAAGAGATTTTTAAATTTAATTTAATTTAGAACTTAAGCGATCACTGATAAACGATGACATGATAAAATAAACTTGACTAATTCAGTTCAAAAGCTCGCCATTTTTTTTAAAAAAAAAAATTCTCAATAAAACATTTTTTAAAATAAAATTTTTCATATATCTGAATGTACTGAACAGTTATCTGCTTCCACTTTATTTATTTCTCTTATCAGTGATAATAGCATTATGAATTAGAACTGACAAGCATAAAATATCATTTCTATTTTATCACATTTGCATTTTAGGAAAAATTTTTAAGATGAATGTGAGAAAAAAACCAAAATTTTTTTAAAAAATAAAAGTTTGCAGCAAACCGAGAAAATTTAAAATTTTTGAAATTGAGAAAATCGTTGTATTTAATACAACAAAAACTAATGGAAATTATTGAAATTATATTTCAGAATGAATTACTAAATGACTGCTTTTATTTTTTATAAATGTTATTTAGATATGAAAATAAAATAAAATAATTAAAACATAAAATACAAACAAGCAAAATATAATTTATTATATAAGTAAATTAGTATAATTTTAATGTTTCAAATTTATCCATTTTCTTTTTTCTTTAAAATATTATTTTTTTTAATTTATATAATTTTTTCTTAATTTTTAACTATTTAATTTAATTTTATAATCTTTTTTTTTTCAATTATTTAATTATTAATTTAATCAACTATTTTTGTTAAAATTATTTAACAAAAAAAAAAAAAAAACAAAAGAAAAAAGAATTTTTTTTTGAGCTTTTTCTCTTTTTGTTTATTAAAATTTAAAATGCAAAATTAATTTTCTTACCTGCCCTTATTTTCAGCAGCTCGATCACGTTGCCTTCTATTTTTAAACCAATTTGATACCTGTGTTACAGTAAGATGTGTCTCTTCGGCTAATTCTTTTTTCTCTTTTGGTGATGGATATGGATTTTTAGCATACCAATTTTTTAAAGTATACCTTGATTTCTCCTAAAAAAAAAAAAGTTTAAAAAAAGTAAAAAATAAAAAATCAAATTTCAATAAATTTAATTTAAACTTTTTTTCCGAAAAAATTTTAATAGTGGTTAAATTCAAAAAATGCATAAAATAAAATGAATGAACAAAAAAAAAAGTTTTTTTTTTGTGCTATTTCCAATTAAACTTTAAAAGTAACTTTATTTGATTACTACTATTAATTTTATTTAATATTTTAAATCATACTTAGATAAGTATATATTAAAACATAGTAATTACATTTAATACTTATAAATTATATTTAATTTTTATTTATGTGAATTCATTAAATTTATAAAATATGTTTTAAAGTAAATAAAAAATTAAAAAATTTTTTTTTCAACTAATTAAAAAAAAAAAATATTTACTCTGAAACAATAACTTGTTTCTTCACCATCCCAAATTGTTCGAGGTAGCGGAAATTTTCGTCGTATTCGATATTTTCCAACAGCGCCTAATTCTCTACCTCGCATTTTTTCAGCCTATGCAATAGAAATTAAAAAAATTAAAATCAAAAAAAAAATTTTGAACTTATTATTTTCTACAATTCTGCATTTTTTTTACATTAACAAAATTTTGCTTTTGCATAACAATTTTTTTATTTTTTTTTTTTTTGAAATTTATCCATTTATAAATGAAACGAAAATTTTTAAAATTAAACTTAAATTTAAAATAAAAATCAAATATGAAATAAGAATTGAAATTAAAATTAAGATAAGTTAATTATTACTTCACTATAATGTGCTTTCAGCCATAAATCTTGTAATTCTGCATGATTTTCTGGTGAGAATTGATTAGTTTCAAGAATTCGATAAAGTTCTTTAAAATTTTGCCGATGAAAACATATAAATGCTTGAGCTTTAAGGACACTTTCATTACGCCGTAAATCTTCTCGATTTGGTATTGCCCAAATAAATTCAGCCTTGAAATTATCAAAAAAAAAAAAAGATTACTTAACATCTCATATATGCAATTATCATTATCATTAACACAGAATTATCACTATCACTAGTATATAATTAGTCATATATCATTTTAATATTTACATTTATAAAATTCAATGATAAAGGAATTAAAAAACATTGATCAAAAAGAGTTACGGTAAATTATAGTTTAATACTTTTTAAAATAAACAAATAAAATGCAATTTTTTTTTTTTTTTTTAAAGTTTCACTCTACAAAATTTAATTGAGTTTTTTTTCTCACAATCACTGTAATAGTGGAATAATAAGAACAATCGATAGTCACTGGTACTGATATGATATGATATGATATGATATAGAAATGATTAATGAATAATAATTATAGAGGTAAAATTTAAGGTAAAATTGAAAGTTTTTTAAAATGTTTTATTAATAGATGCTGCTACATGTCTAACTGATAAATAATCATTGTTTACAGCTCAAATAGCTTTTTTTCTAAAATTTCTTTTCAAGAACGATTATTTATTGTGAGCTAATCTAATAATGATAATAAAAATAGTAATTTACAGATATTACTGTAATAATAATAAAATCATAAAAATAAATTGTTGCTATATTATTAAAAAAAAAATGGAATTATAATAATTAATTGTTCTATTTTTAAAAAAAAAAAATAATGAAAGAAAAAAAAAAGAAATGAAATGAAATGATAATGAAAAATGGATCATACCAAACGATCGATGTCACCCGATTGATGAAGAACTTCACAAACACAAGCAACCTGATCGCTATCAAATGTACTCTCACTGAAATGGAATATATAAATATAAACATGAAATAGTAGAAGGATTAATTATTAAAATTTGGGAGGTGTGAGGGAGGCGGAAGAATTGTTAGAATGGATTTTAGGTTACTATTACTGAAATTAAATATATTACTAATAGTTATGTAATTTTAACCTGTTTTCTTTTTTTTTTTTTGCAACATTGTCGTAATGTAAATTGGATACTTTTTATAGAAATTGATATGCTATTGAGATAAAATTTCGATCAATCTCGATGATCAGTTTTCTTTTGATATTAACTTACTGTAACTTTTGTTTAATTTTTATTTAATTTGTACATAATGATGAGGAGGAGAGCTGGTTGATGAATGGATGATGAGTGTAGATGAGTATTTGTCACTGTCATTTGTCAACGAAATTTATTCATATCTGTAGGTATATGAGTACTAAATTACATGTTTTCATTGTTTTCCTTTTTTTTTTGTTTTGTTTTGTTTGCGTATGTTTAGAAATACTGATATGGTTGTATCAGATATCATTATGATATGTCAACAATAATTTTTCAAGATTATATTTTTTAATTTCATTGAAAATTTCTTTTCAAATATTTCCCGTGGAAAAAAAGAGAAGGAGAAGAAAAAAAAAGAAAGAACTCACGGTTGAATAGATAATTGATATTGTTGTTCCATTATAATAATTAACCTTGTAATTTAAAATTAGCCAAAAAAAAAAAAAAAAAAAAAAAGGAAAGAGAGAATTACAGATGGCTATTTGTAATGAATGAAAATGAGAAATGTACAGTTTTTCTTTTTCTTCTTCAAATTTCAATTTGAATTTGATATTTTTTACAGGTTGGCGAATTAAATAAGCCAAAATTTAAATCCTGTAACTGTAATAAAATATTAGTTATTCCTCCTCCCTTTTGGTATTAAAATGAATAATCGTCGATTGATGTTAATATTAAGAGAGATATGATGAGATGGCGCTGTTGGTTGATGATATTGTGAAATGGGAGATGCAAAGCGGTGCGTTTTTGGTTCGGTAAAAGAAAGCTAAATCATTTCGTCAACCTTCGCCTCCTCCTCCTCCTCCTCCTTCTTCTCCCCCCTTGTCCTCTCTCTCTCTCTCTCTCTCTTTTCAATCTCCTTCATTCTCTTTCATTTTAAAACAACATTTCTCAACTACTGTCACTCATCTGGGACATTTCATTGGGAGGGATTTAAATTTAAAAAAAAAAGAAGAAATACTACCATAGTTAAAGGGAAAAAAAAAGGTGGTAAAGGTGGTATTCCTAAAGTAAAGTAAGTCAGTCATCTGTCAACCATTCTAGCATACTATGATGACAACCATAAACCGAATACTTTCTAGACATTTCAAATAAAATTGCTAGCATTTGTAATCATAATTTGTCACCTAAATTACTCTTTTATTAATTTTGTATTTTTTACTTTTTATTTTTTGTATGATAGCAAAAATTAGAATATAAGTAAATATATGGAAATATTAGCATGTGATAGTAAACAAAAAGTAATAAGACAATAAATGATACGATAAGTTATTTGTTATTGTTGTTGTTGTTGTTGTTATGAAATGAACGCTTATCAACGAATTGATAATTTGTTAGTAATAAGGTAAATTCAAAAATAATGGATATAAGTAAATATATGGAAATATTAGCATATTATAGTAAGCAAAAAGTACCTTATTATAAGTGAATAAGTAGTTATAAGTAAATGAATGATAAGTTGTTGTTGCTAGAAAATAAAGGCTTATCAATGAACTGATAATTTGTTAGTAATAAGATGAATTAATGTAAATTACAAGTAATGAAAGGAATCTGGCAGATGGATCGATTCAAATCAATGATAACAATTGACAGTAATTCATTTTTTCCCCAAATTAATTAAGGTTTAAAATATCAGATTTATCTTATTACTATCAGATCTTATCAATCTTAATACTTCAAATATTATTTATCAGACTTGACTATTAGTTAATCAGTATTTCATAATTGAATTCTAAAAATGAGTTATTTTTTATTTATTTTTTGTATGAAGTTATAAATAGAAGGATAAATAATAATTGGAATGCATTAATATTTGAAATAACAAATATCGCTGTTACTGATATGATTTGATAAAAAAGAAAAATGCACTTAAATAAGTAAGTAAAATTTATCAAACAAAGAAAGAAGAAAAAAAGATCTAACATAAATATTTATTTATTTATTATCTATACGAGTTTTTTTCCGACCTTATCATTTTATCAAATAGAAATAAGAAAACAAAATTGAACAGTGTAAAATTGTTGTTTGATAAATAAATTGGACAAAGTACTAATAGTTACAATTAGCCTCCTATTGAATAAGTATAAATTATCAATGATAATAGATGATAGTAAATAAACAATTGATAATGGTAATAATGATGACTGATATATTGATAGGCGGTAATGGTGATGAGTAATAATGGCGGTAGTGGTTTAGTACACCAGAAATTAGTGGCCGCGGTCTAATGCAATGCATCTTCCTCAAAACTAATGCTTGGATCGAAGCATTTCAATGGTTTTCGAAGTAATCTTCTGGCACAAAGGCACTCATGGCTGTCACATTTGCGCCTAACACCTTGTCAATCATTCAACAGTCCTCAACAGGCTTCCTCCAATTCTTTCAATGTATGTTTTAATATATGTTCGATGATTTGTTGCTTTCTGGCTGCTAAATTGGTATCATTTTGACTACCTTCAATTGATGTAGTAATAAATGAGTGATAATGATAATGATAACACTGATAAAACTATTAATAACAATAATAAATTTCATTAATATAACAAAAAAAGCTATATTTATGCACTGATAAAATTTGATTAAATTTTCAGCGCAAAAATTTTTTTACTAATAAAAGAAAACAAAAAATTATGATTTGGAATTAATTTGAAAAAAAAATTTCGAAATTCATTTCTATTTATTCAATATGTTTTGAATGTTATTTTCCATTTAATTTCTCTTTCTTTTTTTTTCTCTCTCTCTCTCTCTCTCATTTCTTCCCTTTTCTCTTGGATGAATCAATTTTTTTAAAGCATTTTCCTACGGTATATTTTATTTCTTTAGTTTTAATTTTTCTTTTTTTTTTTTTGATTAACATTAGTTAATGTAATGCTACAATTACAGATGAGCAGTAAACAAAAATAATTAATTAATTTCTAAAAAACATAATTAAAATTGATTTCAAAAAATTGTACTTAAAAAAAAATTAAAAGTAATTAAAAGAGAAATATTAAGATTTGATGAATGCTAATAATTTTTATTAGTTTTATTGTCGCTTTAATTTTACTTTATTTAAAGAAGATTTAAAGAAGGATTTTTGCGCTTTTTGTAAATTATTAATTATTAATTTTCTCAAATCTTTTTTTTTTCTTTCTTTCATTTATTTCTATTTTTTTTTTAGTAAGGAAAGAATTTTTAAATTTGATGAAAAAAAAACTTGTCACATTTTCACCGTAATATTTTAGCATTTTGAAAAAAAAAAATTGAAGAAAAAAAGAAAACGAAAAAAGATGAAAGCAATTTTTTAGTTTTTTTTTTTTTTTCCATTTCTTCCTTTCACTTTTTTTTCCTCACTTCCTCATTCTTTTTATTTTCCTTTTTTCTTTAAATTTGAAATGAAATAAGAAGTAAAATATATGCAAAACTTAAGAAAATATTTTTGAAGCGTTAAAGTTTAATTATTTACTAAAAAATTAATTATAATTTAATTATAACTCAAATAAAGTTTTATAAAGTTTTTTTTCCTAGGTTATGCAAAAAATTATTATTGTAATTTTACTAAATGGAATAATACTTATTTATGCTTGAAGAGAATAAAAAAAACCTCGAAAAAATGATAAAATAAAAATATTCTTCAAAAAGAAAAAAGGAAAAAATTCTGTCGAAATAAAAGAAATATATATAAAGTTTTAATTTTATAAAATAATAAACTAAAATTTAAAAATAATTTTGCATTCAAAATCTTATCACAAATTTTTAAAATTCAGTTTTGAGAAATTAACGCTTCGTTTGTTGTGTTAATTTTAGAATAAATTAACTATGAATTCATTCAAATAATTTCATATATTCATCATAAGTTTAAAATTAATCTTTCAAAATTATACCTCAGCAAACATTTTTTTCTAAATTATTCCATTTCACATTTTTTATTTCAAACTTTTTTAATCTGTTTCCATTTGCGCCAAAAAAATGGTTATATCATTTGTTTATTTTCTATAAAAATTGTGAAGAAACAATGTCCTTAAAAATTCAATTTTTTTTTTTTAACTTTTTTCACTTTTCATTTGTTTATTTTTTGGATGACAAAAGAAATAAAAATAAATTGAAATAAAATGATTAAATGAGAGGTAATACGCTGCTATTCAATTACTTTTATCGCATTTTTTTTTTCGAAATGTTATAAAATTTGAAAATATTGAAGCCATAAAAAAGTTCGTACTAAAATAATAATAATAATAATAATAATAATAATAATAATAATAATAACATAATAATAATGGTAATAATAATAATAACAGTAATAATAGTAATAATAATAATAGTAGCACAATTTGTAGCAGATATCATTAGCATAGGTAAACAATACACAATTAATTAATCCATTAATTAATCATCAATAAATTCTTCATTGATAATAGGTAATCAAAATATACGAATTATTGATGACTTATCAATAATATTAGAAAATATTATTTATCGTTTTCGAATTTATTTCATTTCATTTCCGATAAAATTTCATCCAACAAATTTTTAACATCTTCCATCACAATCACATCCTTATCATTGTTTCCTGAAATGGAATATTTTATAATAATTCAAATATTTCAAAACTGAATGATTGAAATTTACAAACTGATTTATAAAACTTAAAATCTCAACTGAAAAAAAAAAAAATGAAATTAAATACTTTTGGTTTTACAGAAAACAATGAAATAATAAATTAATGAATCTTTTCACAATCTCAATGTTTTGTTTTGAAAAGTGCTATTCTATGATAACTATAATTAGCTGCTAATTAATTACTAAAATAATTTGATTAGCTAAATAATAATGCAATGATTTATTAATTTTATTTTTAACTTACAAATGAAATATTTACATTTCGATGAAATTTGAAGGCTTTCGGTAAAATAATTCAGAAAAAAAATTCGAAATGAAATGTCTTTTATTTTTATTTTTTCTTGTAATATCTAAATTATTATTATATTACAAGGAATTAACATATGAAAAGATTTTTTCTGGAAATGAAAAGATTTTTTCTGGATCATCCGGAAGACTACCAGCTGAGCTAACAGAAGAAATAATTTGTAAAACATTTGCAGTTCACCGGAAGTCAGATCAAATAATAATAACTCAAACTGAAACGGATGGTTTAATCCATTATCCGCGGAAGCCACTCCATCAACTTTGTGTCAACTAATCTGTCCAATCATTTATCTGTCACTTTCGGGGTCACCAGAACAACTTTTTTTTTTTTTTGTATGATATTTAGCAATCATTTGATATGTTATATCAAAAATATTTAATCAAAATTATTTAAAAAAAAAAAAAAAAACATTAATTTTTTAACTTTATATATTAATAAAGTTAGCATTAAGTTAAAATTAATTGTAAACTTGAAAGGATTGCCGACAAAGAATTTAAATTGATTATTGTCATATGGCAGGTCAAGAAGAACAGTCATATAAATTAGCACCGTTCAGTAAATATAGCCCTCATTTGTTTGCTCATTTCTTATTGTTCAATTATTTTTGATTACTTAAAATAGTTAAGTTAAAAAAAAAAAAGGAAGGAATAATATAATAAATTTAAAAAAAGAATTTCGAAAAATTTCTTCAAAAAAAATTAGAAATTTTATTTAAATTATTCAAAATTGTAAAACTTTAAATATTCAAATGATTATTGTTATATATAAATTTATGTTAAATTATATAATTGAATAGTCAAATATCAATAATTAAATACAAATATTGATTGATATTTGAGAGTTATAAAAGTAATTAATAAATTTATATTAATCAAAAAAGAAAAATATAAACCATTTGAAATAATATTTTAGTTTAATTTCAATTTTAAAAAAAAAAATGCTTTTTTTCTTTTCTTTTTTGCAAATTATGCAAATTAATTTTGTAATAAAATTGCCAAAATAAATTTTAGCACTAAAAATGTTTAAATAAAATTTAGCATAAAAAAAATAAAAAAATGTTTAAATAAAATTTAGCATAAAATATAACCTATAAAGCAATTGAAAGTTAATTTAATTAGACAAATTTGTAATTAATTTTAGAATGAATTATTAATTTTTTTTTTAATTAAATATTTTTCAAAAAGAAAAAAGAATCTTTAATCAATTATCAATTACCTACCGTATTCTTTGATAATTGATCGAGTTGGCATCGTTGAAGAAGCATTAGCAGCGCTAACGATTGTTGTTGATAACTTTTTAAAATTGTTGTTAATTTTGCCATTGTCATCATTATTATTGTTATTATTATCATTGTTGTTATCATCGCTATCGTTATCATTATCATTATTACTTTTACATTTAACAATTGTTTGTGCATCCTGAAATATCAGTTCATTTCTTAGTATAACGTAGTAATTTCAGGAAAATATTAAGAATATGAGGTAACACAGAGAGAAAGAGAGGGAGAGAGAGAGAAAAGAAAAGAAGAAGAAAGTGAAGAAGTGAAAAAGTCAAAAAGAGTGAAACTAAACAATCATTGGTAATGGGATACTGTGGTTTGATATCAAATTTCACCTTTTTGCAATTTAGACACAGGAACAGAGGTGCACATAAAGCTTTAGCTTTATATTTAATTTTATCCTAGAGAAAGAGAGAGAGGGGGAGAAGGAGAGAGAGAGAGAGAGAGAGAGAGAGGGGGAGGTAAAAATACATAGAAAATGAGAATGAGAATATTATGTTGATGCTTTAAAAAGAAAGTAAATATTCGGAAGTGAAATTCAAACACTTTATTTCTACTCCAACTTCAACACCCAAACATATTCCACTCACATTACATAAGATATTTCATTGCGCAATTGACTAATGCAGTTATATTCAATTGCGCCATAAAATCAATATAGGCCAGAAAGAGGAGTTAACCATTTTAGCAAACTCATTAAGCTTAATATTTTTTTTTTTTTTTATCCTTTGAAATGAATTATATGTCAATAATACTTCCGTTTTTGCATATACAAAATCAAATAATAGATAATAATATTGATTTAAAAATTATAAATTTGTTTATTTTAATTTTAATTGAGAAAATTATTTTAGAAAAAAATAAAAAATATGAATTTAAAATTCCATCAGCACTTTTTTTTTTTGCAAAATGAGAAAATAATTTTTTAAGAGCTTAAGAATTAGACATTTAAGTTTTTAATTACTTTTCAAATATATTGATTTCGAATTAGTTCAGTCCTACACGATTACACTCAAAAAAAGATATATTCAATTTTTTATTTTTTGCATATGAATGGAAGAATTACAAGATAAATAATCTGTGACATCATTTTAATTTCTAAAATATTGGATCATATTAAATGCAATGATGAATAGAACAGATAAATATTCCTGTAAACATGAAATTAAAAATTAATTCATTTGAATATATTAAAAATTAACCAGAATTTAAATCTTTATAAAATTAGAATTCAAAAATGAGAACCTTTTTTAATTCAAGCATTGAAATATTCACTTGAACTGTATCCAAATGTTGTGTAGCAATTGAAGCATTAGCAACATCATCTGAATTCATTCGTCCAGTCGAAAAACATTTTCTGGATATTCCGGATGATTGCTTCCTGTATTTTCCACCGGTTTGTTGTTGTTTTTGTTGTTGTTGCTGTTGTTGTTGTCTATTTGTTTGTCGATTGGTATGAAATTTGTCATAAAATTTTATTCATTTATTTATCGATTTCATGCAACTAGTATTCTGCAATTGTTTCCGGAATTTTTAAAATTTTTCGAATTTTTACCATCAAATATTTTAAATATCAAAAAAAGCAAAAAAAAAAATTTGATTGCTTTTTTTTTTATCATGTTAACAATATTATTTACTTCATAAATAACTGATAATTATTTTTATAGAAGTAATTTCAGACTAAATTAAATATAATATCAATAAAATTTTTGACCTGGAATTAAATCGACAAAAGTGAAAAATTCTATTTATTTATTTTTTTTTTTAACAAATGACAAAATTTTTAGTATCATAAAAATCGTAATTATTCTCACTAAAAATCAATTTATCATACTGAAACAAATAAATGTAATTAAAATACGAATAAATGAATTGCAGTAAAAAAAATTGCAAAGAAATTGGAAAAAGTTTCTTTCCTTTCTGTTTAAATTTTTTTTTTGTTTTTTTTTTTTTTTTTTTTTTTTTTAAAAGAAAAAAGAATTTTCTTAAATAATTTAAAATGAAATAAGTGATATTCAAATGTATCATTGCAAATTGGAGTTATGGTATTTAATGATAAGTACAAAGATTCAGATCTAAGGTCACGTCTGTTTAAGAAACAGAAAAATGCAGATTTAAGGTCACGTCTGTTTAAGAAACAGAAAAATGCAGATCTGAGGTCACGTCTGTTTAAGAAATACAAAAATGCAGATCTGAGGTCACGTCTATCTAAAAAATACAAAAATATAGATCTCAGGTCACGTCTGTTTAAGAAACAGAAAATGCAGATTTAAGGTCACGTCTGTTTAAGAAACAGAAAAATGCAGATCTGAGGTCACGTCTGTTTAAGAAATACAAAAATGCAGATCTGAGGTCACGTCTATCTAAAAAATACAAAAATATAGATCTCAGGTCACGTCTGTTTAAGAAACACATTTTTGTTTTATATTAATCTTCATCAAATGTTTAATAGTTTTAAGTTTTTGCAATCAATTATTGCTGTTTTTCTAAAAAAAATTTTTTTTTGATATTAACAAAAATTTTTTTTATTCCCTAATTTAATTATTTTTTTTTTGAAACACTTTTTTTAATTTAATTTTTGTGAGCAAAAAACAAAAAGCATACTTTTTTGTTTGTTTCAGTGCAAACTTTAGCGCCTTCTAGCTTCTGCTTCTTCTCCTTAATTTCAGCTACTTTTTTTGATGTGGCGCTATTGTTACTTTTGCAACCATTACTACGATTCTTTGATCGACGTAAAAAATGCGCATTTGTTCCTTTACTATTGTCAATATCAGGTACATTCTCTTTCCAATTTTCAACACTAAATATAAATTATAATTGTCAAAAAAAGAAAAAAGAACCTGAATTGTGATTATATATAATTGAAAAGACAAAAAATTTTCAAAAAAAAAAAAAACTAAATTAATAAATGAAGAAATTAAAATAATAAAAAATTAAAATGATTCCCAAATGATTCTTAAAAAAATTTTTACAAAATAAAAATTTCAAAATTTTCAACTGCTTTTTTGAACATTTACTATATCTAAAAGCTTGACTTATACTTTTTTCCCGCATAAAATTAAAATTGAAATATAAGAGAAGGAAAGATTAAAAAAAATAAATAAACAATAAAATGTCGAGAAAGAGAGAAAAAATTAGAAGAAAGTGATAAACCTTAGTTTTCCAGCATCCCATTCTCGATCCCATTCTCCAGGTTTTCGAGATTTTAACGTTTCTTTCTGAAATTAGAAAAAAAAAAAAGGAAAAAAAATTGAATTTTTATTGCTAAAATTTAACTTGCAATAAATAAATAAATGTAATCAAACATAAAAGTTTATTTTAAAACATATCATTTCATATTCAGTGCAATACAATAACATTTGATTAACGAAGAATATTAATAGTATTGTATTTGACGTATTTCACGTATAACCAAAACGTGAATTTTTGAGCTATTTTCATATTAGTTTAGACTTTAGATGATTACAAATTGATAGATTTATCATTAAAAGATAAAAAAATACAGAGAAGTTTGATAATTTATAATCAATAATGCAAACATTACCTATCTTTTAAAAAATGTTTGTACAAAACTTAAGTAATCTATTCCCTATAACTTTTTAACTTTACTATAACACTTACGTGAATGAACGACGTGACAGTATTGTATCAAAGCTATTTGCCTACAAGTAAGTTATTAAATTTTAATAAGTGATAATTTAACCTTAGCAGTAATAATAATTATTATAGTTAACAAATCAAATTCTAACTTTAAATAACAACAAAATCAACGAACGAATAAATAAATAAATAAAACTAAATGGCAAAATCTTTAAATTAAAATGAAAATGAATAAATGAATCAAAAGAGTAATGTATGTAACTCTAATTATAATATTTAGTACAATAATTTAACCTTAGTAATTATAATAACAATAATAATAATAGTAATAGTTAACAATTCAAATTCTAATTTTAAGTAATAAATTAAAAAAAGAAAAAAATCTCTAAAATAAAATGAAATGAATAAATGAATCAAACGAGTAACTCTAATTATAATACTTAGTATGAGAAAGGGTAAGTTTACCATCGAAAATGACTTGGATTATCCTTTAAGTTTGATTTGTTGAAAAATTTACATTTCTGTACATTGTCCCTTTTGCTCTATCATAAAGGCTCATTTTGCCATATTCATTGACAAAATTTGCTCGATCTTCTTCCACAACCTAGAATTAAGTTTTAAAAAAAGTAAAATAAAACGAAAATAACAAATTTTTATAACTGTTAAAAATTAAAATAAAAATTTCACTTAATAAAATTACAAAAAATTAAGTTCAATAACAATAAAGTTTGTTGTTGTTGTTCAAAGAAAAAAAGAAAAGAGTGAAAAAATTTCGAAAAAAAACTTCTCTCTCTTGTTTAAATTAATTAAATTAAAATTTAATTTTTATTCTTTTGATGAAAAAATAAACAATAATAAATAATATATGTATAATTAAACAATATCTGTTAATTTTTAATTAACAAATTTATGAAGTGAATTTCTCAGTTTGACTAAATTTGCTGAAATTATTAATTTCTAGCATTGAATTTTTTTTTTTTTTTTGCTTTCAAATTATTCATTAATGCAATTAATAGCAATATTTGTTAATATTAATTATGATAATAATTAAAATTTAAAAATTATTAATAATTAAAATTTAATAATAAATTCAACTTCTTTCCTTTGTTCGATCAATTGATTCTTTTTTCGAATTTCAGCAATTTTTTTGTCCAATGCTTCTTCGTCCTCTTTGGATCGAATACGTCCACAATTAGCACTTAGTTCAAGCTTTTCATCCATTATTTTATCACTTTTTTCGTCCTCTATTTTCATTATCAAAATTTTGATTTAAAATTTTTTTTTTTAAATATTATTATTTGATAAATTATACGCAAATTATTTTTTATCGAAATGAAAAAAATTTTTTCATTTTTTTACAAATGAAATTAAAACAGTTTTTTTTTTTTGCTATCACTGATTGAAAATGATTGTAAAAAAAATTTCAAAAAATATTTCAGAAACAAAAAAAGCGCTCAAAAAAAACGAAGAAAAAAAAAAAAACTTTTCTATTTAATTGGTTAAAAAATTTATTTTCCAAATGATTTTTTCCATCTCATAAATTATGCATAACGATGAGAAATGTAATTTTTTTCAAATGAAAATAATAAAATTTTCATTGCCATATGTATAGAAAGATAAATAAAAAAATTAATTGAAATAATAAAAGTATGAGAGAGAAAAAAAAAAAAGAAAAAATTAAACTTTTCATTGAATAATGATAAAATTTGATTTAATAAAAAAAAATAATAAATAAAACCTTTAAATTTAGCTTATTTTAAAATTTTAAAGTGTGCAAACGTTTAATACCTTAATACTTAGTAACTTTTATTTGATCAAAAAAAAGAAATGAAATTTAAAAAGTATGATGATGAGAAAGCACTTAACAAAAGTAGCAAGTGCTAAATTTTTTTCATCAATCAATTTTTTTTTTTTTTAATTTTAAATTGAAATATTTGCGATTTTATTATCATTACTTTTTACATGTATTTGTAAATAGAATGCAATGCAAAATATAAAATTAATCGAATGAAATTATAATCTTAAATAAATCAATAATTTAAATAAATTAAAAAAAACAATTAATCAATAAAATTAATCAATAAAAATAATTAAAATATTTAAATAATAAAAATAAAATAATAATAAATAATAATTGAATACAGAAATGACTGACTGAGAAATAAATTGAAAAAATAAAAATGTGAAAGAAAAAGAAAGAATCATCAATGCATTGTATCTTTACGGTCACCCAAACAACAACAAGAATAACTCCCTCTCTCTCTCCCTCTCTGTCCCTCTCCCCCTTTCTCTCTCCCTCTCTCTTTTCAGATCTATAACACTAATTCCTTTTTTTTTTTTCAATAAATTAAACAAATCAAAATTTGCAATTACTTTCACTAAGAATTCTTCATTAATTACAAACTTTAAAATGAGAAAAAAGAAAAAAAAAAGGAGAAGAAATTGAGAAATGATAATTTGAATATTACTAAGCTAATTTAATTTATTTAAATTTATTTCAGAAAAAAAAAAGAGAAAAGGATTAATATAAATTTATTTTCAATTAAATTACTTTCAGTTATTAATTAATCATTTCCCAATACTGCTTCTTCTCTTTTTTTTTTCTTTTTTCTGATTTTTATTTCTAAATTTAAAATAACTTTATAACTTCATTAAATTTAAGATTTATTTTCAACTACATTATTCTCAGTTATTGATATTATTATTATCATTATCATTATCATTATCATTATCATTATCATTATCATTATCATTATCATTATCATTATTATTATTATTATTATTATTATTATTATTATTATTATTATTATTATTATTATTATTATTACTATTATTATTTTGTATCATATATAATAATTTATAATGGCTATAAAATAGTTAAAGTTAAAGAAAAAATCACATTTTTGGCTGAAATTGGTGGAGAAATTATTGAAAAATCAATAAATTCTATCATTTTCTACTTTTTTGTTTTGAATAACAAAAAAAAAAAAAAAAATTAAACTAAAATATAAAAACTCATTTTGAGCAAAAAAAAAGAAAAGCTTTTCATGAATACAAACAACTAAGAAAACGGATGATTGAGTCATTGTAAATGAGAAGGCATAACGAAGAAAGAGGAGGGATTGCAGTGAAAAAAAAAACGAAAGAATGAATGAATGAAATGATGATGATAATGTGATTCATCTCATCATCATTATTATCGTTATCATTTATCATCATTATCATTATTTATTATCATTTGTTAAAAATTATTTGTCAATTTTTTTTTTTTTAAATAAAACTAAACAAATTAGTTTCATTTGAATTAATTGGAGCAAAAAAGGGAAAAAAAAACAAAGAAACAAAGTAATAACATTTTTTCCTTTTTTTCCTTTTTTCTGTTCTTTTTTTTAAAAGTAAGCTCATTTTATTTCAAAATGCGCACATTTCTTTCTTTTTTTTTTTTTTTTTTTTTTGAAAAATCAATAAAATTAAATTTGCAAATGATATCATTACGAACTCTTTCACAATTAACAGTAAAAAACTTTGTGAATAATAATATATTTACAATTTATTCTAATTGATCGGTTTATTGAATTCATCAAATAGTTTCGGATGATATTTTGTTGTACAAATAAATTATATACTAATATATTTTTAAAAAATATTTTTTTTTTTTTTAAATAAGTTGACGTCAATTTCAAATTAGAATAATAATGTCTCACTGCTTTTTTTTGTTACTTTTCTTTTTCTTTTCTTCACTTTGCTTTTATTTTTTTTATTACTTTTTAATTTTAAAATTAACATTAGAATTAGAATAGCATTATTATTGATTTGATTAGAAATTATTGATAATATTTCATTTGATTAGTTGAAACATTCATTGACTGAAATTCAAACTTATATGCTATGAATGAATCATTGAAATTTTAGAAGTAAAATTAAAATTGCAAATGTTAAATTTTTTGTGTTAAAATGAAATAAAATTGAAGAAAAGAAATTATAGGAAAAATGCTTCCTTCGTTTATAAAAATGAAAAAATAGAAAAGAGAGAAATGCTTTTAATTTGTTCGTTCAATTTATTTTGTTTGATTTTTGTTAACTTTTACGGCACATTCATCAATTGCATTATTTATGATTCACTTATTTCATTTACTCAAAAGAATAATTTGTCCATTAATCTAATTTAATTTAATTTAATTCCATTTCATTTCATTTCCGTCCTATTTAGTTCAATTCCAATATATCAAATTATTGCCCATATTGTTGTCCGATTAATCAAAAAAGCACAGCCAATAAACATTGTCATTTTGTCGTCATTTCCTAGTCAATTTTAACCAAACGTTAAAATGTTTCATCATTTTAATTCACATATAATCTGATTAAAATTGATAATTAATTTCAATGATCTGAAATAACTGGTATACTCGTATTATTAGATTCATTTAAATAATTTATTTTCATTAAAAAAAGAAAAAACCAATCAATAAAGGATGAATCGATGAAAGCAAAATGTTAATTTTACTGAAATGTCTGTTTGTTGCAGGGTAAACAATATAATACTGTAAATAAGCAAATAATAAATTTTGAAATAATTAATTTATTTTTTTTTTTTTTTAAAAATGCAAAACGAATCATTTTTTACTATAATTGAAGCTGGAATATTTTTTTAATGTTAACTGTTCTAAATAATTTTTACTAATTAATTATCTTTTGTTAATTAATTTTAATGTTATCAATTAATATCAAAATAATTTTCATAAAAGTAAATCTTCTCATTCTTACAGCACAAATACTAATAATATCATTTTGCATTATTGATATCATTTTCAGTTGATATTTTCGAGAATTCTCGAATAATACCATTGCTTCTAATTATATTTTTAATGTTCTAAAATAGTGACATATCTGAGAGGAAATTAAATTGAAATTATGCATAAAATAATAACTCATCAGATAATTGAAATTAAAATGTTTAACGCCTAATAAATCCTTAATAAAAAGACAAAAAAAAAAAAAAATAATAATAATAATAATAATTGTTGAGTGAATATTCTAAGTGAGAAATTTTGGAAAATCAAAAATATAATTAACAGAACATTACTACTTATTTTCTTTTTTTTTTTATTATTTGTAATAATATTTTTACATTAAAAACTTTTCACTTTTTCACTTGAATTAAATATATAAAAAAAAGCAACGACAATTCGATTAATTATGTAATTATTTGTTTACGTTTTTATTTGCTTATTTGTTAACTTGTACAATTGTTTAGCAAAAAAAATAAATCTCAACTTTATTTATTTCATTTTAATGGCTATTGTCACCACAATGGCGAAGCTATAACCTAATGAACAAAGGCTATTGTTTTAAATGATTTTCATCCACTTCGTAACCTTAACACCCAAAAATCCCTCCCAATTTTCTTCCTTACAAAGCCACTGATTATAGTTCCTTGTTTGGTATGGCTCGGTTGCGAGATGTCTAGCTTTCTTGTATCTTTAAATGTTTTGTAATTAAGTTACATTTGTATGTTACGTATCAATTCATTATTGTAATGTTGTATAATATTTATTGTTAATCTAAGGTTTAATTACCCAAGTTTGAGGTTTGAATAATAAAATGTTTCACGAAGACTCCCACAGTACACGTACACAGAACGGAACCAGTACAGATTCGAGATTCTACCAGTATCGAGGACCAAGAAGTCAACGATCAAGAAAGGAAGCTATTTTGTTTCACAAGGAAACAGAGCAGTAAGAAAGAAATTCTAAATTTGTTTTTACAGCTATAAAATATTTAGTATTATAGAAGGGAAACTTACAGTATAGTATTACTAATAGTTGCATAATTACTCATTTTAACCTAAAATGGATAAAATATTCAGTAATAGTTATTTATCTGTAATGTTTGAACTTTATCGAATTTTTGCAAATGATTAATTAAATTTTATTTTTATCATTTTTCAATCGTTCAAATAAAGCAATTATGATAAGCGGTAAGCTTAAGTGTACAACTTTGATCAGTTGACAGAAGCATGGAATTTGGAAATATCATTATCTGATTAAGAATGTTTTTTTTTTTTAAATAAAAAAAGTAGAAATAATCATTAAAGTGCTTGTGCTCATCGCAATGTTTTTGTATTAATGATATGAACGATGATAATAGGCGCTATTGTCTCAGTTTTCTTCCATTCTGAAAAAGAAGGAAATATTGTGATAAATTTTTGAATTTAAATAGGAAAAAAAAACATTTTGCTAACAAAAAATTCATTAATAATAAAAGGAAAGAAGAATTGGAAGACATCAGATAATTGGTGACATCGATGATGATAATAATAACAATAAAACATTGATGATAATGATAATAATAATAGTTTTTCTGATCTAAGGATGGAATCGAATTAGGTAAAAGTTAATCAATCAATTACAAATGCAAAACGATCAGTTTGGAAGTTTTTTTTTTTTTTCCTTTTTAGTCTTTAATGTTCATATTTTGATATACATATCATTGATTTTATTTTTCAATTCGAATTAAGAATATACCGAATTCATTGATTGAAGCAAATAGAATGTAGCAAATTACATTTTATTCCATTCAAATTATTAATTATTATAATGAAATTTCATTTTTTTGATTGATTTGTGTTCGATCATTTATTGCATTTTCATGTAATCATTATTATATATATGTATTATCACTAATTTTTACACGTGAAAATACGTCAAATATGAAAGATTGAGTTGTATTTTTGATAAGAATTTCATAGTTTATGTTTAGTTTTACATTATTTATAAAACAAAATAACACAGTTACGTACATACATACATACATACATACATACATACACACACACACACACACACACACACACACACACACACACACATACACACACACACACACACATACATATATCGAAATAAAAATGTTTTAACAAGTTGACATTCACAAAAATGCATCAATGCCTCTTATCAGATGAAGTGATGACAAAAGATTGTTCAGTTTCTTTCAATCATTCGTCAAAAAAATGGAACAATTGACGTACGCAAACATTGTCTGGATCTTATTTTTTGACTTATTTTACAATAATTTACTGATTTTACCTGGTATTTCAATCAATAATGAGAAATTGCTGGAAAAAACTTTGCAAAAAAATACGGTTATTGATGATAGTATTTCAATTCATTTGAATATTTGAATTTTCTTTAAAAAAAATATAATCGATAAACTAGTATACTCTGAAATATAATCGATAAACCAGTATACTCTGGAATAATATTTAAATGTTTATTGAAATGGAAATTTTACTAATTTATAAAAAGCCTTACAGAATAAAGAAACAACACCAACAATTGATTAATTTGAGAAATTTCGGAAAAACTCATCGAAATTTTAATCACCACTCAGATTTTTGTGTATTTTCCACAACGAATCGGAAAATATTTTGGAGATTTTCATCACACGTTATGATCTCACGTAATGTCATGTCATGACCCTACGTAACACCACTATTTTTAGCACAACGGACGTCTCATTTGTGACATTCTATTTTACTCGCCATCTCCTCTAATTACAGAGAACACTTCCATTTAAATTATTTTACAAAATAATTTCAAATCTGAAGTGGAACGTAACATAACCAACGCGTATGCATGTGCGTGTGTGTCGTGTATGCATGTGCGTGTTTGTGCGCGTATATGTATGCGTCTGTGTGTATGTATATATGTGTATGTATGTGGGTGTGTGTATATATATGTGTAAGCGTGGATACGTGCACGAAGTGTGTCTATACGTGACGTACACACTTGCACGCATCTACGAACATGCCCTCAAGGTAGGAAAATGATGACAAAGGTTGGAGACAATAAAGCTGTCGGAGTCAGAGATTAAAGATGAGGAAGTGTAAGAGATGCAGAAAAACATATAAGTGCAAGTGTGCGTCAGACGAGAAACAATGAGAAAAAATCAGCATCTGACCTTTGTTAAAGAAATTGAAGAAAAAGGAGTGCACCGAATAAGGAGACAGCAGAGATGCAAAGCGACGATCGAGAACATTCCAGCAAGTGTTAGAATGAAGCAATGGGTTTGCTAGTTAACTTGCGATAGTGCGGCGGTTCATTTGGTGCGTTGATTTGAAATGAAATGTTTAGAGTTTGCTTAAATTAGTATACTGAGAGTGCGCATATTTCTAAGGTAGAGCACTCTTAATTAATTAATTATTATTTTGTTAGAAATTTGTAAGAATATGATTATATGTTTTCTATTTCTTGAAATCTAATTGGTCATATGTTTTTTTTTTTTTTTTTTTTTTTTTTTTTTTTTTAATTTTTTTGAATGCAAGCATTTGAGAAATGGAGAAAGTGTTCATTGATCGCTTATTTATAAGATTTTCTGTTTGTGTTAGTTTTTCGTTATTATTATTTATTATTCTTTAAATAAAAGTGTATGTCGTGTTACAGTCGTCATTTTTTAGATTATTGAATTTTGTTAAATTTTCATAACGAATAACAGAAATGGAAGAACGTACTGAACTACGCCACGACTTACATGAATTGCGAAGTTTGCGTTCCATTGCATCACGTAAAATGACGAAAAGTATGCTAGATGAAAAGATCACGGAAATTGAAGGCAAGGTAAAGTCAGCTAACATTATTAGCAAGTATGGTCAGTTCTATTAAATAAACCTAATAATAGAAACAAAAGGATTAAAAAAAGAAAGACTGAAGATGATCGACAAAAAAACCATCTGCTCAGTATGAGGTTCCTTTTCTCGGTAAACAATTAAGGCATATAAAACAGTGTTGCTAAGTATACGTTCCTATTTACTTTACAATGAGCAAGATAGTTGTTGGCAAATAATAACTATTGTTTTTGTTTCAGATAAAAGCACTAGAAGCAACGAATAATATTGGTGGATGTGGTGATGTACCGGTTTTGAAACAATCGAGGACGGAAGTTGCATCTTCGAATACTGTACCGTTGGCAACAGTGAAAATTACTAATTATGGTAACTGAATCGTTGACGATAAGTTATTTAATTTGTACATTGAGGCTTCTTCTGACGTTCCGCTGCGTTAAAAATTAGGAAATATCTAGAAAAAGATGTGGATGAAATCAAAAAATTATTTTCCTCTGACTTCAGTATCACAAATTGCAAGTTAGAATTCTTATTGTCATTTTGACAAGATTTGGTATTTGAAATTAAGATTTCAACTAGATGATTTTCAATTTTATTCCATATATAACTGAATATGGCTCTTCTAGTTTGGGATTTTGTCTTTTCATGTGGAAACGGCTGCATAATAAAAGTTTTCCCTGTTATCATTATTTCAGCTTGGGATCAAAGTGACAAATATGTGAAGCTTTACCTTACTATTCCAGACATACATACTGTTCCGGAAGAACAAATTACAGTCAACTTTACAGAAAAGTAAGAACTGAATGGATTACAATTTCAAATTTTAGTTATGTATTGCTAGGAAGAAATGGATCCTCTATATAACGATAAAATATCTAGATATTTTTTTTTTTCATATACTATAAGATCGGTTGCTATTGTTAACATTTTTTCCTTGGTTGCAGTGAGGTGCATGTTAATGCTCATGATGTATCTTCAAAAAATTACTCTTTAATAATAAAGGGTTTATTGAAAACAATCAACCCATCCGGCTCTTCTTTCAAGGTAACACTTTCACGATCCTTAAACTATTATTCTTGAAAAACGCCGCATTTTTTTTTTCAAATTCCATCAAAAATTATTTTGATTTTATTTCAAAATTTAACTCTTCTGTATATTTAAATAAGCTTCAACATATAATTGCATTCATGCTGTCGTTCGTACCGTCATGAATTTCTTACATGATGACCAAATGATATATTCTATATTTTGGCTTTTTCTTCTTGGCCACAAATGCAAAACAGTCTTTCGAATCAGTTTGGAATCGTTTATAATGTTATCTTTTCATACTACCCTTCTACAATTCCACTTCTGACTGGTAGTATTTGTTCTATATGTCCTTCCTTTGTTTGTATAACCGCAGAAAAATTTCTTGATCTTGCAGAATATTCATTCTGTTTATTTCGATCTATAGTATCACACTGCATAAAACTCTGATTAATTAACAAATTATTTTCACTCCATAAAATAACCTATTTTGATCTTGCTATAGCAAAAAACGAACCTTCTGTTGATCATGATGCGAAAAAGTGATGAGGAAAATTGGAAGTATTTGACGAAAGCGGAAATGCAGAGCAAAGAAAAGAGGTTTTGTTTTTTATATAAAATACATTTTAATTAATTGGTAGTTCTTTCAAAATATCTTAGTTTATTTTGTACTTTTGGGCGATATTTTTTCAATAAGCAGTGTTTTTTTCTCAGTTTGGGTGCATTTGAATTCAGTATAACTTCTGTGTTTTTTAGTACACCAAAACTTGATCAAAAAGCAGATCCACAAGAATCACTGATGAATTTGATGAAGCAACTGTATGATGAAGGAGACGATGACATGAAAAGGACAATTTGTAAAGCATGGCATGAAAGCCAGACAAAAAAGAATTTAAACCCAGATGAACCATTGTAATTTAATCCCATATATACTCATAAAACAGCTTGTTATCGTGAAATGATTTCAAATACTGCCGAATATTCCTTCACGTAATAATCATACACATACATCTATATTTACTGATCCTCTGTCTTCCTTCATCAACGGGATGTGGATCTTACTTAAATATGGAGTTTAATTAATTTCGCTTTTCAAAAATTACCGGCTTTCGTGTCTCGTGCAGATTTTATGTTCCGTTCCACTTAGTTAACATTTTCCTTTTATTGTTTGGTAATATGTCATAATTTCATATTAAATACTTGTTTTTGTTGTGCTTGTAAACTTGCACTATAGAATTACTTTATTAAGCAATATGAACAGTGAGACCAAACAAGAGTAAATCTAATATTCAAGTTCATTCATTCAATAAAAATAAAAGTATCAGGAATTTCATTCAATAAAAACTACCAAAAACATTAGTAGGAAAGGCTGTCTTTGCTGGCATTCCTTACTGAAATAATAGCAAACCCTTTTCTAAGAGAAAATGTTAGCTTTCACATCTTCCTAGTGACAACAAAAATTTGAACTTGAATTTGAATGAGGTAGTGCATACTCTTATATCATCTAATACTATCTAGATAGAATGAACGGGCACAACGGATGGAAATTGGCACTTTAATTTTTATAGCGCCTGTGATGAAACACTGAAAGAATCAGATGGCCACCAAGAAGGTAGAAAAATTTCAATGTTTTCATTCTGCAACTGGAAATGTGTTGGTGGATTACTACCTGAAGTATATACCAAAGCTAGACCTTTCCTTCCGGTACATGCAATCACCTTTCCTGCACGCCGTCCATCACTGTTAATTAGAGTTCCAGTAACCATATCTGAACAGAATTTAAGAAGTAATTTGGAAATGCTAATGAAAGAAGACATGAGGAAATGAGAAGCTAAGAAAAACTAAGGTAATAAAAAAACTTGGTATAACAGTTAACTGGAAATTCTTAATACCGTCTAACACGACACTGAAAAACAATTGCAGGATTTTGTTTATCATGGTTGACAAACTTTATAAAATGTATGATATGACAAAAATAGAGTAGAAAATAAAGAGAAAAAAAAATCGACTGCTTACTTTTACATGTGAAAGGCAAAAGGCGTTTCCGTATTTCTGGTGCGTTTAATGCCCGGGCTGTCAATTCCTGGCCTAAGTAACATCCTTTATTAGCACTGAAATACATGAAATTATTAGAACTGCTTAAAATGAAGCATTTTAAAAGTGACAATATGGGATGAATTTGACAAAAGAATATAAAAATGAATAAGGCATGAAGCTGAAATAGTATTTTATACTAAGGACCATTTGTATAGTATAGTGTATCCATATTTTTTTTTTTTTTTTTTAATGAAAATAAGATTGATGGATGAAGAAAATATTGAGAAAAATCAAAATTACATTATTTACAGACCTTACACCGTTCATGATATCTGCATTCATGAATAATGGAAGTTCACCAGCTACTTCATTCGGTCCTTCCGGTATACCGAAATCAAAACGCCTTTCTCGGTATGCATTCTCATCTACTGTTTGATCATCTGAAAGCTAAAAACTACTAAGCACTAGCACTCAATGTTTTAATAATAATGTGTGTCAAACATTTGTAATTCCCTTGCTGTTAACAAAGAATTTTTTTCTTTGTTAAGAAAAATAGATGTAAAAAAAAAAAAAAAAAAAAAAGAAAAGAAAAACTTATAGAATGTTATTACCTGGCAAAATTTTGCTAAGAATACGTTTACCAAATGATGGAACTCGCGGATCTTGAATGCCAGGAATATTATTCGTTGCGCTATCAGCATGATAAACATACCTCTCTGTTACTTCTTCAATTGTTACATCTTTATGTATTTTAAACATTTCAAATAATTTCCGTAATTTCAATTGATTGCTTCGATCGCTTTCAATCAAAATTTCATCTGCTTGTCGGTACAAAATTAAATCTTCCACAATACGACCACGATTATTAAGCAGCAAAGCATACTGTGCTTGACCATCTACTAAGCGTCTAAATTATCACTTACATTAATTCAATTTACTTCACATTTGTAAAGGTCAATTAAAACTTAAATTTCTTCATTTTGCAAAATAATCTGCAGCATGTAAGATTTTTTTCTACCATCTTTCATTTAATATTATTAATCGATAGATAGAGGGATAACAATTACTTATTAACTCTGTGAGTGTAATCATATAATCTTACATATATGCTATCATATGAATAACAATTTCAGTAGGTATGAAACACTGAACATGATGCAGGGATAAATTACATAAAAGCATACTACTAATAAAAATTAATTAATTTAATTAAAGAAAAGCACACCTGACCTGATATCATTTGTAACGAGAGCTTGCAGGAATTGAAATACTTCCTTTCCTTTTGCTCGAAGTAATCCTCGATGTCGTAAATTGTAAATCATTCCGGCTGCCATCTCACTTCCAATTGGCAGTTCCAGGAAAATTTTTGAAACACATTAAATATAACGGAAAAAAAGAGCCATGAGATGACACTTTTCATAATGCACTGCTATTCGTCATTCTCGAAGAGAGCGCAAATTCCGGATGCGGATCTCTCCGGGAGTGTAAATTCCGGAGACGGAGCTAATTTGAGGTATGGTGGCTGTGAGGTGAGATGATATTGCGTCGAATCTGTTGGATGGTGACAATGGGTGGTGACAGTTGATGAGATATGTAATATATTTTGTTTTTTTTTGTGAGAAAAAGTAGTTATTGTAGGTTCAGAAATGTTGAATGAATATGTGAGATTAGAGATTAAAAAAAAGATGAAAGATTCATGAGTAGCATTTACAGCAGTGATGAGAAAGTAAGTTATACTTGCAGTTTGTTTGAATAGTAACTACTAAAGTATGTGTTGGATGGTAATTAGATGTTATTAGATTTTTTAAGGAATTTTTTTTTTTTTTTTAATTCCGGAAAGTTTATTTTCATTTTTTAGATTCATTGAGTTTGCATGTAATATTATAAACACATCAATTTCTTACTTAAATTTCAAACCAGATTTTATTTTTGGAATTTAATGATAAATGTTAGATCGAAAAGAAGTTTATTTGAACTAGAGAAGATGAGAATGAGCAGAGACAATTTAAGCTTAATTATTAAAACTAAACAAATTTAAAATTAGATATGGCAATCTTTGTATGAAACTTAGCTAGAGCATGAAATGATTAACAATAATATGGCTTTACACGAAAGTAAATAAATCGGAAATTGAAAGGGATGTAAGTATAACCATAAAAGAATTATGAATATAAAATATGTAAAAATGAAACATTTAGTCCTAAATAATTTCGAATTCTTCTCACATAAATAAATTGGAAATGAAAAAGTTCTATGTTGACAGTAACTATTTATTAACTGTGCAAGTATTTTAGTTTAAAAAAAATTTTTTTCCTTGTGTTTTTAGTTCAAAAAAAATTTCCGTTTTCTTGCTTTTCACTTATTTCTTATGGAATCGTCAACTATTCAAATTAAAGAAGCTATTTAGGTAATCCAATTATTAACAATAAAAAATTTCAATGGTAAGGAGAAGCTAAAAATACATTTTAAAATGGCGATCAATATAAATAGAAATAAATGATGACGATAATAAGTAAGTAAACAAACAAATAAATAAATATGATTAAATGGTAGAGTTGAATTTTAAGAAATTGGAAGAAGTAATAGGAGATTTTAATGAACTGTTGAATGGATTCCAACCATCATTTGATGATATTGTAGTAGCAATTTCTCTCTTTGTATCATTCTTCTTGTAATTATTCTCTGTAATTTATTCATAAATACTGATGTTTTGAAATTAATTTGAAATAAATCTAAACTTAAAAAATACTCACAAAAAAATTACTGTAGGAAAACAATCCATCATAATATCAATATAATCATGATATTGTATCTTTTTATCATTTCCATCATTTCATAGACACATAAACTTACTATCTAAGAATGCTTACTTTAAATACTTACTTTTAAAAACTCTGATATTATAAAGATGCGATTGTTGAGCACATTTTTTCTCATATCCAATTTGACGTGAAATATTCCATTGATTGGATAATTCAGATGGTATATTGCTAGAATAAAATCATATTACTATAGAAATATCATATTTGACAACAACAAAAAAAGAAAGAATAATGATTATTTTCTTTTATTAAGTTAGAATATTAACTTATAAGATTTTAGATGAAAAAATTAAAAAGTAAGTAAGAGGAAAATAGTAAGTAAATAGTAATGATTTGATTATTTGGTTTGTATTCTTGAATCAACAATTCTTTATAGATATACAAAGGATTTTTTAATGTTTAATTAAAATAAATGAAAAAAAAAAAAAAAAAAAAAGATAATAGTAATTCCAGAAATGCAAAAAAGATATTATCAAAAAAGAAAAAATTACCTTAAACAATGAATAATATTGAATCCAAGTTGATAACGATTATAATCAGCCATTACATGCATTACTGAATTAATCTCTTTAAAAACAACAACTGCATATTGTGGTGTACCATCAATATTTTCATGTAAATTAACTTTTTCCACTGGACCTGCCTAAAAAATGAAAGTATTAGAAGTGATTATTTGGCTTGTGTTCTTCAAGAATGAAAGAATTCCTTTTAAACGATTTCTTAAAGTTTAATTAAGCTTTTTTTTTAAAAAAAAAAAAGAAAGCTTACTCTATAAGTAATTAAACGACTGACTTAATATAACGAAACTTATTGTATTAGTATTTTTCAAAAATCTCATTAATATACTGGGAATGTTAGGAAAAAAGTACAATGACTTCTTGAATAATTGAATAATATAAAAAATATAAAAATTATTATTTTTAAGCTAAGTTTTAAAGCTATCATAAACATATGCAATATCATTAGAATTACTTGGAAAATTGAAAAAATTTTTTCATAAAAAATAGATTTTGAAATTTAACATTTGAAAAATTACTAGCTTAAATTGAAATTTTAAAAAAAATTACGAAAGAATTGTAGTGCTTAAAGTAATGTAAATTATATGATAGTTAAATTTAGAAATGAAAAAAAAAAAAAAAAATGAAATAACAATTTACCTGACTAAATGTTTGATAAATATGATCAATCGATGTATAAAGATTAATATTGGACAAATAAAGTGTTCGTTTACCACGATTTGAATAATTTTGTTCCATTCTTTTAGCGTAATTTACGTAAGTTCACGTTTGTTGTTTATGTAAATAATACAAAAACTTGTGATTGAGAAATAGAAATAACACAGTAAAACAAATTTGCAACACTATGCAATTATAACAATAAACGTGTAAAAAATGTATTATTTGCAAAATTTGCATATTGCCATTTTTTTTTTTTTTTCATTGCTATATTGTTTCTTCTTTTCTATATCTAATAATTTTGCCCTCAATTAGTAGCAGTTTTAAAAAATTTTGCCCGTATTTTCTCACGTCGTCTAAACGTTTAACAACCATTTATTAACAATAATATTTAATAAAGTCATTTTTTTTTTTTTTTTTTGCAAAAATAAACATACAAATAAATAATACTGTAGAAAATGCGTGTTACGTGCAAATGGGATTGAATTTATCATATTTACAGGTACGTGAAACGTGTACGATTGAATTGAATTGTAATTGATTTTGAAATAGCAATGTAAATACATATCTGTCATTTCTGAAAACTGTTGTGACACTAAAAAATGTATTTCATCGAGTGGTTATGATTTGAAATAATCCATTACAAATTAATTAATATGCCATTTTGATTGCTGTGCTTTATTTTAAATTATGAAAGAAAAAATTGCTTTAAATTGCTTTGAAATCTTTTTTGATTTTAACATATAAAAGAAAAAAAAATTATTGAATTTTTCATTTTTAGAATATTTTATATAAAGAATATTTTAGATTTTTAGAATATTAAATATAAAGAATATTTATTTAATATAAAGAATATTTTAGAATATTTAAATTGACAACGAATATATGATAGCATACAATTCAAAATGATTAACAAATGTAAAATGGTGTGAAATTCAAATCTTAGTGACAAAAAAACAGCAAAGATTATTTAATATCGGTATGCCATTATAAATTTATTCAAAATAAATTTCATTGTTTTTTAATTTTTTCCATCGTATTAAATGTATAATCATTTACAATATTAAACTAATAATGGATAATTTAAAATAATTTTAATTAAAAAACGCTAAAATTTTAGTGCGAATTTTGCTTTAGTACTTTTATTCTTTTCAATAAATCATTTAAATGAATTGTGAATAATAATAATAAACAATTATAATATAAAATTTACTTATCATTCAATAACTAAAAAAAAAAGTTTCAATAACTTTTTTTTTCTTTTTTCCGCAATTATTTTAAATTAAAATTTATAATGCATTTAAAATTCAATAATTACATCATTTATATATGTAAAATGATTAATTAATTTGTTAGCATGAAGGATAGAATTTTTTTTTTTTTTTTTTGTCAGTTCTTTTCTTTTTTTTTATTTTTAAATTTATGTATTTTATTTTTAAATGTTAATATTTTAATGTTGTTTGTAAGATAAAACTAATACAAAAATATCAGTGAAGCCATTTGCTTTTTTTTTTTTTTTTTTTTGTTTTTTTATTTTTGGTTTCTTTAGACCTTTAATAAAAATAAAAAATTCACTAAATATTAGCTAGCATTAGTTAAGGCTATTTTTTTCTTTTGTTATTTCTGATGATGATAATGATCTTTGAATGATTGTTAAGAGATGCTTAAGTATCGATCACAGATATAAGCAGCAGAGAAGATATTTTAGCTATAGGACAGCTGTTTGAGAAGCACAACACAGGTAAAGAAAGGTGAGAGGAGAAGGTAGAAAGGAAGGAAGGAAGAAGGGAATTCATCAGATGGAAATAATCCGATCGTATTAACCCGATCGATCGATCCAACCAAATATCTTTTTCATCACTTTACATCAGCATTGATATACAATCATTAGTGTTATTTGTAATGTTCGACAAAAATGTAAATTTCATCAATCGTTTTTATCTAACATTTAGCTAAAATATTTTGTTTATATTTTATTCTAAATTGTTTACATTTTCCTCTCTCTCTCACTCACTCTCTCTCTCTTTTTTTCTTTTTTCTTTTAGCAATTTTGTTGAATTTTAGCATTATAAACATTTTGATAGCTATACTGTAAGCACATTTATAGTCTCGTATACCTTTTTTAGTGTTTATGTTTCATTTTTTTTTTTTTATTAATTGAAATCAGTTTTTCATTTTTTTTTTTTTTTGTTGTATTTTATTTTAAAATTAGAAATCTTTTAATCACACTTATTATTATTATTACTGCATAGTTATAGAAGTTTAAATAAAAATTACAGAATATAGTTGGATTGTTTCTTTTTGTTTATTTATTTATTTTCATTTCTCTTTTTTTATCTTACAGATTATCAAATTTTCATCTCAATATTGATAACATGTTGGCTAATTGTTTGATAATTTTATTTGGGCTTCAAGCTGTCTTAGCAATTGAGAAGCCTAGTCTTCTTGTTAGCAAACATGAGGTAAGAAAGAATTGTATTATCAATTTTAGCCAAAGATGAAATTAAATGAATTAATTTTAAAAGAAATTAAAAATGAATTAAGGCAACTAATATTGTAAGCTTCTATTGTAAACTTATTAGCTCAATATTTTTTAACATATAAAATTACCTTTTACAATAAATAATTATTGTGTTCTATAATAAATTAAAGACGTAAAAAATGAATTTAAATTTTTCCTCCAAATTAAATCAAAAAAAAAAAAGCCAGTGATTAAACTATTAAAAAAATAAAATGCCAACTGTTAAATATTTTAATTTATTGCTAATAAATATTTCTTTTTTTCGAAAAAAAAATAAAAGTAAAGTTTGCCTAATATTTACAAATTATTAATATGATAATATCACTATCAGTTTTATTTAACAATAGAATTATTTTTTAAAAAAAAAGATTTTCTTTTTATAAAATTTTTCAAATAATTATCATTAATTTATTCTAAATATAGAAATTGTTGTCATCAGCAATGGCAGAGTATAACAGTATATCAAATGATAAGAATCTATGGATTCCGGTAAAAATTTTGGATATGAATACGATTCCAAGAAACGGAAAGCATTTTTCGATCAAAATTGCAATTGCTCTTTCGAATTGCACAAAAACTGTAAGAATTTTTTTTTTTTTTCTTTTTCTTTCATTTTAGTTTTTCATATTAAAATACAAATTTTTTTTTTTTTTGTTTCATTAAATTTCAGGCTGATAACAATTTTGACAGTAACTATTGTAAAGCAAAAAATGAAACTGGCTTAAAGGTAATGTTTTTGTTTTTTTTTTTAACTTTAACAAGTGATTGAATTTTCATAAAATTATATAAATACAATATTTTAATTATTTCTATAGTTTATTTCAAAAAATATTGATAATTTTCCACTTTTCCTTTTTGTTTTTGTTGTCAAACCTGCTTATTTCAAAGTTATTTTTAATATTTTTATTGTTATTAACATTCATTTTAGGCTTGCGTATTTGAAATATTTCAACCAAGTTGGAAAATGCTGTGGAAAATTAAATTTTTGACATGTTCTGATTATGTTCCATCGGAACGAATAATCAAAGAAAATAGGTTATTTTCTATCATTTGATAATTATTAATCAAATTTTAAATTAAATATTGAAAGTTTTAATTTGCTTTCAGTGACAGATCGAATATGAAATCATTAGATTTGGCAATGAATTCACAGGAATGGCAAAACGAAGAAAAGAAAACACTGTGGAGTGATTTCATGACTTTTATTAAAAAGTTAGAATTATTCAATTTCCACAAAAAAAAAAAAAAAAAATATTCAGTTTTATTGATATGATTATATAAATTATCATCATTTATCGCTTTACTAGAAATAAATCAATATATCAGATTAAATTTGAATTTGATATTTACCAAAATGATTCACTTTTTTTTTATTAATGATATCAAAAATTAGTTCAAATTAAAAATACATTTATAAAAATAATTTTAATATTTCAGATTTAAACGAGAATATTCTTCGATAGAGGAACAATTGGATCGTTTCAGAATTTATTTGCAAAACATGAATTTTGCGAAAAAATTACAATTTGAAGAAAAAGGGACAGCAATTTATGGTGCAACAAAATTTAGCGATATGACAGCGGAAGAATTTCAAAAAGTTAGAATTGAAATTTATTGTTAAATTTTATTTTGCAAATTATTTATAAATTTTATGAAATTGAAATAGAAGCATTTGAAGATGATACGAATTATGCTATCATTTCATTTGATTATAATAAAGTTTCTGATTAATAATGTTTGAGTGATATTTTTGGAAATTAAAATTAGAAATTTAATTGTCGTATTAAATTAGATATATTTGGTGTCATTTAATTATAATAAAGTTTCTCATTAGAAACGATTGAACGATATTTTTTGGAAATTAAATTTTGAAATTTAATTGTTATATTAAATAAGAGATATTTGATTAAAAAACGAAAAAAAAAAGGTGGAAATTTTCAGATTATGTTACCAAGTATATGGTGGGATAGAGTAGAATCTAATGGTATTACATTTAATTTAAATGATTTTAATCTTTCGATCAATAATCTACCAAGTAAATTTGATTGGCGCACAGAAGGAGTTGTTACACCAGTAAAAGATCAAGGTTTATAAATTTATTTATTGAAATTATTATTTGATAAAAATTATTGTCATTTAAATTTTTAGATATTTAGTATGAATTTTTAATATTTTCAATTAAGGTTCTTGTGGTAGTTGTTGGGCTTTTTCCGTTACCGGTAATATTGAAAGTCTTTGGGCTATTAAAACCGGTAAATTAATATCACTTTCCGAACAAGAATTAATTGATTGTGATGTGATTGATAAAGGATGCAATGGTGGATTGCCAATTAATGCTTTCCGGTTAGTTTGTAATATCTAAAATGAGAAAGAAACAGAAAAGATGATTTAAAAAAAAAAAAAACAAAAATATTTTTTTGGATCTCAAAAATAAGACAAAAAAAAAAGAAGTGAGCAAAAAAAAATTTAACTTTGATTTTGATTTTTTTTTTTTGAGATAAGATTTTCTAAATTATATTAGAATTCAAATTAAACTTAAGTTTTTAGAGAAATAAAACGAATGGGTGGTTTAGAACCTGAAGATCAATATCCATATGAAGCAAAAAATGGTACGTGCCATTTAGTCCGAGCACAGATTGCTGTTAGTATAGATGACGCCGTAGAAATTCCACGTAATGAAACCGTGATGAAAGCGTGGATTGCTCAACGTGGACCACTTTCTGTTGGTACGTGTTATTACTTATTACTTGTAATTATCTTAAGTAAAAAAATATTATTGTAAGAGAGAAAATATATAAAAAAAACCAATATTAATCTAATATTATAAAAGTTAATCTTTAACTTTTTAAAGCAAATTCATATAAGACTTTCTCGAATATGTTAATCACCTTATCAATTATAACACAAGCAATTGAAATTATTTTTTAAATTTTATCAATTTGATGTTTAAAATCGCTAATACATCACCTTATCAATTATAAGATAAACAATTGAAATGGTTTTTTTAATTTTATCAATTTGACATTTAGAATTTAAATTCGAATTTTTTGATTTCTAACTAATAGAACCAATCTTTGCAAATGAATTTTCCTTTTTTTTTTTTTTTTAAAGGAATTGATGCTGAATTATTGTCATATTATAAGAGTGGAATTCTTCATCCAAGCAAATCACGTTGTCCACCATCAAAGATCAATCATGGAGTATTGATTACTGGTTATGGTATTGAAGATAACTTACCCTATTGGACAATTAAGAATAGTTGGGGTGAGCAATGGGGTGAAAATGGTTACTTTCGATTAATGCGTGGCAAAGATATTTGTGGTGTTAGTGATTTGGTATCATCTGCAATCATTTACTGATTCTTTTTTTTTAAAAAAAAAGAAAAAATTTGTTGATAAATAAAATAAATAAAAGATTTCAACTTCTATCACATTTTATATCTTTTGATCATAGTTAACTTCAAATTCCATATAAAAAATGAGGAGAAATTATACGTTCATAATCATTATTTGCCTATTTTATTCATATTTCAATGCTACAAATTTCATCGAATAAAATTTCACATTCATTAACTATTTTGATGTATTCGTATTTGTCATATGCAAAAAAAAAAAAAATACGAATTATATATATATATATATATATTGCAAAATTTGCATGCTAAGCAAATATTTCAACAATTTAAGCTTGCAATTGCTTTTCAATTTTTGTAGCTTCACCATCCTAAATTAAAGAAATGTACCAAATGCTTTTTCATATATAGTTAAAATCACAATTCATTGTTAACAAAATTTACAACATTTGCAAAATAATTATGTACCACCATTAAACTCTGTAACAGATGAAATATTTTTTCACTTCAAAAATTTTCACTAATTCTCGATAAGAAAGAACAACTGGTAATAAAAGAATGCATAAACATTTCGATTGATCTCATAGATCAGATAGTTTGTTACAATGCTCAAATAATTAGTTTCATTTACTCATCTGATGAAAAGTCAAATAGTGAGAAAATCAACAAATTCACTAACTAAATTAGCAATTAACATATTTCCGTTCTTCGCCACGTAAAAGTAAATTTTCTTGTGCTAATTTTACTCTTCGTTCATCCTTCATTGCTACCCGTTGAAAATCATTGCAACCACATTGCTAGAAATAATTTATTACATTGTCATTGATACGTGAACTTGTTGTATGTTTAAAATATGATAGAAATTAAAAATTTTGTTTACCCGCTACTTAAAACTTAACTTATTTTGTGAGAAAAGAAATTAAGAGTGCTGAGAAAAATTTTTCACTTGAAAAAAATTTGCAACTTAAAATATAACAAATGTCACTTTCTCATTTCTGTTAAATGTTATGATGGAGTAATTTCATCTAACAAACTTAACCTTTGCATTTATCAGTACTAAATTGCATCCCAAACTGTTTGAAATTAAAAAGACTAACCGTGCACGGAACTGTAGGCAATCGTTCATATGAAACTGTACGCCTATGACATTGTTTACAGCGGAAGAATCGTTTGTTGGCTTTGCATTGTTTCACAGTATGATTTAATTGCTTGCATAATTCACTTTGTTTATGTGACGTATAATTGCACTGCAAAACATGATTACTAGGTAAGTTACTTCTTACTAACATAATAAAACACAAAGAAACATCCATTAAACAAAAAAAAAAAAGAAACCGGAATAATCAAAAAGCATAAAAATAAAAAAAGAAATAAGGTAAAGTAAACCAAAAGAAAAAACAACTATCAAAACAGAACTACAAATAGGTATCAAAAAAAAAAAAATCTTTGTCATAACGAATTACATTTTTTCTCTCAATATCTCATTGTAATCAGAAAAAATTTGAAGTTTTGGATTTTTTTTTTTTTTTTTGGTATGAAAACTCAAAACATCATAAGAATATTTGAAAGTTAAAATGTTATATATACCTGAGTGCACTTAACTACATTACAATCTTTAATTTCCATGGTATTGGTAAGATAATTTTCAAATCTTTCTTTTTGTTCCATGGCATTAAAGTAACGCGCTTCACGAACAGAATCTTCCTAGAAAGATTGCAAGTATTTTAGATGAAAGTAATTATCTTTAGAAGAAATGGAAGATTTTGAATTTAAAACTGAACAACAATTGAAATAATCAAATAAGTCGTGTCATCATATATTATTATCTTTTTATAAATTTTAACTGCTGCATAATAGAGCTTCCCGGTTTCTAAAATCATACTGTGATGTATTGAAAATTAAAATAAATCTTATTAATACAAAATATAAATAGTGATGATACAAAGATTGAATTCTAACAGAAATTCAATTCGTCTAGCATAATCATAATAACATAATTGCAACAAACAGTGAGCTTACCCGACGGAGATCACTCTCGTGATTGCTTCTTTTCTCCAACAATTTCAAAATTTCATCATCAGTAAAAACAGTTTTCTTTGAGAATTCTCTGATTTTTGAATTGTCATCACAATTCACATCAATTCCGGATTTCATTTTTAGCTCACCTCCTTTATGCTCTGGAGAAACTGAAAAACTTCCTATGAAATTCAATTAACTAAAGTGTAACATCAACTTTTATAAATTCATCACAATGTTTTCGTATTACAACTAAAGTAGATATTCTAAGACCAAATTCGTTTGCGTAGTGATTTCAATTCAATTAAATTCAAAAAAAGTAAATGAAAATGAATATATAAGAAAACGGCATTTGATAGAAATGAGCAAATTTATTCAAATACAATTTGTTTTTGTATAAGATCTATGTTATAGTGAAAATACATAAAGAAGGGTTAAAAAAAAAAAAAAGAAAAGAAAAGGGGAAAAGAAAAAACCAGAATGACTTACAGAACAAACGTCTTTTTTTAGGTCTACCGTTAACTGAATTTGGATCAGCTTTTTCTAGACCACCTATTTTCTTTATTGTTGCAATAGCTTTCCGCTGCAAACAATTACAATATACTTTGAGTTTTTTAAATGAATTAAACGTAATAGCTTAATAGGTAAAAGTATGGACTTTATTCGAGCTCAGTTATCGTTGTTATGGTACCATACTAAATATATTAACGATATTGGCATAAGTACTGTTGAAAATTCACTAACCTTAGCATTTTCTGAAGCGTCTAATTTGCTGATTTTTCTAGGACTAATCAATAAAACAGATCCAGAGTTTAAGCCTTTGCCAAGGATTGGCGAATGCATTGAATTTTTGCTCTCATCCTGAATAATAAAGCATAATATATCGCTTTAGTATTACTTAGAAAACACTTGCACCAAGCAAGTGCAAACAGACTGACAAGTAGAATTTTTTTTTTTTAGCAAGAAAACACTGATAAGCAGAATTTTTTAAATCGCAATAGTTTAAAAATAATTTTTCTCTAAAATATTATTATCGCTACTAAATAATGTTTTTCTCCAGAAAAACTTAAACCTACTATTAATGTTAGAGAAAGAACTGCTTTATGCAAAAATTTTAGATTCCTAATTTTTTGACTCAGCAATTGAGATGAAAAGAAAGTCTATATTATTAGCTCAGTAAATATTTGAAAAACCTGCATTTTCTAACTATTCTAGGATGTTCACAGAAAATTGTCTAATGCAGAACTGCAATCTGAACTAATTTAATACCTACTAAAAGTTTTGTAAGCCATTCTTCAAAATTTTGAACCAAAATCCAAAAGAAAAAAAAAAAAATTGCGAATCAGAAACCTGCTTCTGTAGAAATTCTTTCAGTGATTCGTCACTCCTTTCTCCTGATACTTTTCCATGCGGTTGTGATGCACTTTTTGATCCAAAAATTGCAACCTATAAAAAATCATGAAAATTCTACACAGAGGATAAATTGACATATAAACAGGACAAATAAGATTTCAACCGAAATTTGTTTGTATGTTAAACCAAATAGTGTAATGATCTCGTGCTGCTTTTGTGTCATTCATATCAGTTGATATTATCATCTCTCATTGCTTCAAGCATGGAATAACTAAGCAGTTAGAATGAGTTAACAGTGAATGTTTTTTTTTTTTTAATTAATTAAATGCACTAGGTAACAATTAACAAAGGAGCTTACTTCTTTCGCAATTAAAGCATCCAATTTCATCTTTTCACATTCCTTTAAACTTTTCGATCTCATAAAACAACTAGTAATTTGTTGTTTGAAATTCTTTCTGCTTTCATTTATCGACAAAGTATTTGTTGAAACTCTGGAAGTTCTAGACTTTTTACGAGGTATTGCTGTTTTCTATCTGTACAAAGATTACAATCTTATAAAAGTAGAGAACATAAAATTACTACTTGTTTTTGTTAGGTTAATATCTCGACATATATTTCAAGCTAATCTTACCTTCTTGGCATTGTAATTATGCCACTCGAAAGTGAATTTGATTCCTGCAATGGTAATTTTCGATTGGGATTTGATAATACGGATGCAAATGAGCCACGATTTGCTGTGAATTTTTGAGCTGCTCGTTGAACATGATAAATGCAACGTTCACACTGTGATAAGTTTACCACATTTTGACACAATCCACCATCATTTTTGATTGCCTATTGAAAGAGTAAACGGTATAACTTTCGTTATTAAATTTAAATTTAATAAAATAATTGTAAAGAATATTAATACTTCATTCACTCACCATAATTATTACTCACTTTAGTGCACCAATATCATAGACAATAATTATTATGTTTTCTAATCATTATTTTCTAATTAATTAAAGGAGTATTATTTCTAATATGTTTGAAACAAACCTTGCAGCGACCAAAATCAGGGCAAAATCCCAATTCTAAAACCTGTGCACATTTCGTTAATTTCACTGTTACTAAAAAAAATAAAAATTGAACAAAGGAAAACGAAAATGAAAAAGAAAATAAAAAATTGAATATAACATCGAATAACTTAGAGTGAAAAGCTTAACAGCAGAGATATCAGTTTGATAAACCGCTACAAGCATGCACGAAGCCTAAAGAAAAGATTTTTTTGCATTAATATCATAAAAAAGAACTGAAAAGAAGAAAATTTATTTCACTTTGTTTATCATCGCCGTCAGCAAAAGATGGTGTTACAAGCGCAATAACACTACCAAGCTGCAGTTTCCAAAATTTTTTGACACAATCACCGAATACGAGAATTTTAACATTTGTATCTAAAGAATTCTGAAAAGGCCAAAATTTCATTCTTATTTTTAGCAAAATTTATTTTGTGCACTTAATAACCCACAACAAATTGTTATTTTTTAAAGGAGAAAGAGATGATAAACAATCAAAACACTGAATTTACAAATCAGTTTTTAAAAATAAAGTACCGTTAAGTCGGAAGTATTCCAGATCATATATTCATTTCCGTTTGCGCTTTTACGACAACCTGTTTTTTCTACAATAACTGCCAAGGAAATCCATTTATTGTCTAACTGCTACAAAGTAAGCACTTCATTACTTATTACAATCTTTAATTCGTATTAGTCCTAAATTTTGTATTTGTTACAATCTTAATATTACAATCTTTAACCTTATCGACAATTATATTAACATCTATGATTAGCTATTCGCCTATCACTTATCATGCTAGCAATGAAGAGATTTAAAAAAAGTCAACTGAGATAAAATTCGTACAAAGCTGGATTTCAGCTGGCTTAAGCGGATTTTCTTCAAACCGTCGCAATATGATTCAAAAGCTGCTGATGAAAGAGTTGGGTTCCTGCAGTAACAAGATATACCATGATTTATATTACTGATATTCAATTGAGATTAATTTTTGATTATGTGTAAATGAAAAAGATCTTCCTTATACCGTTAAAAAAAGATTTTCTTTATACCGAAAAAAGATCTTTATACGAAAAATACAAAAAGATGTTATATCTTCTCTTTTCCGAAATTTAACTTGCACCACATAAAAACATTTATTTCTTTCAAAAGCGATATAATACGATTACAAATATAAAAAAAAAAAAAAAAAAAAACCAGTTTCAAAATAAACTAAATACCTGATGCGAATACCAAAAAATTGATCATAAACTTTCAACGCATCTTTCGATGATGACTCGACAGCTCTTGTTATTTGCTGAGCTTTTCCTTGAAGTGCATGACGATTTTCTTGAACACTAAGTTTTTGTCTTGTCGTAGATTCCACCTCAAAAAAACTGTTATAAAAATCTAGTTTTAAAATCATTCCAAAAAAAAAACACTATCTTGCTACTATAAACAAAAAGTGTAGAAAAAACTAACTAATAAATAAATAAACGAACAAATAAGTACAATGGTAAAAAGGAACAAAAATTGAACTATGAATACACTGCATTTCAATTTAAAGACTGACTCGATATGCAGAATTTGACTGATTTCGTTTCGCTTCTTTCAACTGCCGTTTGATGTTTCGACCAGCCTCGCTGAGATGGATTCTAAAATGAGATTAAAAAAATAAAATGAGCACATTAAATGAAACAAATAAAACTACTCGTTAACTTTTAATTAAGTTCAAGACCAATATAAAGAATTTGTCTGATTCACTCACACGTTATCATTTCTACTTCGTTCGTCTTCACTCGAGCTTGTACCATCACAATGTAACAAACTGCTTCTATTATCAGTTTTCTTCTTCTGGTCATAGCTATTAGTATTATCTTTAGAATATCCAAAATCTATTGGGATGAGAGATCGAATTGCTAAAATTGAATTACAAAAAATTCTTTCCAGCATTTCTTACAAACATGAAAGTTGCCAAGGGTATTATTTGTTTAATATATGATTATAGCTTGTAACAATAATACATTTCAGTTACACTTTTTCTTTCATAAATTGCAAGTTAATAAGCTTACAAAGAAATATAAGAATAAGTGAGCAATCCATATAAAACAATACATTACTTTTCAATTATTGCTTAAATTTTACACTTACGTTTTTTATCTGCGTTAATTGCATTTGGCACAGTTAAATTAGCCGCGTCTTCCTTTTCTTGTTTGGCATTGACCTTCTCAATCTCTCTATCATTTTCATCATTGATATTTAATAAACTTTGTTCTTAAAATTACAACAGAATTATACATTAACTATGACATATACTATGAAAAAATTAATGTAAAAAATAACTTATAGAAAAAATGCTTATTTATTGATGGAAAAATACAAAACAAATAGATTCATTCAGTGCTGACCAATGTTTGCATTGACCATTGGATTGATAATAATAAAATAGAATAAATACCTTCAATTTGTTCCTCATCATCGAATAAATTCAATAATTCACCAAGTGCTTCATTCATTACCTGTTAATTTCTTCGACTCGACTACTCACTTCAGCAAAACTTCTAAAAAGATGCTAAATTCTTAATATGACTTATTGATGATCATTAGCCATTTTCTGTGATATAAATATATTACACTAATTATTTTGGAACATACAAAGTTAATTTTTAGCTATTTTTTTGGTGGCTATTTCATGAGAATTAACCTTAATAATGAAACTTTACTAGTAATGAAGTAAAAAAAAAAATGTGACCAAAAACTACCATCCAAACACTCGCATTATGTGACATCTGTCTTTTAATCAATGACATATTCAAACTATCCTTTTACGCGCTAATCAGTTCTTCGTCACGAGACCTACACGTGAGTGATAATCTTTGCAAACTATAAATTCCTCACTACCGTAATCCCTTAAAATACAGTATTCGACCGTAATGCGTTTTGTGCTTTTATTTAATGCACTTATGAGATAAAAATTACTGTATTACATAAGTGTATTATAAAGTTAGCATAGTTATTGCACTTTTTAAATCATTTCTAATGAAGCTCTCCAAAATTAATTAATTTTATCATTTTTTATATTTATTTAATCAGAAATATTTTATGACTTGGTGTTATAGCAAACAATGCGATTAAAGAAATAATTGTTTTAATTTCTTTCTTTCCCTTTTCATTTTTAATAATTAAATAATTAAAGAAATGAAAAAAAAATTAAAATATAGCAAAAAAGAAAAACGAAATATGATGATTAATAATAGGAAATGAAATGGATCGTAGTTGTCGCGATTTATAATTTCGCGAAAACTTCTATCTAAAAACAATCCCATAATATCATAAATTATCTCTACATAAATCTAGTTTCTTAAGATTTTTCACATGTGGTTTTCATCTTAGATACGTTCAATTCTCACATATGTAAAACAATCTTACAGTATCTTAAATTATCTCTCCTTAAATTTAGTTTTTTAAGATTTATTACACATGTAATCTCACATCATAAATTCTCAATTCTCATAAGATTTCCAATTCATCACACATATGATTTTTATCTTAGACACGCCGATTACCACTCATATAAAATTCAATCTTAAAAAATTACATGAATTATTGTCTCTAAGGTCGACTACTACTCGGTTAACCAATTTCAATTCCTCCGGTCTTCTTTTATAAATTTCTTCCCTTTTTATTGTTCGGTTTTTCGGATAATAAAGGTTTATTAATCTGTATTGCAACTATTCGAGTATCAACCAGACAACCTTTCACGACAAAAATTATAAAATACCTAAAGGTCGCTGGTTCGATCCCGACTCATGGCACCAATAATTTTTGTCGTACATGTGTAATAAATCTTAAAAAACCAGACTTAAGGAGAGATAAGTTAAGATACTCTGTAAGATTGTTTTACATATGTGAGAATTGAACGTATCTAAGATGAAAATCACATGTGAAAAATCTTAAGAAATTAGATTTATGTAGAGATAATTTATGATATTATGGGATTGTTTTTAAATAGAAGTTTTCGCGAAATTATAAGTAGTATGATACTGTACTCCAGGAGATGAGATATGGGACACTGTATCATCGTTACAGTTTCCTTGTAGAGTTAGCACAGTTATTCCACTTTCGAAATCGTTTCTAATGAAGCTTCCCAAAATAAATTCATTTTATCACTTTTCATATTTGTCAAAATAGAAATATTGTATGGCTTAATGTTATTAACATATAATTAAAGGAATTAAAAAAAATTAAATATAACAAATTTGAATGAATAGATTTTCCTCTTTTTTTTTTTTGACTTATCATATTTTAAATAATTCTGTATTAAACAAAACAAGCTTTCTATTATTTTTTAAAAGACTTTTTGAATTTTAGGTTAAAAAAATTTACCCAGTACTTGTATAAAATTAGAAGATTTTACGTATGTTACGTGAACTTATGTGCATGTATTTGTATGTCAATGATGATATTCGATAGTAATGTATCATTACATCCAATATGATTCATTTGTTGTGTCAAACATTCTCTGACAGAATATTAAATAAACCTTTTATTGATTATTAACAATTACTTAAAATATATTAAGTAAAGCAAATTGGCATAATAATCGCGTAACATAAACAAAATAAATCGTTACATACGATTACAAACATTAACCTTTTATCATTAATGCATAGTGTACTTAATTAAACTTTCTATTATACTGTAATTTTGATATGTTTAGAACTACCAAACATTTCCTTCCAAGTGATCTTTGATAATTATCATTTTTAGATCTCTTTAAATTGCTCAATAAATATTCTTCAATTTCAATAGATTAATTAAAACCTATAAGTAGTATAAATCATAGACATAGAAACGTACATACAAGAAGATAACATCTTAATGACCTAATCGTTTAGATTCATTTTTTCCTTTTTTCTTAGAGGATAATTGTATTGATTGAATGTATTATATCTTTGAAGATTAAATTATGGTAATAATTGTAAAATAGCTATTGAATTTATCATTTCTCAAAAATATTTTGCTTGTTTTACTTATTTTCTTATTTGGATTGTGAATGAAAGTTATAAACATTTTAACCAAATTTCTGAAAGAAAATATTTTTGAACAATTAAGCTAATTACTCAAAAGTATTTCTTAAAAACTATCGATACAATAACAAATGGTAGACGGGGGAAAAAAACAAAGATATTCGCATCGATAATCTCCTGATAATTTGTTCTTTCATATATAAATAACAAACAAAATGGTAATGTCAAAGGTTAATAGAATATATGACGTTGATCTGAAGTGATTGATTTAGAGATGAATATGTTCACGTGAAATGGATCAATAAAACAATCAGTTCTATGATAAAATCGACGTTTTATACACCCTGAAATTAATTATGAATAATTCATGAGTATTTTATTTTCATTTATTTTGCAAAAAATTTGATCAAAAGAATTAATGTTTCATTTTTATTAAAATAAAAATAATACTTACAGCGCATGTTAATTCACAATGCCTTTTAGTATCAAATCGATTTTGACTACCACCACATCCTCGATAGAAGTAAAGTTTACAACGTTTATCACGATTACTGTAGAAATACTGTAAATTTGTTCGAGGAGGTGATTCATCTTCTCGACATGTTCGACCTAAAATTTATTTTCTAGTTATATATAATAAAAATTTGAATAAATATTTACTAGAAATAGAATTTAATTTATTATTGTAAAAAGGAAAAAAGTTGTTATTGATTAAAATAAATAATAATATTATAAAATAACAACCTTCACTAGGCTTTAGAAGACAAATACTTCGATCAGAAGTGCTTTTTTGAGCGTATTCCAACGATTCGAATGGATCTTTCATTTCTCCAATATCAATTTGAACCTCATTATTTTCCGCTTCAGGTGAAGCTACATTATTTATTGCATTGTAAAGTGCTATAAACGTTACTAACTTTATACAAACCAATTAGAAAATAGAAAATCTTAGCATTAATTATAATACATTTGTATATAAGATTGTAGATTTGTGTTTTGAAATAAATTATCTAAAATTAATTACATCATTAGATTATTTAATTAATTTGTGATTAATTCTTTATCTCAAGTAGTCAGCTATCTTTTTCTCAAAAAAAAAAAAAGAACCTTGTGTGCGAAATGCTTATAAATAATAAAAGATGCAGCGATGTAATTTTCCATTCTTGCTAATATTCCCAAAAATTTGAAAATGTGGAAAAATTGAAGCGAAATATAATAAGATTACAAAAAATGTCACAACTGCTTTGCATAAATTATTTATAACAATAAAATACAGAAACTGAAAAGAAATGATTCAGTATAAAGGATTAAGCAGTAGTGCTATTATCATTTTATTATACATTATTATATATTCTATTATTATTGCTATACATACGTTATTATACGTAGACGTAAGTTATCAATACACGTAGTTTGCCACCCCCATCTGAATGAGAAGTTATACATGCGATTATCGAACAATATCTAACAGAATTGATCGGTTGGCCTCTGTCACACTCTCCTACAATTTTCATTCAGTAGTTTTATTTCATTCATTTCGACAGAAGACGACAGAAGATTACCTCTTTTCAAACTTTTGAGTTATGACAGGGATTTTGGAATTAGATGATAAATTTATTAATAAACTAATATATTTAGAAAAGCATTTACTTGAAGAAATATCTCCTTTGCGCATTTGTCAAATAGCAGCGACATTATTCTTTAGAAGCAACCGTCAATAAATTTGAATGTTTTTCAGAATTGGCAACAAACTATTCTCATTAACATGCATTTCATCTATTTATTCTTCTTTGTCTTCCAATTGAGCAATATTCGAAACACAGTAAGTCCACATAAAGTTAAAAAAAAAAACAACATAACACCACAATACCATCGGCATTTAAATTTTTCACAGTGATTTTTCATTGATAATTTCATATCATTTAAGGTAGCGCAAACGGAACAAACAGAACCGTTGGATTTATCAATATCAAAAGTGAAAGAGGAAGGAAATAAATCGCAAGGCTTATCAGTGAAAAGAGTGAGTGATGAACGAATTAAACCGCGACGACTTGTTCCAATCGAAACACTGATGGAAGTAATTGAACCAGAAAAAGAAAGCACAGGAAAGAAACGGCGTTGTGATATATGTCAAAAGGAAATAACACATATGAAAAAACATGTGATGACTCATACCGGTGAAAAGCCGTATAGTTGTCCAGTATGCAAGAGAAATTTCACTCAATCCTGCCATATAAAAAATCATATGATGACTCATACTGGTGAAAAGCCGTATAGTTGTTCGATATGCAAAAAGAATTTTATTCAGTCCAGCAGTATGAAAGCACATATGGTGGTTCATACCGGTGAGAAGCCGTACAGTTGTTCCATATGCAAAAAGAATTTCGCTGATCTCTGTAATATGAAAAGGCATAAGAAGACTCATACCGGTGAAAAGCCGTATAGTTGTTCAGTATGCAAGAGAAATTTCACTCAATCCTGCCATATAAAAAATCATATGATGACTCATACTGGTGAAAAACCTCATAGTTGTCCACTATGCAAGAGAAATTTCACTCAGTTCGGGGATATGAAAAAACATGTGATGATTCATACTGGTGAAAAGCCGTACAGTTGTTCGATATGCAAAAAGAATTTTATTCAGTCCAGCAGTATGAAATCACATATGATGATTCATACCAGTGAAAAGCCGCACAGTTGTTCGATATGCAAAAGGAATTTCGGTGATCTCCGTAATATGAAAAGACATATGACGACGACTCATGCTGGTGAAAAGCCGTACAGTTGTTCGATATGCAAAAAGAATTTCACTCGGTCTGACAGTATGAAATCACATATGATGATTCATACGGGTGAAAGCCGTATAGTTGTTTGATATGTAGAAAAGGTTTCATACATAAACACCATTTGCAGTCTCACATGGCAACTCATGAAATGAATAGACCTGTCTACCACTATACTGTATGCAGTAAAGATTTTCAGGCTAAATCCGGCTTGAAATCGCACATGAAGAATCATTAAATTTCGCGTACTTTAAACAAATGAAATGCTCTCTGCTATTTCTATTTTATTATTTACATTCTCTGTTGTTAGCTATTTCTTTTGTTTGATCTTATATGCACATTTATGTCGTTTTTCGTCCCTGTTTTTTGTTCTTGCAGCGTTTTTCTTTACAAGTAACAAGTAATCTACACAAGTAATCTTGCATGCTGTGTACGAAGAACTTGCGAATAAATATCGCTATTTTTAAATTACTTATGAAATGGAATTGCTCATATGTATTCCTCTCTCGATTATTGCATAAATAAAATGAAAATCAATTTTTGGGAAAGAAAAGAATCTTCTTAAACACAACATATCATTTCATAAAGTTGTTTGGTTATGCGGTTTACAACAGAGCGTCAAACTTATATCAGCGAGTGACTAAATATTTAATCGGCTATTAATAAAGTATTACAGTTAAAAATCAACAAGAAATTTTCAGAAAACATATACAATATCTGTCTAATTATTCGTGCTGATCGAATTATTTTTAGAACCATTAGCTTTCACTTTGAACCATTAGCTTTCACTTTAAAGTTGAAACCATTTAGCATTTATAAATCAACATTACCAATTATAAGAGATGCAGCAATGTAATTTTCCATTCTTTCCAATATTCCCAAAAATTTGAAAATGTGGAAAAATTGAAGCGAAATATAATAAGATTACAAAAAGTGTCATAACTGCTTTGCATAAATTATTTATAACAATAAAATACAGAAGCTGAAAAGAAATGATTCAGTATAGAGGATTAAGCAGTAGTGCTATTATCATTTTATTATACATTATTATATATTCTATTATTATTGCTATACATACGTTATTATACGTAGACGTAAGTTATCAATACACGTAGTTTGCCACCCCCATCTGAATGAGAAGTTATACATGCGATTATCGAACAATATCTAACAGAATTGATCGGTTGGCCTCTGTCATACTCTCCTACAATTATCATTCAGTAGTTTTATTTCATTCATTTCGACAGAAGACGACAGAAGATTACCCCTTTTCAAACTTTTGAGTTATGACAGGGATTTTGGAATTAGATGATAAATTTATTAATAAACTAATATATTTAGAAAAGCATTTACTTGAAGAAATATCTCCTTTGCGCATTTGTCAAATAGCAGCGACATTATTCTTTAGAAGCAACCGTCAATAAATTTGAATGTTTTTCAGAATTGGCAACAAACTATTCTCATTAACATGCATTTCATCTATTTATTCTTCTTTGTCTTCCAATTGAGCAATATTCGAAACACAGTAAGTCCACATAAAGTTAAAAAAAAAAACAACATAACACCACAATACCATCGGCATTTAAATTTTTCACAGTGATTTTTCATTGATAATTTCATATCATTTAAGGTAGCGCAAACGGAACAAACAGAACCGTTGGATTTATCAATATCAAAAGTGAAAGAGGAAGGAAATAAATCGCAAGGCTTATCAGTGAAAAGAGTGAGTGATGAACGAATTAAACCGCGACGACTTGTTCCAATCGAAACACTGACGGAAGTAATTGAACCAGAAAAAGAAAGCACAGGAAAGAAACGGCGTTGTGATATATGTCAAAAGGAAATAACACATATGAAAAATCATATGATGACTCATACTGCTGAAAAGCCGTATAGTTGTCCACTATGCAAGAGAAATTTCACTCAGTTCGGGAATATGAAAAAACATGTGATGATTCATACTGGTGAAAAGCCGTACAGTTGTTCGATATGCAAAAAGAATTTTATTCAGTCCAGCAGTATGATAGCACATATGGTGGTTCATACCGGTGAGAAGCCGTACAGTTGTTCCATATGCAAAAAGAATTTCGGTGATCTCTGTAATATGAAAAGGCATAAGAAGACTCATACTGGTGAAAAGCCGTATAGTTGTCCAGTATGCAAGAGAAATTTCACTCAATCCTGCCATATAAAAAATCATATGATGACTCATACTGGTGAAAAATCTCATAGTTGTCCAGTATGCAAGAGAAATTTCACTCAGTTCGGGGATATGAAAAAACATGTGATGATTCATACTGGTGAAAAGCCGTACAGTTGTTCAATATGCAAAAAGAATTTCAGTCGGTCCAACAGTATGAAAGCACATATGGTGATTCATACCGGTGAAAAGCCTTACTGTTGTTCGATATGCAAAAGGAATTTCGGTGATCTCCGTAATATGAAAAGACATATGACGACGACTCATGCTGGTGAAAAGCCGTACAGTTGTTCGATATGCAAAAAGAATTTCACTCGGTCTGACAGTATGAAATCACATATGATGATTCATACGGGTGAAAGCCGTATAGTTGTTTGATATGTAGAAAAGGTTTCATACATAAACACCATTTGCAGTCTCACATGGCAACTCATGAAATGAATAGACCTGTCTACCACTATACTGTATGCAGTAAAGATTTTCAGGCTAAATCCGGCTTGAAATCGCACATGAAGAATCATTAAATTTCGCGTACTTTAAACAAATGAAATGCTCTCTGCTATTTCTATTTTATTATTTACATTCTCTGTTGTTAGCTATTTCTTTTGTTTGATCTTATATGCACATTTATGTCGTTTTTCGTCCCTGTTTTTTGTTCTTGCAGCGTTTTTCTTTACAAGTAACAAGTAATCTACACAAGTAATCTTGCATGCTGTGTACGAAGAACTTGCGAATAAATATCGCTATTTTTAAATTACTTATGAAATGGAATTGCTCATATGTATTCCTCTCTCGATTATTGCATAAATAAAATGAAAATCAATTTTTGGGAAAGAAAAGAATCTTCTTAAACACAACATATCATTTCATAAAGTTGTTTGGTTATGCGGTTTACAACAGAGCGTCAAACTTATATCAGCGAGTGACTAAATATTTAATCGGCTATTAATAAAGTATTACAGTTAAAAATCAACAAGAAATTTTCAGAAAACATATACAATATCTGTCTAATTATTCGTGCTGATCGAATTATTTTTAGAACCATTAGCTTTCACTTTGAACCATTAGCTTTCACTTTAAAGTTGAAACCATTTAGCATTTATAAATCAACATTACCAATTATAAGAGATGCAGCAATGTAATTTTCCATTCTTTCCAATATTCCCAAAAATTTGAAAATGTGGAAAAATTGAAGCGAAATATAATAAGATTACAAAAAGTGTCATAACTGCTTTGCATAAATTATTTATAACAATAAAATACAGAAGCTGAAAAGAAATGATTCAGTATAGAGGATTAAGCAGTAGTGCTATTATCATTTTATTATACATTATTATATATTCTATTATTATTGCTATACATACGTTATTATACGTAGACGTAAGTTATCAATACACGTAGTTTGCCACCCCCATCTGAATGAGAAGTTATACATGCGATTATCGAACAATATCTAACAGAATTGATCGGTTGGCCTCTGTCATACTCTCCTACAATTATCATTCAGTAGTTTTATTTCATTCATTTCGACAGAAGACGACAGAAGATTACCCCTTTTCAAACTTTTGAGTTATGACAGGGATTTTGGAATTAGATGATAAATTTATTAATAAACTAATATATTTAGAAAAGCATTTACTTGAAGAAATATCTCCTTTGCGCATTTGTCAAATAGCAGCGACATTATTCTTTAGAAGCAACCGTCAATAAATTTGAATGTTTTTCAGAATTGGCAACAAACTATTCTCATTAACATGCATTTCATCTATTTATTCTTCTTTGTCTTCCAATTGAGCAATATTCGAAACACAGTAAGTCCACATAAAGTTAAAAAAAAAAACAACATAACACCACAATACCATCGGCATTTAAATTTTTCACAGTGATTTTTCATTGATAATTTCATATCATTTAAGGTAGCGCAAACGGAACAAACAGAACCGTTGGATTTATCAATATCAAAAGTGAAAGAGGAAGGAAATAAATCGCAAGGCTTATCAGTGAAAAGAGTGAGTGATGAACGAATTAAACCGCGACGACTTGTTCCAATCGAAACACTGATGGAAGTAATTGAACCAGAAAAAGAAAGCACAGGAAAGAAACGGCGTTGTGATATATGTCAAAAGGAAATAACACATATGAAAAAACATGTGATGACTCATACCGGTGAAAAGCCGTATAGTTGTCCAGTATGCAAGAGAAATTTCACTCAATCCTGCCATATAAAAAATCATATGATGACTCATACTGGTGAAAAGCCGTATAGTTGTTCGATATGCAAAAAGAATTTTATTCAGTCCAGCAGTATGAAAGCACATATGGTGGTTCATACCGGTGAGAAGCCGTACAGTTGTTCCATATGCAAAAAGAATTTCGCTGATCTCTGTAATATGAAAAGGCATAAGAAGACTCATACTGGTGAAAAGCCGTATAGTTGTTCAGTATGCAAGAGAAATTTCACTCAATCCTGCCATATAAAAAATCATATGATGACTCATACTGGTGAAAAATCTCATAGTTGTCCACTATGCAAGAGAAATTTCACTCAGTTCGGGGATATGAAAAAACATGTGATGATTCATACTGGTGAAAAGCCGTACAGTTGTTCGATATGCAAAAAGAATTTCAGTTCAGTCCAACAGTATGAAATCACATATGATGATTCATACCAGGTGAAAAGCCTTACTGTTGTTCGATATGCAAAAGGAATTTCGGTGATCTCCGTAATATGAAAAGACATATGACGACGACTCATGCTGGTGAAAAGCCGTACAGTTGTTCGATATGCAAAAAGAATTTCACTCGGTCTGACAGTATGAAATCACATATGATGATTCATACGGGTGAAAGCCGTATAGTTGTTTGATATGTAGAAAAGGTTTCATACATAAACACCATTTGCAGTCTCACATGGCAACTCATGAAATGAATAGACCTGTCTACCACTATACTGTATGCAGTAAAGATTTTCAGGCTAAATCCGGCTTGAAATCGCACATGAAGAATCATTAAATTTCGCGTACTTTAAACAAATGAAATGCTCTCTGCTATTTCTATTTTATTATTTACATTCTCTGTTGTTAGCTATTTCTTTTGTTTGATCTTATATGCACATTTATGTCGTTTTTCGTCCCTGTTTTTTGTTCTTGCAGCGTTTTTCTTTACAAGTAACAAGTAATCTACACAAGTAATCTTGCATGCTGTGTACGAAGAACTTGCGAATAAATATCGCTATTTTTAAATTACTTATGAAATGGAATTGCTCATATGTATTCCTCTCTCGATTATTGCATAAATAAAATGAAAATCAATTTTTGGGAAAGAAAAGAATCTTCTTAAACACAACATATCATTTCATAAAGTTGTTTGGTTATGCGGTTTACAACAGAGCGTCAAACTTATATCAGCGAGTGACTAAATATTTAATCGGCTATTAATAAAGTATTACAGTTAAAAATCAACAAGAAATTTTCAGAAAACATATACAATATCTGTCTAATTATTCGTGCTGATCGAATTATTTTTAGAACCATTAGCTTTCACTTTGAACCATTAGCTTTCACTTTAAAGTTGAAACCATTTAGCATTTATAAATCAACATTACCAATTATAAGAGATGCAGCAATGTAATTTTCCATTCTTTCCAATATTCCCAAAAATTTGAAAATGTGGAAAAATTGAAGCGAAATATAATAAGATTACAAAAAGTGTCATAACTGCTTTGCATAAATTATTTATAACAATAAAATACAGAAGCTGAAAAGAAATGATTCAGTATAGAGGATTAAGCAGTAGTGCTATTATCATTTTATTATACATTATTATATATTCTATTATTATTGCTATACATACGTTATTATACGTAGACGTAAGTTATCAATACACGTAGTTTGCCACCCCCATCTGAATGAGAAGTTATACATGCGATTATCGAACAATATCTAACAGAATTGATCGGTTGGCCTCTGTCATACTCTCCTACAATTATCATTCAGTAGTTTTATTTCATTCATTTCGACAGAAGACGACAGAAGATTACCCCTTTTCAAACTTTTGAGTTATGACAGGGATTTTGGAATTAGATGATAAATTTATTAATAAACTAATATATTTAGAAAAGCATTTACTTGAAGAAATATCTCCTTTGCGCATTTGTCAAATAGCAGCGACATTATTCTTTAGAAGCAACCGTCAATAAATTTGAATGTTTTTCAGAATTGGCAACAAACTATTCTCATTAACATGCATTTCATCTATTTATTCTTCTTTGTCTTCCAATTGAGCAATATTCGAAACACAGTAAGTCCACATAAAGTTAAAAAAAAAAACAACATAACACCACAATACCATCGGCATTTAAATTTTTCACAGTGATTTTTCATTGATAATTTCATATCATTTAAGGTAGCGCAAACGGAACAAACAGAACCGTTGGATTTATCAATATCAAAAGTGAAAGAGGAAGGAAATAAATCGCAAGGCTTATCAGTGAAAAGAGTGAGTGATGAACGAATTAAACCGCGACGACTTGTTCCAATCGAAACACTGATGGAAGTAATTGAACCAGAAAAAGAAAGCACAGGAAAGAAACGGCGTTGTGATATATGTCAAAAGGAAATAACACATATGAAAAAACATGTGATGACTCATACCGGTGAAAAGCCGTATAGTTGTCCAGTATGCAAGAGAAATTTCACTCAATCCTGCCATATAAAAAATCATATGATGACTCATACTGGTGAAAAGCCGTATAGTTGTTCGATATGCAAAAAGAATTTTATTCAGTCCAGCAGTATGAAAGCACATATGGTGGTTCATACCGGTGAGAAGCCGTACAGTTGTTCCATATGCAAAAAGAATTTCGCTGATCTCTGTAATATGAAAAGGCATAAGAAGACTCATACCGGTGAAAAGCCGTATAGTTGTTCAGTATGCAAGAGAAATTTCACTCAATCCTGCCATATAAAAAATCATATGATGACTCATACTGGTGAAAAACCTCATAGTTGTCCACTATGCAAGAGAAATTTCACTCAGTTCGGGGATATGAAAAAACATGTGATGATTCATACTGGTGAAAAGCCGTACAGTTGTTCGATATGCAAAAAGAATTTTATTCAGTCCAGCAGTATGAAATCACATATGATGATTCATACCAGTGAAAAGCCGCACAGTTGTTCGATATGCAAAAGGAATTTCGGTGATCTCCGTAATATGAAAAGACATATGACGACGACTCATGCTGGTGAAAAGCCGTACAGTTGTTCGATATGCAAAAAGAATTTCACTCGGTCTGACAGTATGAAATCACATATGATGATTCATACGGGTGAAAGCCGTATAGTTGTTTGATATGTAGAAAAGGTTTCATACATAAACACCATTTGCAGTCTCACATGGCAACTCATGAAATGAATAGACCTGTCTACCACTATACTGTATGCAGTAAAGATTTTCAGGCTAAATCCGGCTTGAAATCGCACATGAAGAATCATTAAATTTCGCGTACTTTAAACAAATGAAATGCTCTCTGCTATTTCTATTTTATTATTTACATTCTCTGTTGTTAGCTATTTCTTTTGTTTGATCTTATATGCACATTTATGTCGTTTTTCGTCCCTGTTTTTTGTTCTTGCAGCGTTTTTCTTTACAAGTAACAAGTAATCTACACAAGTAATCTTGCATGCTGTGTACGAAGAACTTGCGAATAAATATCGCTATTTTTAAATTACTTATGAAATGGAATTGCTCATATGTATTCCTCTCTCGATTATTGCATAAATAAAATGAAAATCAATTTTTGGGAAAGAAAAGAATCTTCTTAAACACAACATATCATTTCATAAAGTTGTTTGGTTATGCGGTTTACAACAGAGCGTCAAACTTATATCAGCGAGTGACTAAATATTTAATCGGCTATTAATAAAGTATTACAGTTAAAAATCAACAAGAAATTTTCAGAAAACATATACAATATCTGTCTAATTATTCGTGCTGATCGAATTATTTTTAGAACCATTAGCTTTCACTTTGAACCATTAGCTTTCACTTTAAAGTTGAAACCATTTAGCATTTATAAATCAACATTACCAATTATAAGAGATGCAGCAATGTAATTTTCCATTCTTTCCAATATTCCCAAAAATTTGAAAATGTGGAAAAATTGAAGCGAAATATAATAAGATTACAAAAAGTGTCATAACTGCTTTGCATAAATTATTTATAACAATAAAATACAGAAGCTGAAAAGAAATGATTCAGTATAGAGGATTAAGCAGTAGTGCTATTATCATTTTATTATACATTATTATATATTCTATTATTATTGCTATACATACGTTATTATACGTAGACGTAAGTTATCAATACACGTAGTTTGCCACCCCCATCTGAATGAGAAGTTATACATGCGATTATCGAACAATATCTAACAGAATTGATCGGTTGGCCTCTGTCATACTCTCCTACAATTATCATTCAGTAGTTTTATTTCATTCATTTCGACAGAAGACGACAGAAGATTACCCCTTTTCAAACTTTTGAGTTATGACAGGGATTTTGGAATTAGATGATAAATTTATTAATAAACTAATATATTTAGAAAAGCATTTACTTGAAGAAATATCTCCTTTGCGCATTTGTCAAATAGCAGCGACATTATTCTTTAGAAGCAACCGTCAATAAATTTGAATGTTTTTCAGAATTGGCAACAAACTATTCTCATTAACATGCATTTCATCTATTTATTCTTCTTTGTCTTCCAATTGAGCAATATTCGAAACACAGTAAGTCCACATAAAGTTAAAAAAAAAAACAACATAACACCACAATACCATCGGCATTTAAATTTTTCACAGTGATTTTTCATTGATAATTTCATATCATTTAAGGTAGCGCAAACGGAACAAACAGAACCGTTGGATTTATCAATATCAAAAGTGAAAGAGGAAGGAAATAAATCGCAAGGCTTATCAGTGAAAAGAGTGAGTGATGAACGAATTAAACCGCGACGACTTGTTCCAATCGAAACACTGACGGAAGTAATTGAACCAGAAAAAGAAAGCACAGGAAAGAAACGGCGTTGTGATATATGTCAAAAGGAAATAACACATATGAAAAATCATATGATGACTCATACTGCTGAAAAGCCGTATAGTTGTCCACTATGCAAGAGAAATTTCACTCAGTTCGGGAATATGAAAAAACATGTGATGATTCATACTGGTGAAAAGCCGTACAGTTGTTCGATATGCAAAAAGAATTTTATTCAGTCCAGCAGTATGATAGCACATATGGTGGTTCATACCGGTGAGAAGCCGTACAGTTGTTCCATATGCAAAAAGAATTTCGGTGATCTCTGTAATATGAAAAGGCATAAGAAGACTCATACTGGTGAAAAGCCGTATAGTTGTCCAGTATGCAAGAGAAATTTCACTCAATCCTGCCATATAAAAAATCATATGATGACTCATACTGGTGAAAAATCTCATAGTTGTCCAGTATGCAAGAGAAATTTCACTCAGTTCGGGGATATGAAAAAACATGTGATGATTCATACTGGTGAAAAGCCGTACAGTTGTTCAATATGCAAAAAGAATTTCAGTCGGTCCAACAGTATGAAAGCACATATGGTGATTCATACCGGTGAAAAGCCTTACTGTTGTTCGATATGCAAAAAGAATTTCAGTCGATCCGACAGTATGAAAGCACATATGGTGATTCATACCGGTGAAAAGCCGTATAGTTGTTCGATATGCGGAAAAAGTTACCCCCAAAAACGCAGTTTGCAGACTCACATGGTAATTCATGACATGAATAGACCTGTCTACCAGTGTACTGTATGCAGTAAAGATTTTCAGACTAAATCCGGTTTGAAATCGCACATGAAGAATCATTAAAACTTGCCCAATTTAAACAAAATAAATGCCCTCTGCTATTTCTGTTTTGATTTTTTATATTCTCTGTATCGATTTCATTTACAAGTAATCTTGCATGCTGTGTACGAAGAACTTGCGAATAAATATCGCTATTGTTATATTACTAATGAATGTAGTTGATCATATGTATTCCTCCCTTGATTATTATATAAATGAAATAGAAATAAATTTCTGGGGAAGAAAAGAATCTTCTTAATCATTTCATAAAGCTATATAATTATGCGATCTACAGCAGAGCGTCAAATTTATATCAGTGAATGACTAAATATTTGATCGGTAATCAACAATGTATTACAGATGAAAATCAGCAAGAGATTTGAGGATGCATATACAAAAGCATATCTAACTATTTGTACTGACTGAAATATTTTTAAAACCATTAACTGTCACTTTGATCATTTATGTTAACACCTGTCTCAAAAGTTACTTTTTTCCTCACCGTCTTAATTGTACCTGTTAAGAAATCACAACGTGACATATATTTCATTTCTTCCATCAATTCCATAAAGGAAGTTATTGATTAAAAAGACTTCCCATGAAAATGTAGAGGAGATGACTTAAATGCTTTATTAACCATATTATTACTTTAACTAAAATTAATACCACTTCTTCACTGAATATTAATTAATAATGATATTTTTACAATTAACTTAATCTTGCCATGACATTATTAATGCACCTAATAATTACACAGTATTAATGAATTTAATTAGTGATATAGGCTAAGGTAAAAAATATGTAGTCAATAAGAATGACAGAATTTTCTCGCGAAGTAACAGCAAACACTTCAAATCAAATTTTGAACTGAGCTACAGTTGCAGACGGAGATGTCTCTGGCGAAAGCGATATAATTCAGAATATTGCACAATTTGACTGTTTCAAAGTAGATACGACAATTCAACTGAAACATAAAAATATCACATACGTATGGAAAGCTTTATTGGTTGCATGTGGCTAGCATGTTTACCTTAAAAAAAAGAAATGTACTTAAAGTGAGCTGATGACTTTTACTAGGGCTTCCTCGTTCAAGGGAAATAATTGCAATTCCCGATTAAAAGAATTTCCATCCCCAACAATTGTACTAACAAATACAGAAATGTCAAAACAGGTTTAAAGTTCTAAAAGTTAAAATTGGAAGGAGTAGGAATGGAAGAATGAGGGATCAATCCCTAAACCTAAAATACATTTAAAGTATTATTAAGCTGAACATAGCAAGAAAATTTGGAAGAAATATAAAGTCAATAAATAATCCGACAGTTTGATTTACTGATTTAAAAAAACAAAAATATTACAGAAGAAGAGAAACTGAACAAACGATTTAGCAAATAAAAGAATCCACCAAAGCACATAATTTCCATTCCAAATAACTACATTAAAAAATACAAAAATGTGCTAACTGTTATGCGTTCTAAAAGGATAAGCGTACCCTAATCTTGTTGAAAAAGCAAGATGACCAGTCACTGTCATCTTGCTTTTTCAACAGCATAGTATAGAGAATTCTTATTTCCTACAGGCTATCTCTCGGGAATTTCGTCTCTCTGAAATTCCTCTCGGAAATTCAACATCATGGAAGAGTGAAATATTTTCTGTATTTATTGCTTTCTATTCACAATTGCATGGATTTTAGAATTTCAGTTGAAAAAGGTATTTCATTCACATTCTTTTTTATATCCTTATTTATAAAATTTTTCATAAAAATTAATGGAACGTTCCTTTCAAGCAATCTAAATCATTTGGTTCTTGTTTTTTCATATTTGAATAAGTAATGCATTTTTCCTATTCTCGAAAAAAAAAAGAAAAAAAAAATAGTTCTATACATGGTCTTCTTTATTAGAGATTTTCTTATAGTTAAACATCTAATAATTTCCTACGGGATGTAAAAATGGGAATTAAAAAGACTGTGTAAAGGAAAATCGGATTACAGCGATTGGAAGTGATAGATATCAAATCAGAAAATTTTGTATGGTAATCAAAAAAGTTGAAAATTCAGCTGGTTAATGAGTTAGCATTTTGTTTATTTGCGGAGTATTTTAAATTATACTTTTCATATATTATTGATTTTAAATTCAGCGTTTTACTTTATTTCTAAAATTTGTGAACATTCTTTTTTTTCAATACTATTGCAGATTTGTCATCGGTGCACAGTATTTTATCTACTCCGGATTTGTGGATCAATTATATGATATACCGACCAATGGATTTGTCTCTTAGCTCCTTACGAAATAAATCTTCACTCAATATAATTTGTGCGATAAAATATTTGAATGTAAAATATTTGCATCACAATTTTTGTTTTTATTTCTACTCTTTGGAAAATTATGTTCTACTTATGTACGTTCTCTTAAACTAGTTGAGTAATCAATCTTTCCATATTCTCCGATGTAAATCAAGATTTTCTATTATACTAGATCAGTATTTGATGAGTTTTTTTTTGCGAAGTATTTAAAAGCATATTTCGGTTATCGTTATATCCAGTAAATATTATTAAGCAAATGTCAGGAGTTTCCTCTCTCATCAATTGGTTTTAGAAATATAAAGTTGCCAGAAGTTGACATCAATTAGTGGACGAATACTGAATATATTTTCTATTTCCATTGTGTTTCTTATCCTATTATAGTTCAGATGAACAACTGAAGTTACTTAGAATTAATTCTGAATAACCATCTAGATTATAAACCTTCTAATTAACAAACAGAACCGTTGGATTTATCAATATCAAAAGTGAAAGAGGAAGGAAATAAATCGCAAGGCTTATCAGTGAAAAGAGTGAGTGATGAACGAATTAAACCGCGACGACTTGTTCCAATCGAAACACTGATGGAAGTAATTGAACCAGAAAAAGAAAGCACAGGAAAGAAACGGCGTTGTGATATATGTCAAAAGGAAATAACACATATGAAAAAACATGTGATGACTCATACCGGTGAAAAGCCGTATAGTTGTCCAGTATGCAAGAGAAATTTCACTCAATCCTGCCATATAAAAAATCATATGATGACTCATACTGGTGAAAAGCCGTATAGTTGTTCGATATGCAAAAAGAATTTTATTCAGTCCAGCAGTATGAAAGCACATATGGTGGTTCATACCGGTGAGAAGCCGTACAGTTGTTCCATATGCAAAAAGAATTTCGCTGATCTCTGTAATATGAAAAGGCATAAGAAGACTCATACCGGTGAAAAGCCGTATAGTTGTTCAGTATGCAAGAGAAATTTCACTCAATCCTGCCATATAAAAAATCATATGATGACTCATACTGGTGAAAAACCTCATAGTTGTCCACTATGCAAGAGAAATTTCACTCAGTTCGGGGATATGAAAAAACATGTGATGATTCATACTGGTGAAAAGCCGTACAGTTGTTCGATATGCAAAAAGAATTTTATTCAGTCCAGCAGTATGAAATCACATATGATGATTCATACCAGTGAAAAGCCGCACAGTTGTTCGATATGCAAAAGGAATTTCGGTGATCTCCGTAATATGAAAAGACATATGACGACGACTCATGCTGGTGAAAAGCCGTACAGTTGTTCGATATGCAAAAAGAATTTCACTCGGTCTGACAGTATGAAATCACATATGATGATTCATACGGGTGAAAGCCGTATAGTTGTTTGATATGTAGAAAAGGTTTCATACATAAACACCATTTGCAGTCTCACATGGCAACTCATGAAATGAATAGACCTGTCTACCACTATACTGTATGCAGTAAAGATTTTCAGGCTAAATCCGGCTTGAAATCGCACATGAAGAATCATTAAATTTCGCGTACTTTAAACAAATGAAATGCTCTCTGCTATTTCTATTTTATTATTTACATTCTCTGTTGTTAGCTATTTCTTTTGTTTGATCTTATATGCACATTTATGTCGTTTTTCGTCCCTGTTTTTTGTTCTTGCAGCGTTTTTCTTTACAAGTAACAAGTAATCTACACAAGTAATCTTGCATGCTGTGTACGAAGAACTTGCGAATAAATATCGCTATTTTTAAATTACTTATGAAATGGAATTGCTCATATGTATTCCTCTCTCGATTATTGCATAAATAAAATGAAAATCAATTTTTGGGAAAGAAAAGAATCTTCTTAAACACAACATATCATTTCATAAAGTTGTTTGGTTATGCGGTTTACAACAGAGCGTCAAACTTATATCAGCGAGTGACTAAATATTTAATCGGCTATTAATAAAGTATTACAGTTAAAAATCAACAAGAAATTTTCAGAAAACATATACAATATCTGTCTAATTATTCGTGCTGATCGAATTATTTTTAGAACCATTAGCTTTCACTTTGAACCATTAGCTTTCACTTTAAAGTTGAAACCATTTAGCATTTATAAATCAACATTACCAATTATAAGAGATGCAGCAATGTAATTTTCCATTCTTTCCAATATTCCCAAAAATTTGAAAATGTGGAAAAATTGAAGCGAAATATAATAAGATTACAAAAAGTGTCATAACTGCTTTGCATAAATTATTTATAACAATAAAATACAGAAGCTGAAAAGAAATGATTCAGTATAGAGGATTAAGCAGTAGTGCTATTATCATTTTATTATACATTATTATATATTCTATTATTATTGCTATACATACGTTATTATACGTAGACGTAAGTTATCAATACACGTAGTTTGCCACCCCCATCTGAATGAGAAGTTATACATGCGATTATCGAACAATATCTAACAGAATTGATCGGTTGGCCTCTGTCATACTCTCCTACAATTATCATTCAGTAGTTTTATTTCATTCATTTCGACAGAAGACGACAGAAGATTACCCCTTTTCAAACTTTTGAGTTATGACAGGGATTTTGGAATTAGATGATAAATTTATTAATAAACTAATATATTTAGAAAAGCATTTACTTGAAGAAATATCTCCTTTGCGCATTTGTCAAATAGCAGCGACATTATTCTTTAGAAGCAACCGTCAATAAATTTGAATGTTTTTCAGAATTGGCAACAAACTATTCTCATTAACATGCATTTCATCTATTTATTCTTCTTTGTCTTCCAATTGAGCAATATTCGAAACACAGTAAGTCCACATAAAGTTAAAAAAAAAAACAACATAACACCACAATACCATCGGCATTTAAATTTTTCACAGTGATTTTTCATTGATAATTTCATATCATTTAAGGTAGCGCAAACGGAACAAACAGAACCGTTGGATTTATCAATATCAAAAGTGAAAGAGGAAGGAAATAAATCGCAAGGCTTATCAGTGAAAAGAGTGAGTGATGAACGAATTAAACCGCGACGACTTGTTCCAATCGAAACACTGACGGAAGTAATTGAACCAGAAAAAGAAAGCACAGGAAAGAAACGGCGTTGTGATATATGTCAAAAGGAAATAACACATATGAAAAAACATGTGATGACTCATACCGGTGAAAAGCCGTATAGTTGTCCAGTATGCAAGAGAAATTTCACTCAATCCTGCCATATAAAAAATCATATGATGACTCATACTGCTGAAAAGCCGTATAGTTGTCCACTATGCAAGAGAAATTTCACTCAGTTCGGGAATATGAAAAAACATGTGATGATTCATACTGGTGAAAAGCCGTACAGTTGTTCGATATGCAAAAAGAATTTTATTCAGTCCAGCAGTATGATAGCACATATGGTGGTTCATACCGGTGAGAAGCCGTACAGTTGTTCCATATGCAAAAAGAATTTCGCTGATCTCTGTAATATGAAAAGGCATAAGAAGACTCATACTGGTGAAAAGCCGTATAGTTGTCCAGTATGCAAGAGAAATTTCACTCAATCCTGCCATATAAAAAATCATATGATGACTCATACTGGTGAAAAGCCGTACAGTTGTTCAATATGCAAAAAGAATTTCAGTCGGTCCAACAGTATGAAAGCACATATGGTGATTCATACCGGTGAAAAGCCTTACTGTTGTTCGATATGCAAAAAGAATTTCAGTCGATCCGACAGTATGAAAGCACATATGGTGATTCATACCGGTGAAAAGCCGTATAGTTGTTCGATATGCGGAAAAAGTTACCCCCAAAAACGCAGTTTGCAGACTCACATGGTAATTCATGACATGAATAGACCTGTCTACCAGTGTACTGTATGCAGTAAAGATTTTCAGACTAAATCCGGTTTGAAATCGCACATGAAGAATCATTAAAACTTGCCCAATTTAAACAAAATAAATGCCCTCTGCTATTTCTGTTTTGATTTTTTATATTCTCTGTATCGATTTCATTTACAAGTAATCTTGCATGCTGTGTACGAAGAACTTGCGAATAAATATCGCTATTGTTATATTACTAATGAATGTAGTTGATCATATGTATTCCTCCCTTGATTATTATATAAATGAAATAGAAATAAATTTCTGGGGAAGAAAAGAATCTTCTTAATCATTTCATAAAGCTATATAATTATGCGATCTACAGCAGAGCGTCAAATTTATATCAGTGAATGACTAAATATTTGATCGGTAATCAACAATGTATTACAGATGAAAATCAGCAAGAGATTTGAGGATGCATATACAAAAGCATATCTAACTATTTGTACTGACTGAAATATTTTTAAAACCATTAACTGTCACTTTGATCATTTATGTTAACACCTGTCTCAAAAGTTACTTTTTTCCTCACCGTCTTAATTGTACCTGTTAAGAAATCACAACGTGACATATATTTCATTTCTTCCATCAATTCCATAAAGGAAGTTATTGATTAAAAAGACTTCCCATGAAAATGTAGAGGAGATGACTTAAATGCTTTATTAACCATATTATTACTTTAACTAAAATTAATACCACTTCTTCACTGAATATTAATTAATAATGATATTTTTACAATTAACTTAATCTTGCCATGACATTATTAATGCACCTAATAATTACACAGTATTAATGAATTTAATTAGTGATATAGGCTAAGGTAAAAAATATGTAGTCAATAAGAATGACAGAATTTTCTCGCGAAGTAACAGCAAACACTTCAAATCAAATTTTGAACTGAGCTACAGTTGCAGACGGAGATGTCTCTGGCGAAAGCGATATAATTCAGAATATTGCACAATTTGACTGTTTCAAAGTAGATACGACAATTCAACTGAAACATAAAAATATCACATACGTATGGAAAGCTTTATTGGTTGCATGTGGCTAGCATGTTTACCTTAAAAAAAAGAAATGTACTTAAAGTGAGCTGATGACTTTTACTAGGGCTTCCTCGTTCAAGGGAAATAATTGCAATTCCCGATTAAAAGAATTTCCATCCCCAACAATTGTACTAACAAATACAGAAATGTCAAAACAGGTTTAAAGTTCTAAAAGTTAAAATTGGAAGGAGTAGGAATGGAAGAATGAGGGATCAATCCCTAAACCTAAAATACATTTAAAGTATTATTAAGCTGAACATAGCAAGAAAATTTGGAAGAAATATAAAGTCAATAAATAATCCGACAGTTTGATTTACTGATTTAAAAAAACAAAAATATTACAGAAGAAGAGAAACTGAACAAACGATTTAGCAAATAAAAGAATCCACCAAAGCACATAATTTCCATTCCAAATAACTACATTAAAAAATACAAAAATGTGCTAACTGTTATGCGTTCTAAAAGGATAAGCGTACCCTAATCTTGTTGAAAAAGCAAGATGACCAGTCACTGTCATCTTGCTTTTTCAACAGCATAGTATAGAGAATTCTTATTTCCTACAGGCTATCTCTCGGGAATTTCGTCTCTCTGAAATTCCTCTCGGAAATTCAACATCATGGAAGAGTGAAATATTTTCTGTATTTATTGCTTTCTATTCACAATTGCATGGATTTTAGAATTTCAGTTGAAAAAGGTATTTCATTCACATTCTTTTTTATATCCTTATTTATAAAATTTTTCATAAAAATTAATGGAACGTTCCTTTCAAGCAATCTAAATCATTTGGTTCTTGTTTTTTCATATTTGAATAAGTAATGCATTTTTCCTATTCTCGAAAAAAAAAAGAAAAAAAAAATAGTTCTATACATGGTCTTCTTTATTAGAGATTTTCTTATAGTTAAACATCTAATAATTTCCTACGGGATGTAAAAATGGGAATTAAAAAGACTGTGTAAAGGAAAATCGGATTACAGCGATTGGAAGTGATAGATATCAAATCAGAAAATTTTGTATGGTAATCAAAAAAGTTGAAAATTCAGCTGGTTAATGAGTTAGCATTTTGTTTATTTGCGGAGTATTTTAAATTATACTTTTCATATATTATTGATTTTAAATTCAGCGTTTTACTTTATTTCTAAAATTTGTGAACATTCTTTTTTTTCAATACTATTGCAGATTTGTCATCGGTGCACAGTATTTTATCTACTCCGGATTTGTGGATCAATTATATGATATACCGACCAATGGATTTGTCTCTTAGCTCCTTACGAAATAAATCTTCACTCAATATAATTTGTGCGATAAAATATTTGAATGTAAAATATTTGCATCACAATTTTTGTTTTTATTTCTACTCTTTGGAAAATTATGTTCTACTTATGTACGTTCTCTTAAACTAGTTGAGTAATCAATCTTTCCATATTCTCCGATGTAAATCAAGATTTTCTATTATACTAGATCAGTATTTGATGAGTTTTTTTTTGCGAAGTATTTAAAAGCATATTTCGGTTATCGTTATATCCAGTAAATATTATTAAGCAAATGTCAGGAGTTTCCTCTCTCATCAATTGGTTTTAGAAATATAAAGTTGCCAGAAGTTGACATCAATTAGTGGACGAATACTGAATATATTTTCTATTTCCATTGTGTTTCTTATCCTATTATAGTTCAGATGAACAACTGAAGTTACTTAGAATTAATTCTGAATAACCATCTAGATTATAAACCTTCTAATTAACAAACAGAACCGTTGGATTTATCAATATCAAAAGTGAAAGAGGAAGGAAATAAATCGCAAGGCTTATCAGTGAAAAGAGTGAGTGATGAACGAATTAAACCGCGACGACTTGTTCCAATCGAAACACTGATGGAAGTAATTGAACCAGAAAAAGAAAGCACAGGAAAGAAACGGCGTTGTGATATATGTCAAAAGGAAATAACACATATGAAAAAACATGTGATGACTCATACCGGTGAAAAGCCGTATAGTTGTCCAGTATGCAAGAGAAATTTCACTCAATCCTGCCATATAAAAAATCATATGATGACTCATACTGGTGAAAAGCCGTATAGTTGTTCGATATGCAAAAAGAATTTTATTCAGTCCAGCAGTATGAAAGCACATATGGTGGTTCATACCGGTGAGAAGCCGTACAGTTGTTCCATATGCAAAAAGAATTTCGCTGATCTCTGTAATATGAAAAGGCATAAGAAGACTCATACCGGTGAAAAGCCGTATAGTTGTTCAGTATGCAAGAGAAATTTCACTCAATCCTGCCATATAAAAAATCATATGATGACTCATACTGGTGAAAAACCTCATAGTTGTCCACTATGCAAGAGAAATTTCACTCAGTTCGGGGATATGAAAAAACATGTGATGATTCATACTGGTGAAAAGCCGTACAGTTGTTCGATATGCAAAAAGAATTTTATTCAGTCCAGCAGTATGAAATCACATATGATGATTCATACCAGTGAAAAGCCGCACAGTTGTTCGATATGCAAAAGGAATTTCGGTGATCTCCGTAATATGAAAAGACATATGACGACGACTCATGCTGGTGAAAAGCCGTACAGTTGTTCGATATGCAAAAAGAATTTCACTCGGTCTGACAGTATGAAATCACATATGATGATTCATACGGGTGAAAGCCGTATAGTTGTTTGATATGTAGAAAAGGTTTCATACATAAACACCATTTGCAGTCTCACATGGCAACTCATGAAATGAATAGACCTGTCTACCACTATACTGTATGCAGTAAAGATTTTCAGGCTAAATCCGGCTTGAAATCGCACATGAAGAATCATTAAATTTCGCGTACTTTAAACAAATGAAATGCTCTCTGCTATTTCTATTTTATTATTTACATTCTCTGTTGTTAGCTATTTCTTTTGTTTGATCTTATATGCACATTTATGTCGTTTTTCGTCCCTGTTTTTTGTTCTTGCAGCGTTTTTCTTTACAAGTAACAAGTAATCTACACAAGTAATCTTGCATGCTGTGTACGAAGAACTTGCGAATAAATATCGCTATTTTTAAATTACTTATGAAATGGAATTGCTCATATGTATTCCTCTCTCGATTATTGCATAAATAAAATGAAAATCAATTTTTGGGAAAGAAAAGAATCTTCTTAAACACAACATATCATTTCATAAAGTTGTTTGGTTATGCGGTTTACAACAGAGCGTCAAACTTATATCAGCGAGTGACTAAATATTTAATCGGCTATTAATAAAGTATTACAGTTAAAAATCAACAAGAAATTTTCAGAAAACATATACAATATCTGTCTAATTATTCGTGCTGATCGAATTATTTTTAGAACCATTAGCTTTCACTTTGAACCATTAGCTTTCACTTTAAAGTTGAAACCATTTAGCATTTATAAATCAACATTACCAATTATAAGAGATGCAGCAATGTAATTTTCCATTCTTTCCAATATTCCCAAAAATTTGAAAATGTGGAAAAATTGAAGCGAAATATAATAAGATTACAAAAAGTGTCATAACTGCTTTGCATAAATTATTTATAACAATAAAATACAGAAGCTGAAAAGAAATGATTCAGTATAGAGGATTAAGCAGTAGTGCTATTATCATTTTATTATACATTATTATATATTCTATTATTATTGCTATACATACGTTATTATACGTAGACGTAAGTTATCAATACACGTAGTTTGCCACCCCCATCTGAATGAGAAGTTATACATGCGATTATCGAACAATATCTAACAGAATTGATCGGTTGGCCTCTGTCATACTCTCCTACAATTATCATTCAGTAGTTTTATTTCATTCATTTCGACAGAAGACGACAGAAGATTACCCCTTTTCAAACTTTTGAGTTATGACAGGGATTTTGGAATTAGATGATAAATTTATTAATAAACTAATATATTTAGAAAAGCATTTACTTGAAGAAATATCTCCTTTGCGCATTTGTCAAATAGCAGCGACATTATTCTTTAGAAGCAACCGTCAATAAATTTGAATGTTTTTCAGAATTGGCAACAAACTATTCTCATTAACATGCATTTCATCTATTTATTCTTCTTTGTCTTCCAATTGAGCAATATTCGAAACACAGTAAGTCCACATAAAGTTAAAAAAAAAACAACATAACACCACAATACCATCGGCATTTAAATTTTTCACAGTGATTTTTCATTGATAATTTCATATCATTTAAGGTAGCGCAAACGGAACAAACAGAACCGTTGGATTTATCAATATCAAAAGTGAAAGAGGAAGGAAATAAATCGCAAGGCTTATCAGTGAAAAGAGTGAGTGATGAACGAATTAAACCGCGACGACTTGTTCCAATCGAAACACTGACGGAAGTAATTGAACCAGAAAAAGAAAGCACAGGAAAGAAACGGCGTTGTGATATATGTCAAAAGGAAATAACACATATGAAAAAACATGTGATGACTCATACCGGTGAAAAGCCGTATAGTTGTCCAGTATGCAAGAGAAATTTCACTCAATCCTGCCATATAAAAAATCATATGATGACTCATACTGCTGAAAAGCCGTATAGTTGTCCACTATGCAAGAGAAATTTCACTCAGTTCGGGAATATGAAAAAACATGTGATGATTCATACTGGTGAAAAGCCGTACAGTTGTTCGATATGCAAAAAGAATTTTATTCAGTCCAGCAGTATGATAGCACATATGGTGGTTCATACCGGTGAGAAGCCGTACAGTTGTTCCATATGCAAAAAGAATTTCGCTGATCTCTGTAATATGAAAAGGCATAAGAAGACTCATACTGGTGAAAAGCCGTATAGTTGTCCAGTATGCAAGAGAAATTTCACTCAATCCTGCCATATAAAAAATCATATGATGACTCATACTGGTGAAAAGCCGTACAGTTGTTCAATATGCAAAAAGAATTTCAGTCGGTCCAACAGTATGAAAGCACATATGGTGATTCATACCGGTGAAAAGCCTTACTGTTGTTCGATATGCAAAAAGAATTTCAGTCGATCCGACAGTATGAAAGCACATATGGTGATTCATACCGGTGAAAAGCCGTATAGTTGTTCGATATGCGGAAAAAGTTACCCCCAAAAACGCAGTTTGCAGACTCACATGGTAATTCATGACATGAATAGACCTGTCTACCAGTGTACTGTATGCAGTAAAGATTTTCAGACTAAATCCGGTTTGAAATCGCACATGAAGAATCATTAAAACTTGCCCAATTTAAACAAAATAAATGCCCTCTGCTATTTCTGTTTTGATTTTTTATATTCTCTGTATCGATTTCATTTACAAGTAATCTTGCATGCTGTGTACGAAGAACTTGCGAATAAATATCGCTATTGTTATATTACTAATGAATGTAGTTGATCATATGTATTCCTCCCTTGATTATTATATAAATGAAATAGAAATAAATTTCTGGGGAAGAAAAGAATCTTCTTAATCATTTCATAAAGCTATATAATTATGCGATCTACAGCAGAGCGTCAAATTTATATCAGTGAATGACTAAATATTTGATCGGTAATCAACAATGTATTACAGATGAAAATCAGCAAGAGATTTGAGGATGCATATACAAAAGCATATCTAACTATTTGTACTGACTGAAATATTTTTAAAACCATTAACTGTCACTTTGATCATTTATGTTAACACCTGTCTCAAAAGTTACTTTTTTCCTCACCGTCTTAATTGTACCTGTTAAGAAATCACAACGTGACATATATTTCATTTCTTCCATCAATTCCATAAAGGAAGTTATTGATTAAAAAGACTTCCCATGAAAATGTAGAGGAGATGACTTAAATGCTTTATTAACCATATTATTACTTTAACTAAAATTAATACCACTTCTTCACTGAATATTAATTAATAATGATATTTTTACAATTAACTTAATCTTGCCATGACATTATTAATGCACCTAATAATTACACAGTATTAATGAATTTAATTAGTGATATAGGCTAAGGTAAAAAATATGTAGTCAATAAGAATGACAGAATTTTCTCGCGAAGTAACAGCAAACACTTCAAATCAAATTTTGAACTGAGCTACAGTTGCAGACGGAGATGTCTCTGGCGAAAGCGATATAATTCAGAATATTGCACAATTTGACTGTTTCAAAGTAGATACGACAATTCAACTGAAACATAAAAATATCACATACGTATGGAAAGCTTTATTGGTTGCATGTGGCTAGCATGTTTACCTTAAAAAAAAGAAATGTACTTAAAGTGAGCTGATGACTTTTACTAGGGCTTCCTCGTTCAAGGGAAATAATTGCAATTCCCGATTAAAAGAATTTCCATCCCCAACAATTGTACTAACAAATACAGAAATGTCAAAACAGGTTTAAAGTTCTAAAAGTTAAAATTGGAAGGAGTAGGAATGGAAGAATGAGGGATCAATCCCTAAACCTAAAATACATTTAAAGTATTATTAAGCTGAACATAGCAAGAAAATTTGGAAGAAATATAAAGTCAATAAATAATCCGACAGTTTGATTTACTGATTTAAAAAAAACAAAAATATTACAGAAGAAGAGAAACTGAACAAACGATTTAGCAAATAAAAGAATCCACCAAAGCACATAATTTCCATTCCAAATAACTACATTAAAAAATACAAAAATGTGCTAACTGTTATGCGTTCTAAAAGGATAAGCGTACCCTAATCTTGTTGAAAAAGCAAGATGACCAGTCACTGTCATCTTGCTTTTTCAACAGCATAGTATAGAGAATTCTTATTTCCTACAGGCTATCTCTCGGGAATTTCGTCTCTCTGAAATTCCTCTCGGAAATTCAACATCATGGAAGAGTGAAATATTTTCTGTATTTATTGCTTTCTATTCACAATTGCATGGATTTTAGAATTTCAGTTGAAAAAGGTATTTCATTCACATTCTTTTTTATATCCTTATTTATAAAATTTTTCATAAAAATTAATGGAACGTTCCTTTCAAGCAATCTAAATCATTTGGTTCTTGTTTTTTCATATTTGAATAAGTAATGCATTTTTCCTATTCTCGAAAAAAAAAGAAAAAAAAATAGTTCTATACATGGTCTTCTTTATTAGAGATTTTCTTATAGTTAAACATCTAATAATTTCCTACGGGATGTAAAAATGGGAATTAAAAAGACTGTGTAAAGGAAAATCGGATTACAGCGATTGGAAGTGATAGATATCAAATCAGAAAATTTTGTATGGTAATCAAAAAAGTTGAAAATTCAGCTGGTTAATGAGTTAGCATTTTGTTTATTTGCGGAGTATTTTAAATTATACTTTTCATATATTATTGATTTTAAATTCAGCGTTTTACTTTATTTCTAAAATTTGTGAACATTCTTTTTTTTCAATACTATTGCAGATTTGTCATCGGTGCACAGTATTTTATCTACTCCGGATTTGTGGATCAATTATATGATATACCGACCAATGGATTTGTCTCTTAGCTCCTTACGAAATAAATCTTCACTCAATATAATTTGTGCGATAAAATATTTGAATGTAAAATATTTGCATCACAATTTTTGTTTTTATTTCTACTCTTTGGAAAATTATGTTCTACTTATGTACGTTCTCTTAAACTAGTTGAGTAATCAATCTTTCCATATTCTCCGATGTAAATCAAGATTTTCTATTATACTAGATCAGTATTTGATGAGTTTTTTTTTGCGAAGTATTTAAAAGCATATTTCGGTTATCGTTATATCCAGTAAATATTATTAAGCAAATGTCAGGAGTTTCCTCTCTCATCAATTGGTTTTAGAAATATAAAGTTGCCAGAAGTTGACATCAATTAGTGGACGAATACTGAATATATTTTCTATTTCCATTGCGTTTCTTATCCTATTATAGTTCAGATGACCAACTGAAGTTACTTAGAATTAATTCTGAATAACCATCTAGATTATAAACCTTCTAATTAACAAACAGAACCGTTGGATTTATCAATATCAAAAGTGAAAGAGGAAGGAAATAAATCGCAAGGCTTATCAGTGAAAAGAGTGAGTGATGAACGAATTAAACCGCGACGACTTGTTCCAATCGAAACACTGATGGAAGTAATTGAACCAGAAAAAGAAAGCACAGGAAAGAAACGGCGTTGTGATATATGTCAAAAGGAAATAACACATATGAAAAAACATGTGATGACTCATACCGGTGAAAAGCCGTATAGTTGTCCAGTATGCAAGAGAAATTTCACTCAATCCTGCCATATAAAAAATCATATGATGACTCATACTGGTGAAAAGCCGTATAGTTGTTCGATATGCAAAAAGAATTTTATTCAGTCCAGCAGTATGAAAGCACATATGGTGGTTCATACCGGTGAGAAGCCGTACAGTTGTTCCATATGCAAAAAGAATTTCGCTGATCTCTGTAATATGAAAAGGCATAAGAAGACTCATACCGGTGAAAAGCCGTATAGTTGTTCAGTATGCAAGAGAAATTTCACTCAATCCTGCCATATAAAAAATCATATGATGACTCATACTGGTGAAAAACCTCATAGTTGTCCACTATGCAAGAGAAATTTCACTCAGTTCGGGGATATGAAAAAACATGTGATGATTCATACTGGTGAAAAGCCGTACAGTTGTTCGATATGCAAAAAGAATTTTATTCAGTCCAGCAGTATGAAATCACATATGATGATTCATACCAGTGAAAAGCCGCACAGTTGTTCGATATGCAAAAGGAATTTCGGTGATCTCCGTAATATGAAAAGACATATGACGACGACTCATGCTGGTGAAAAGCCGTACAGTTGTTCGATATGCAAAAAGAATTTCACTCGGTCTGACAGTATGAAATCACATATGATGATTCATACGGGTGAAAGCCGTATAGTTGTTTGATATGTAGAAAAGGTTTCATACATAAACACCATTTGCAGTCTCACATGGCAACTCATGAAATGAATAGACCTGTCTACCACTATACTGTATGCAGTAAAGATTTTCAGGCTAAATCCGGCTTGAAATCGCACATGAAGAATCATTAAATTTCGCGTACTTTAAACAAATGAAATGCTCTCTGCTATTTCTATTTTATTATTTACATTCTCTGTTGTTAGCTATTTCTTTTGTTTGATCTTATATGCACATTTATGTCGTTTTTCGTCCCTGTTTTTTGTTCTTGCAGCGTTTTTCTTTACAAGTAACAAGTAATCTACACAAGTAATCTTGCATGCTGTGTACGAAGAACTTGCGAATAAATATCGCTATTTTTAAATTACTTATGAAATGGAATTGCTCATATGTATTCCTCTCTCGATTATTGCATAAATAAAATGAAAATCAATTTTTGGGAAAGAAAAGAATCTTCTTAAACACAACATATCATTTCATAAAGTTGTTTGGTTATGCGGTTTACAACAGAGCGTCAAACTTATATCAGCGAGTGACTAAATATTTAATCGGCTATTAATAAAGTATTACAGTTAAAAATCAACAAGAAATTTTCAGAAAACATATACAATATCTGTCTAATTATTCGTGCTGATCGAATTATTTTTAGAACCATTAGCTTTCACTTTGAACCATTAGCTTTCACTTTAAAGTTGAAACCATTTAGCATTTATAAATCAACATTACCAATTATAAGAGATGCAGCAATGTAATTTTCCATTCTTTCCAATATTCCCAAAAATTTGAAAATGTGGAAAAATTGAAGCGAAATATAATAAGATTACAAAAAGTGTCATAACTGCTTTGCATAAATTATTTATAACAATAAAATACAGAAGCTGAAAAGAAATGATTCAGTATAGAGGATTAAGCAGTAGTGCTATTATCATTTTATTATACATTATTATATATTCTATTATTATTGCTATACATACGTTATTATACGTAGACGTAAGTTATCAATACACGTAGTTTGCCACCCCCATCTGAATGAGAAGTTATACATGCGATTATCGAACAATATCTAACAGAATTGATCGGTTGGCCTCTGTCATACTCTCCTACAATTATCATTCAGTAGTTTTATTTCATTCATTTCGACAGAAGACGACAGAAGATTACCCCTTTTCAAACTTTTGAGTTATGACAGGGATTTTGGAATTAGATGATAAATTTATTAATAAACTAATATATTTAGAAAAGCATTTACTTGAAGAAATATCTCCTTTGCGCATTTGTCAAATAGCAGCGACATTATTCTTTAGAAGCAACCGTCAATAAATTTGAATGTTTTTCAGAATTGGCAACAAACTATTCTCATTAACATGCATTTCATCTATTTATTCTTCTTTGTCTTCCAATTGAGCAATATTCGAAACACAGTAAGTCCACATAAAGTTAAAAAAAAAAACAACATAACACCACAATACCATCGGCATTTAAATTTTTCACAGTGATTTTTCATTGATAATTTCATATCATTTAAGGTAGCGCAAACGGAACAAACAGAACCGTTGGATTTATCAATATCAAAAGTGAAAGAGGAAGGAAATAAATCGCAAGGCTTATCAGTGAAAAGAGTGAGTGATGAACGAATTAAACCGCGACGACTTGTTCCAATCGAAACACTGACGGAAGTAATTGAACCAGAAAAAGAAAGCACAGGAAAGAAACGGCGTTGTGATATATGTCAAAAGGAAATAACACATATGAAAAATCATATGATGACTCATACTGCTGAAAAGCCGTATAGTTGTCCACTATGCAAGAGAAATTTCACTCAGTTCGGGAATATGAAAAAACATGTGATGATTCATACTGGTGAAAAGCCGTACAGTTGTTCGATATGCAAAAAGAATTTTATTCAGTCCAGCAGTATGATAGCACATATGGTGGTTCATACCGGTGAGAAGCCGTACAGTTGTTCCATATGCAAAAAGAATTTCGGTGATCTCTGTAATATGAAAAGGCATAAGAAGACTCATACTGGTGAAAAGCCGTATAGTTGTCCAGTATGCAAGAGAAATTTCACTCAATCCTGCCATATAAAAAATCATATGATGACTCATACTGGTGAAAAATCTCATAGTTGTCCAGTATGCAAGAGAAATTTCACTCAGTTCGGGGATATGAAAAAACATGTGATGATTCATACTGGTGAAAAGCCGTACAGTTGTTCAATATGCAAAAAGAATTTCAGTCGGTCCAACAGTATGAAAGCACATATGGTGATTCATACCGGTGAAAAGCCTTACTGTTGTTCGATATGCAAAAAGAATTTCAGTCGATCCGACAGTATGAAAGCACATATGGTGATTCATACCGGTGAAAAGCCGTATAGTTGTTCGATATGCGGAAAAAGTTACCCCCAAAAACGCAGTTTGCAGACTCACATGGTAATTCATGACATGAATAGACCTGTCTACCAGTGTACTGTATGCAGTAAAGATTTTCAGACTAAATCCGGTTTGAAATCGCACATGAAGAATCATTAAAACTTGCCCAATTTAAACAAAATAAATGCCCTCTGCTATTTCTGTTTTGATTTTTTATATTCTCTGTATCGATTTCATTTACAAGTAATCTTGCATGCTGTGTACGAAGAACTTGCGAATAAATATCGCTATTGTTATATTACTAATGAATGTAGTTGATCATATGTATTCCTCCCTTGATTATTATATAAATGAAATAGAAATAAATTTCTGGGGAAGAAAAGAATCTTCTTAATCATTTCATAAAGCTATATAATTATGCGATCTACAGCAGAGCGTCAAATTTATATCAGTGAATGACTAAATATTTGATCGGTAATCAACAATGTATTACAGATGAAAATCAGCAAGAGATTTGAGGATGCATATACAAAAGCATATCTAACTATTTGTACTGACTGAAATATTTTTAAAACCATTAACTGTCACTTTGATCATTTATGTTAACACCTGTCTCAAAAGTTACTTTTTTCCTCACCGTCTTAATTGTACCTGTTAAGAAATCACAACGTGACATATATTTCATTTCTTCCATCAATTCCATAAAGGAAGTTATTGATTAAAAAGACTTCCCATGAAAATGTAGAGGAGATGACTTAAATGCTTTATTAACCATATTATTACTTTAACTAAAATTAATACCACTTCTTCACTGAATATTAATTAATAATGATATTTTTACAATTAACTTAATCTTGCCATGACATTATTAATGCACCTAATAATTACACAGTATTAATGAATTTAATTAGTGATATAGGCTAAGGTAAAAAATATGTAGTCAATAAGAATGACAGAATTTTCTCGCGAAGTAACAGCAAACACTTCAAATCAAATTTTGAACTGAGCTACAGTTGCAGACGGAGATGTCTCTGGCGAAAGCGATATAATTCAGAATATTGCACAATTTGACTGTTTCAAAGTAGATACGACAATTCAACTGAAACATAAAAATATCACATACGTATGGAAAGCTTTATTGGTTGCATGTGGCTAGCATGTTTACCTTAAAAAAAAGAAATGTACTTAAAGTGAGCTGATGACTTTTACTAGGGCTTCCTCGTTCAAGGGAAATAATTGCAATTCCCGATTAAAAGAATTTCCATCCCCAACAATTGTACTAACAAATACAGAAATGTCAAAACAGGTTTAAAGTTCTAAAAGTTAAAATTGGAAGGAGTAGGAATGGAAGAATGAGGGATCAATCCCTAAACCTAAAATACATTTAAAGTATTATTAAGCTGAACATAGCAAGAAAATTTGGAAGAAATATAAAGTCAATAAATAATCCGACAGTTTGATTTACTGATTTAAAAAAACAAAAATATTACAGAAGAAGAGAAACTGAACAAACGATTTAGCAAATAAAAGAATCCACCAAAGCACATAATTTCCATTCCAAATAACTACATTAAAAAATACAAAAATGTGCTAACTGTTATGCGTTCTAAAAGGATAAGCGTACCCTAATCTTGTTGAAAAAGCAAGATGACCAGTCACTGTCATCTTGCTTTTTCAACAGCATAGTATAGAGAATTCTTATTTCCTACAGGCTATCTCTCGGGAATTTCGTCTCTCTGAAATTCCTCTCGGAAATTCAACATCATGGAAGAGTGAAATATTTTCTGTATTTATTGCTTTCTATTCACAATTGCATGGATTTTAGAATTTCAGTTGAAAAAGGTATTTCATTCACATTCTTTTTTATATCCTTATTTATAAAATTTTTCATAAAAATTAATGGAACGTTCCTTTCAAGCAATCTAAATCATTTGGTTCTTGTTTTTTCATATTTGAATAAGTAATGCATTTTTCCTATTCTCGAAAAAAAAAAGAAAAAAAAAATAGTTCTATACATGGTCTTCTTTATTAGAGATTTTCTTATAGTTAAACATCTAATAATTTCCTACGGGATGTAAAAATGGGAATTAAAAAGACTGTGTAAAGGAAAATCGGATTACAGCGATTGGAAGTGATAGATATCAAATCAGAAAATTTTGTATGGTAATCAAAAAAGTTGAAAATTCAGCTGGTTAATGAGTTAGCATTTTGTTTATTTGCGGAGTATTTTAAATTATACTTTTCATATATTATTGATTTTAAATTCAGCGTTTTACTTTATTTCTAAAATTTGTGAACATTCTTTTTTTTTCAATACTATTGCAGATTTGTCATCGGTGCACAGTATTTTATCTACTCCGGATTTGTGGATCAATTATATGATATACCGACCAATGGATTTGTCTCTTAGCTCCTTACGAAATAAATCTTCACTCAATATAATTTGTGCGATAAAATATTTGAATGTAAAATATTTGCATCACAATTTTTGTTTTTATTTCTACTCTTTGGAAAATTATGTTCTACTTATGTACGTTCTCTTAAACTAGTTGAGTAATCAATCTTTCCATATTCTCCGATGTAAATCAAGATTTTCTATTATACTAGATCAGTATTTGATGAGTTTTTTTTTGCGAAGTATTTAAAAGCATATTTCGGTTATCGTTATATCCAGTAAATATTATTAAGCAAATGTCAGGAGTTTCCTCTCTCATCAATTGGTTTTAGAAATATAAAGTTGCCAGAAGTTGACATCAATTAGTGGACGAATACTGAATATATTTTCTATTTCCATTGCGTTTCTTATCCTATTATAGTTCAGATGACCAACTGAAGTTACTTAGAATTAATTCTGAATAACCATCTAGATTATAAACCTTCTAATTAACAAACAGAACCGTTGGATTTATCAATATCAAAAGTGAAAGAGGAAGGAAATAAATCGCAAGGCTTATCAGTGAAAAGAGTGAGTGATGAACGAATTAAACCGCGACGACTTGTTCCAATCGAAACACTGATGGAAGTAATTGAACCAGAAAAAGAAAGCACAGGAAAGAAACGGCGTTGTGATATATGTCAAAAGGAAATAACACATATGAAAAAACATGTGATGACTCATACCGGTGAAAAGCCGTATAGTTGTCCAGTATGCAAGAGAAATTTCACTCAATCCTGCCATATAAAAAATCATATGATGACTCATACTGGTGAAAAGCCGTATAGTTGTCCACTATGCAAGAGAAATTTCACTCAGTTCGGGGATATGAAAAAACATGTGATGATTCATACTGGTGAAAAGCCGTACAGTTGTTCGATATGCGGAAAAAGTTACACACAGAAATGCACCTTGCAAAGTCACATGGTAACTCATCAAATGAATAATAGACTTATCACTGTATGATAAGCAGTAAAGATTTTCAGGCTAAATGCAGATTGAAATTGCATATGAAGAATCATTAAAGCTTGAGCACTTTAAACGGAGGAAATGCACTCTGCTAATTCTGTTATTGTTGATTACTTCCTGTTTTTTATTGATAAATTATTGTTTGTTCTTTGATCTTATATGCATACTAGTATCACTTTCTTTTCGTTATCCCTGCAATGTATTTTTCGGCATTAACTTCAACCACTGATTTCATTTGCAAATAACCTTGCATGCTATGCACGAAGAATTTGCAAATAAATATCGCTATTGCTTAATTACTAATGAAATAAAATTGCTGATATGTATTCCTCCCTCGATTGTTGCATAAATAAAATGAAAATCAATTTTTGGGAAAGAAAAGAATCTTCTTAATCATATCATTTCATAATGTTGTTTGATTATGCGGTTTACAACAGAGCGTAAAACTTATATCAGCGAGTGACTAAATATTTAATCGGCAATCAACAAAGTAAAACAGCAGGATTTGAGGAGGCATAGCAATAGCACGTCTATTTAAGCTATTTGTGTTGACTGAAATGTTCCATTAACTCTCACTTTGATCAATTATTTCAACACTGCAAAAGTTTTTTCAGCCAAACCACTTTTTCCTTCATTGCGATGTCATTTTTCCAAATTTTTTTTTTTTGCATCAAGAAATCACAACTTGGTATATACTTGATTTTTTTTATCTTTTTAATTTAATCACTTCATTTGTTCCAGTTTCTATGATTTTTTTTTAACATGCTGGAATTGTGAGAACGAAATTGTTTAATCTCCTAGAAAGCAACGAAGGGAAAGAAAGCGACGAAGCAACAAAAGTGATTGGTTTCTTAGCGCAAAGAATTTGTTTTGAATAAGTGAAACTTATAAATGCTGAAAAGAATTTATGAAATTACTACTGGTATTTATTTCAGATTTGAGAATAAAGAGTAACTTAATCAAACTGTTTTAGTCATTTTTTCCACAGCGGATAACAACTGTTTTCAAACTTTTGGCACCATGAGAAATTTTTGAGACATTTTACATATATTTAGAAAAGCATTTATTGAAAAAATTTTTTCTTCACGCAATTTTGGAGCAACGAGAGCGGTATTGTTGTAAGTAACTATGTTCGATATTCATAAGCAAATTTTTCTCGATCTTGGAGTATAAAAATGTTAAGAATCCAGCAGCATATTTACTTCAAATATTGGTAATTGTAAGAAAGAATGTCTGCTTTAGCAAGAATGTCTTAGAATACTGTATAATTTAAATATATACAAGAGCACTAGTGGCATTGAAATTGCTTTCATCTCAGTACTGGCAAGAAAACAAAAACGGATTATCAGTTGACTCCATGTCAGGAATGATAACGAATAACAATATCTATGGCTTGAAAATAAATTGAAAAGATATGATTCATGAAGGAAACAGTTAATTAGCAAGATGTGCTCTACTTTTCTTCTTATGTTCTTCCTCGATCATATCATATTGTTAGCGAAATATATTGAAATTTATAAAAGTTTGCTTTCTTTACAAGTGATCAAAATTCTGTTCCTTTTATTTTAAAACATTTATATTTTCCAAGAAGCCCATTCCAATGTTTATTAACATGCAAACATGTTTTTAGTTTTCAGTGCTAAATTTTTTTTTTTTGAAAAACTAGAAAAAAATAGAAAAGAAAATTGCTAGATTTTTTTAACTTAATTGTTTAAATATTTTTTGCTTTTTCAGGTTAAATCTGCTTTTCGCTTTAATTATTGCATCTTTTTGATATATTTTCGGAGTAAATATACTGTATAAGATATCTGAATCATTAATCGGAGATTGGTTAATAATTATTTTCAGTATGTTATAAAAACATCCAGAGATAATTCAGAAGAGGAAGAAAGATTTCATCATTTAAGAATGGAATCTCGAAAATCATTCATGGAAAAGTAAGAAGGCGATAATTGATGCTGCTGTTGTTGAAGATACACAAGGAGTAGATGATACAGAAGTTTCATCCATAATTTAGTTTCTTAGTTGAAATAAACTACGACACCTTTTCGATCAGTGTAATTAAATTCATCAAGAGTTAAAATTAGTTTGAGAGAAAAGAAGTGATGAATAGAAAATTCTTTTTTTTTAAAGCTATATCTATGCCTTTTTTCTTTCTAGGATATTGTTTCCAGCTATTTTATAAGTTTTTTCCGAGGATTGTGTTGTTTCTCTACTGATGAACGACAGAAATCCAAAATTGGTAAGTGTTCAGAAATTGAATGTTCTCAGAATAGTAGATTTCAGCTTTAAAGTATTAGAGTATGATCATTTTTTAAAAACTTTTATAAGAATTGATTTTAATTATAAAGAAACTAGAGTAAAGGGTATAAACAAAAGTTATGTATGGATGGTTGTTTTCAGCAAAATCAGCACTTGTGTATTTAAAAAGAAAATGGTCTGATGTAGAGGAGAGACCGGTGAAAAGGTGTAATATTTAATCAAGCGGTTTTCAGTCTTTCAGTCTTTTTTAAGCTGGTCAATTTTTTTTTTTTAAGTGAATAGAAGAAAATTTGTAGCCATAAGCATATCTTAAATATAATAATATTATAGGAGTTGTTAACTTAGAATTGTTATATTGTAGAGTTGATAAGCTAGCATAGTTATATTATACATCTGATAAGTTAGAATAAAAAGCAGGAATAAGAAATAAGGAATAAATAAAAACTAAGCATTAAGTTATTTAGTCATTTTTTTCTGTTGGTTTTTTTTTTTTAAGCATAGATATAGTCTTTTTGCTTTTTACTTAAAATTATTTTTTACTAAAAAATGTCTTTTAACAATTTCAATATATCTAATTACTTATTTTTAAAACTAAATAATACAATTTTTTTATCAGTTTTATCACTTTTTAGATGTAGAAATAATCATTTATACTTTCGTCTAAATCTTTTTGTTAAAACAATTTCAACATTACTTATTAAAAAACTAAGCAATAAAATCAATAACTCACATTGTTTATTTAAGCATTAAACATTATTTGAAATCATAAAGTGTTGATAGTGACTTATCAATTTTCTTCCCTTTTGCTAATAGTATTTGGTGATATTGAATTTGTTGTTACCAGTAATACTTTTGTAGAATGCTGAAAATTTTCTCTGATAACAAAAGATGAAAAAAGGAGTTTTTTTTTTCACTAATTTTCTAAAATTTTTTAATCATTTTTTTAAATTTTTTTTAAACTTTTTAAGTTTTTTTAAAATTTTTTTATTTTTTTTCATTAATTTTTTTTACTAATTTTATTTACTAATTTTATCTCATCTCATATTATAATTTTCAATTAAATTTGTACTAGCTCGAATGAATAAATAAATATTTGTAAAAATGTTTGTATTAAAAGTATCGCAATTAATTACGAACAGGAATTTTTGAAATGATTAACAACTTAATTGCATTACAACTAATTCTAATTAGTAATTTATTAAATAAAGAGAAAAATTACTATTTTTTTAAAATGTTAATTATTATAAATTTGAATACATTTATTATTATTGCTTTTAAAATAACTATTATTAAAATTAGTGATATAACATTTTTTTTTTTTTTTTCAAAATAAATCAGTAAATACATTAAAGCTAGTTCTAATTAGTAATCTACTAAATAATAAAAAAAATTTTCTTTTTCCTTAGATTATTTGTTTTTAGATGTTTATTATTATATATTTTAATGAATTTATTATCTTTTTTAAAATATTTATTATTAAAATTATTGACAAAACATTTTCTTTTTTTAAATAAATTAATAAACCTTTGTAATTGAAATAATTGTCGTATAAATTTGTTGGAAAAAGCGTACAATAAAATCAACCGAACATGCAGTAATCATATATAATGCATCACTTTTACCAGCGTTATAAGTATTCAATGTCACTATCATATCATCTGCTTGATTATTAATATCTGTGCACATATCATTAAGTTTATCAACTCTCTCTTTTAAATCCATTAACATCTAAAAATAGAATTATCAATTTATGTGAGTTTTTAGTGGTTTCATAAAATTTTGCATAAAAATTCATTCATAAAATTTATTAATTCATAATTTATATGAAACATTTTTTATCAACACTTCTAATACTAATATATTAATTAAAAAATTATCAATTCATAAATTTTTAAATTTCTAAGCTTTTTTCATAAAATTTTTCATTAAAATTAATTTATAAAACTTGTCAATTCATAATTTATATCAAGCAATTTTTTTTATCAACACTTCTATACTTTTATAATTAATAGATTATTAATTTATTGCACTAATTAATTCATTAATTTTTACAATATATTACCATTTTGTTTTTCTTTGTTCACTTTTTTTTTGATATTACGTATAAAGTATTACATATAAAAAATTTTTATATGCAATACCACTTTTTTTGCATGATCTTATCAGAATAAAAAAAATTGGCTAAGTAAATTTAAATTAGTTTATAGGATAAAAATTAGCTTTTATCATTCTGAGTTTAAATTAGTACTACTTATTTAATTTTACAAAATATATGTGTGTTTATATTAATTTGTTTTTTGCATGATCTTATCAGGATGATATTCTGATAAAGATCACATAATGTTTACTTTCTGAATTTACTTTCCAAAAATCACCAATGAAAAAAACACCACAGCTGACTTATCTCAAAGTGATATATTAAATATTTTTAGCTTTTTTTTTGTTTACGAATGATTTTCATAAATTTCAATACGTCTCGTAAAATTTCAAAAAAAGTATGTCTAATAAAATTTCAATAAAATAATATTTAAAAAATTTTCAACAAAAATATTGCATATAATTTTATCAAACGAATTCTGCAAAAATTCAAAGGAAAAAAAGATATAATAAGAAATAAATGACTTGTAAGATAGCTACCATCATTTCTTTCAATATTATAAAATTTATTTTAGTTAATTAATATTTTAAACGAATCAATGTACTATTTCATTTTGCTAATATAAGTAATTATGTGTATGATAATTTAACTACTAATAAATAACTAATATTGAGTAAATTAGTAAATGATTTTTTTTTTTTTTTGAATATTAACATAATAGTTTTATTATTGTTTTAGTAAGAAAATTATATAAATAAGAAACCTCGCTTGTATAAAAATTTCAATATTTTTTTGTTTATTATTTATTTTTAATTTTGTTTTTTTTTATAATGTAATCCTGCATTTTGTAAATTTTTATTATTTTATTTTTTGTTTTTATTTATTTAGTTTTTTTTTTCGATAAAACAATCTTGCATGAAAAATTTTGATGATAATTACTTACTTCATTTTGAAGAATTTCTTCCCTCTCAATTTTTTCCCGGCAAGAATGCGCTATAATGCGATAATGATCCATAGCTCCACTAATTTGCTTCTTTAAAACCTTTAAAAAATTAAAATTTTAAATTTAACTTCCTTTCAGGCATTCATTTATTGACAACAAAAAAACGAAATAAATTACAATTTTCATCATTATTTAAATTATTCAACTATTTTCTAATTAGTTGATTAATAGTAAATTATGTTAGAAAAAATGACTAAATTTTTTTGTTTTTGTTAAAGTGATAAAATATTGAATTACATCAATTCTAGCAAGGATTTGATTTTTGGTCATAAAGAGCTGTTCTTCATGCTTTTTTATCATTTCGTTTTCATCTATCAATATTTTTAAACGTCTGTAACAGAAGCATTTGGTAAATTAATAATTTGAAGAATAGAAATAAAAGAAAAAAATGAATTAACAAAAGAATTTATTTCTTTTATTTTTTTTCAAAAAAAGTGATAAAGCGATTCATTTTTATTCAAATTTTTACAACCTCTTCTTGTTTTTTTTTTTCTTTTTTTTTTGAAACAGTATTTTTGAAAAAATGAAAGAATACCAAATGAAATAAATATAATTCGTATTATCCAACACTTTTTGCTATATTATGATGATAAAATCAACACCTAATATTATGGATGATAAAATCACATAAAATTAACACTTAATTGTGACTATTTTCTAACTTAATTATTTTAGTAATTGTTGTAGGAAAAAGGAACTGGAGCAATTTTACAGTATAGAAATGTATTGCTATAATTTCAAATATCTCATAATGATTGATATAAGGATACAAAATATTGTTTAAAAAGATGATTATGACCTCAAATTTGACCTAAAAATATATAACGTAGCAAAAAATTTTTGCATCAGTGTTTTAAAACATACAATATGCTACTTGTTTATAATATTTTAAAAATTTTTTCTAATGTTGATAAATCTGTTTTTGCATCAATTAATGAAATTTTTTTTTTTTTTTTTGCAAACTGTAAATTAGCATAAATAATTGCTTAAAAAATCAATCATTTCAATTAGTATAAAACTTATTTCATTAATTTATAATAAATATCATTGATACTTTCGACTTGAAAAATTAATATATATTTAAGACGAATAACTTCCAAATTATTATGATCAATGACATAAAATTTCTTTTTTTCTCTCCCTCTCTGTCATCTCGCTTTCTATCATCATCTTTTAACTTCAAACAGTTAAGTGCTTCAAATCATCTGATAACAAAAGTTTATCATTTATTTTCTTTAAAACTATTTAAAATCCAACTGCATTTAAAAATTGACTGAATTCAATCTTTTACAAAACTACAAGAAAAAAAAAAACGAAAGATCAATTCCAATGAGAGAAATGTTCATTGTTTATAATAAATTTTTATAAGGAATAAATTTTTCTTCAAACATTTATCCATCTTTAAATTATAGAAAAAAAAAAAAAAAAAAAAAAAAAGAAAAAAAGGCGATTTCATTAAATTACCTAAAAAGTGGAAAAGGAAAAACTTTCACTACATTTTTGTTTCCTATTTGTTTAATTATATTGTCTGGCGAATAAGATAATTTATTATAACTAAAATTGATTTTTAAATTTTTAGGAAAAATTGCTCATTTCAATAGATGTAAAATGTATTACTTTATCAATGATTCAATTTAAAAAATAAAAAATAGGTAAACAAACGTTCGAAAATTTGTTTCAAAAATTTTAAAAAAGTCCAAATATGCCATAAAATGATTTTTTACTGATTTAATGATGCAAGTTGTTGTTCGATTGCATTATCACTTAAATTTTCGACTTTTACTTCGACGGGTGATTTAATTTTTATAGCTAAAAATAAATCGAATAATTTGGTGTATAAAAATTAACCAATTTTCAGATTAAATATTAATTAAACTGTTTATGTAAATTTAAATATTGTTAACAACAATATTATATAAAATAAATTTTAAAAATGCTAACAACAAAAAAAATTCAACTTTGAGCTTAAATACTTTAATATCTGAATAAGTTTTTAACGTATAAATTTTTTGATATTTGATTCTAGTTTAATATATATTTTATCAAATAATCTTTTTTCTTTCACTCAATATTTTACAGTAACATTTTTCATTTACACTTCTTGGTTTTTGTTTATTGTACTTATTTGTTATACTTATTAGAGGAAATTTACACTTAAAATTGGCAAAATTCAAAAAATTGTGTAAAAATAAAGTCATCAACCTTCAATTTTATCTGAATCCATTAAAAATGATGATGATGATCGAACATTTCCATTTGGCGGCGATTTTTGACTATTCATTAGCGCTAAATTTGAATATTTTTAATTTTGTAAAATTACTAACAATTTTTGCACGAGAGCTTTCAAAAATCTTTTAGTTTTTCATTTCTTTATTTTTATACTTATTTCATATTTTATTAGATACAAAATTATTGTTACATATAGTACATTCCAGTTAGTAGTAAAAAATAGAATTTTTTTAAAACAAAAAATGTTAGAATGAGTAAATTTGTAAATGAAATTAGCAGTAATATGATAAGCAATATTTTATATATATATATATATATATATGATATGCTACCAGTTGATATTCTTACATTTTTCGTTTGTGATATCGGTCTTTTTTCCTATTAATTCAACATTTTTATCATTTTCTTTTATATTCTGTGATAAATTGACATTATATGTCATTTTTGCACTTTGTAGCATTTCCATTTTTTGTGATAAATCATTTGCATGAAATTTACATGGCATATTAAACATTTACATAATGTTATCATCAATTATGCTATATCTTACATTTAATATTTCTGAATCACAATGAATTAATGTATTTTAAGGATGATTTATATTTATTCAAGTAACTGTTAACAGCAAATAAGTTAACAACGTTACATTTCAATTATCAAAGTAGCTGTATAATAGATGATAAATTAACGTTAATATCCATTATTAGAGTAACTGTATAATTTTACTTGATTGAAGTAAATGTACAAGTTAACGTTACAAATCATTTTAATGATACTAAAAATATTTCTAACATGTGATTCCACTTGTTCAACATTACGATTAATAAATGATTCGTGTGATGATTCATTGTTACGAGTGGATTCAACAGAATGAAAAATTACGCTACGCGATGTATCCGTTGTACGTGATGCATTAGTTGTTTTACTTGTATTATTATCGACAGTTCGAGTAACTGGTAAAATAGTACCTGCTGTTACAGATTTATTTTTCTTACTTAATTTATGAAAATGATCTTTCAATTTTTTAATTGCTTGAATTGGTTTATTCATATGCCTGCAAGTAATTATTTTCTTTATTTTTTCTTTTTTTGACTTATAAAATTTTTTTTAAAAATAAAATTATATGTTTTCTTTTCTTTTTCAATTTTATTGGAATATAACAAAACAAATTTGAAATTTATTTTATAAATAATGAAGAAAATATGGAAATATATCAAAAAAACAAAAAAAAAAAAAAAAAAACAAAAAAAAAAAGCAAAACAAAATAGATTTGAAAATAGCATAGGATGATCTTTTTTTTAAAAAAAAAATTATTATTAATGATATATAGAAAATTTAAAAGTCATTAAATTGATTTTTTTTTCAAGAAAAAGAAAAAAACGGGAAACAAACTTGTCAAATTTTTCTAATTTAGTTGTTTGAAAATCTTTTGGTTTTTCAGGCATCTGCTAAAATATACACACTTTTTCGCATTGTTTAATAATTATTATAAATATCGCTTTAGTAAATTTTACACACCTTCTAATTTTACTTAAAAAAAAGACAGAGGAGTTTTTTTGTTCATAAGAAAACTTTCATTTATTTAAAAATCCATCTATGATCCTAAAACATTGTTTAAATAAGAATGAAATAATACCTTTTTTTATCAGTCAACAACCGCTTTTTAAATTAATTACTAGTACTTTAAAAACATATTATCAGTACTAATACATTTTTTTAGTTTTCTACTTTTAGTTTTGAATATGCAAATATTGCTTGTGGCATAAATTTAATAGAAAGATTATAGAAGTGTAATTTATTTTCTCTTCAAGTTTTATTACGAAAATTCATTTCTAGTTTAATAAATATAAATTGCTTATCAATAAGTAATATTATAAATTGCTTAACAGTAAGTTACATACGTTATATTAGAGTCATTTTCTTCACTATTTTGTTATCCCCGCAATATGTTTCTCAACATATGACGACTCATACCGGTGAAAAGCCGAACAGTTGTTCGATATGCGAGAAAACTTACACACAGAAATGCACTTTGCAAAGTCACATGGTAACTCATAACACATAATATTAAACGTATCACTTTACTGCATGCAGCAAAGATTTTCAGGCTAAATTCGGCTTGAAATCAGCAACATTATCAATTATAAAAGATGCAGCGATGTAATTTTCCATTCTTGCTATTATTCCCAAAAAATTTGAAAATGTGGAAAATTGAAGCGAAATGAAATAAAATTACAAAAAATGTCACAACTGCTTTGCATAAATTATTTATAACAATAAAATACAGAAACTGAAAAGAAATGATTCAGTATAAAGGATTAAGCAGTAGTGCTATTATCATTTTATTGTACATTATTACATATTCTATTATTATTGCTATACTTATTTTACGTGGACGTAAGTTATTAATACACGTAGTTTGCCACTCCCATCTGAATGAGAACTTATACATGCGATTATCGAACAATATCTAACAGAATTGATCGGTTGGCCTCTGTCACACTCTCCTACAATTTTTATTCAGTAGTTTTATTTCATTCATTTCGACAGAAGACGACAGAAGATTACCTCTTTTCAAACTTTTGAGTTATGACAGGGATTTTGGAATTAGATGATAAATTTGTTAATAAACTAATATATTTAGAAAAGCATTTACTTGAAGAAATATCTTCTTTGCGCATTTGTCAAATAGCAGCGATATTATTCTTTAGAAGCAACCGTCAATAAATTTGAATGTTTTTCAGAATTGGCAACAAATTATTCTCATTAATATGCATTTCATCTATTTATTCTTCTTTGTCTTCCAATTGAGCAATATTCGAAACCCAGTAAGTCCACATAAAGTTAAAAAAAAAAAACAACATAACACCACAATACTATCGGCATTTAAATTTTTCACAGTGATTTTTCATTGATAATTTCATATCATTTAAGGTAGCGCAAACGGAACAAACAGAACCGTTGGATTTATCAATATCAAAAGTGAAAGAGGAATCGCAAGGCTTATCAGTGCAAAGAGTGAGTGATGAACGAATTAAACCGCGACGACTTGTTCCAATCGAAACACTGATGGAAGTAATTGAACCAGAAAAAGAAAGCACAGGAAAGAAACGGCGTTGTGATATATGTCAAAAGGAAATAACACATATGAAAAAACATGTGATGACTCATACTGGTAAAAAGCCGTATAGTTGTCCAGTATGCAAGAGAAATTTCACTCAATCCTGTCATATAAAAAAACATATGATGACTCATACTGGTGAAAAACCTCATAGTTGTCCACTATGCAAGAGAAATTTCACTCAGTTCGGGGATATGAAAAAACATGTGATGATTCATACGGGTGAAAAGCCGTACAGTTGTTCGATATGCAAAAAGAATTTCACTCAGTCCAGCAGTATGAAAGCACATATGGTGGTTCATACCGGTGAGAAGCCGTACAGTTGTTCCATATGCAAAAAGAATTTCGGTGATCTCTGTAATATGAAAAGGCATATGACGACTCATACTGGTGAAAAGCCGTACAGTTGTTCCATATGCAAAAAGAATTTCACTCAGTCCAGCAGTATGAAAGCACATATGGTGGTTCATACTGGTGAGAAGTCGTACAGTTGTTCCATATGCAAAAAGAATTTCACTCAGTCCAGCAGTATGAAAGCACATATGGTGGTTCATACTGGTGAGAAGCCTTACAGTTGTTCCATATGCAAAAAGAATTTCACTCAGTCCAGCAGTATGAAAGCACATATGGTGGTTCATACTGGTGAAAAGCCGTACAGTTGTTCGATGTGCAAAAAGAATTTCACTCGGTCTGACAGTATGAAAAAACATATGATGATTCATACTGGTGAAAAACCGTATAGTTGTCCGATATGCAGGAAAGGTTTCATGCATAAACACCATTTGCAGACTCACATGGTAACTCATCAAATGAATAATAGACTTATCACTGTATGATAAGCAGTCAAGATTTTCAGGCTAAATGCAGATTGAAATTGCATATGAAGAATCATTAAAGCTTGAGCACTTTAAACGGATGAAATGCACTCTGCTAATTCTGTTATTGTTGAATATTTACTAATTTTTTATGACAAATTATTATTTGTTCTTTGATCCTATATGCATACTAATATCTTTTTCTTCTTTGTTATTCTTGCAAATATGTTTTTTAATGTTAACTTCATCTAATGGTTTCATTTGCATGCTATGCACGAAAAATTTGAATAATAGTATCGCTATGACTACATTAGTAATGAAATGGAATTGCTCATATGTATTCCTCCGATTATTGAATTCGACTATTGAATAAATGAAATGAAAATAAATTTTTGGGAACGAATCTTCTTAATCACAACATATCATTTTATAAATTTGTTTAATTATGCGATCTACGACAGAGCGTCAAACATATATCAGAGAGTGACTAAATATTTATTCGGCATTCAACAAAGTATTACAGATGAAAACCAGCAAGAGATTTGAAGAGGCACATACAATATCACAACTGTTTAAACTATTTGCACTGACTGAAATATTCTTGAAACCATAATTCTCACTTCGATCATTTATGTTAACAGATAACCCAAAAGTTTTACCAACCGAATTAATTTTATTTTTTTGTCGCTGCGAAGTCACTCATTGCACCCGTTAAGGAATCGCCATGTGATATATATTTGACCTTTTCAATTTTATTGCAATATTTATTCCAGATTCTATTTACTCTTTTTTTTTTTTTTTTTTTTGCGTGATGCAACTGTGTCTACCAATACTGTTTAATCGCCTACTTGTAAAATTAATTAAATTAATTGACTAATGTCAGAAAATTGATAGCGCAAAAGAAAGAAAACAACGGAGGAAAAGAAAGCGACAAGAAACGAAAGTGATTAGTTTCGTGGAGCAAAGGATTTGTTTTGAATAAATAAAGCTTTTGGATTTTGAAGGAAATCTGGGAAATTACTACTGATATTTATTTTAGAATTTGAGGATAAAAAACAAATCAATCAAATCATTTTAGTCATTTGTATTCACAGTTATCTCAACCATTTTGTAATATCATATGTCCATATGATATGCCTTCAGTTAAAGGAAACAAAGGACGTATGTTAAATATGTTAGAATGTGTGCAAGAAAAAGATTGGAAAGATCTGTTGAAATCATTTAGCATTTATAAATTTAACATTATCAATTATAAAAGATGCAGCGATGTAATTTTCCATTCTTGCTAATATTCCCAAAAATTTGAAAATGTGGAAAAATTGAAGCGAAATATAATAAGATTACAAAAAATGTCACAACTGCTTTGCATAAATTATTTATAACAATAAAATACAGAAACTGAAAAGAAATGATTCAGTATAAAGGATTAAGCAGTAGTGCTATTATCATTTTATTATACATTATTATATATTCTATTATTATTGCTATACATACGTTATTATACATAGACGTAAGTTATCAATACACGTAGTTTGCCACCCCCATCTGAATGAGAAGTTATACATGCGATTATCGAACAATATCTAACAGAATTGATCGGTTGGCCTCTGTCACACTCTCCTACAATTTTCATTCAGTAGTTTTATTTCATTCATTTCGACAGAAGACGACAGAAGATTACCTCTTTTCAAACTTTTGAGTTATGACAGGGATTTTGGGATTAGATGATAAATTTGTTAATAAACTAATATATTTAGAAAAGCATTTACTTGAAGAAATATCTCCTTTGCGCATTTGTCAAATAGCAGCGACATTATTCTTTAGAAGCAACCGTCAATAAATTTGAATGTTTTTCAGAATTGGCAACAAACTATTCTCATTAACATGCATTTCATCTATTTATTCTTCTTTGTCTTCCAATTGAGCAATATTCGAAACACAGTAAGTCCACATAAAGTTAAAAAAAAAAAACAACATAACACCACAATACCATCGGCATTTAAATTTTTCACAGTGATTTTTCATTGATAATTTCATATCATTTAAGGTAGCGCAAACGGAACAAACAGAACCGTTGGATTTATCAATATCAAAAGTGAAAGAGGAAGGAAATAAATCGCAAGGCTTATCAGTAAAAAGAGTGAGTGATGAACGAATTAAACCGCGACGACTTGTTCCAATCGAAACACTGATGGAAGTAATTGAACCAGAAAAAGAAAGCACAGGAAAGAAACGGCGTTGTGATATATGTCAAAAGGAAATAACACATATGAAAAAACATGTGATGACTCATACCGGTGAAAAGCCGTATAGTTGTCCAGTATGCAAGAGAAATTTCACTCAATCCTGCCATATAAAAAGTCATATGATGACTCATACTGGTGAAAAGCCGTATAGTTGTCCAGTATGCAAAAAGAATTTCGGTGATCTCTGTAATATGAAAAGGCATATGACGACTCATACTGGTGAAAAGCCGTACAGTTGTTCGATATGCAAGAGAAATTTCACT